CGACGACGAGCAGAGGCGGGCCGCCGCCAGGCAAGAACGGTGAGCACGCGCCATATCTGAATTGAGGTTCGAAGACGTCATGAAAAGAAAAGCTGCGAATCTTAGCTGTCACATTAAGATTTTTCAGTTCATTTTTGAGCTGTCACTCTAAAAGGTATTTAGGCGCTTGGGTACGAGGAGCATTAGCAAGTTCGGAATGGGCATACTGCTCGTTGTTCATTGACATACCATGCCTGGTTGCTCTGCTCCAGCACTTTGACACGTGCCACGTGGTGCTGCGTGCAGGCAGGAGCTGCAGCAGGCGCGCAGCCGGCTGGCGGCGGCTGAAAGAGAACGGGACGACGCGCGGGGCCTGGACGTCGCCACGTTTGATGCCCTGCGCCGTAGCACGCCCGCGGGTGGCCTCGCAGAGGACGCCGCGGGTCAGCCCTCGGCCCCCTCCAAGAGGACTCCCATTGCGGACCGAGCACGTGCCTCTTTGGATGAGCTCCAGCAGGCGACGTCGGCGGTGCGGGAGGGTCACCATGCCGCTGTGGCGGCGGAGGCGGCCGTGGGAGAGCTGGAGCGGCGGCAAGAGGAGGTGGCGGGGAAGCAGGACCCACACGCGGCGCAGAGGGACACGCTGGCACGCATGCACGCTGATGCGCAGGTGGGGCAGCGGCACAACAGTGTGTCGGCCAATGGGTCTCGGCACTGCCGGCAAAAGTGTCCACCCGTTGCCCGTTGCGTAGTATTAGCATCAAGGAAGAAAGTACTCGGCCCGTGCAAAATCCACAACATTTCCTCTATAACTTTGTAGTCGAGGTCTTTCACAGCAGATGTCTCGCTTTGAAAGGCCGTTTGCTTCTGCAGCCGGTTTGTGCTTACGGATCTATCCTCGATTCCTCTGATACGTAAGGGGGAGGTTTGCTGGCCGCATCAGCCTCGTCCATTGCCGCTATCCAGGCGGAGCTAGCGGCGCGGGAGGCTGCCATCGGGACAGGCGAGGCGGAGGTGGGCGTGCTGCGCGCGGTGGAGGCCGCGGTGGGCCTGGCGGGCATTCAGAGCTTCGTGCTGGAGGGCGCGCTCGCGGAGCTGGAGGCGCGCACGGCCGCGCTGCTGGACACGCTCTCGGGGGGGACGCTCGCGCTGCACCTTGCCGCCACGCGTGTCGGCAAAACCACCAAACGAGAGCAGGTCAGACCCGTCCAGATGCGCTCGCGGCAGAGCTTGGGATCACAGCGGATGCTGCGGAGTGCTGTAACTGCCAGTCCTTTGATAGCACACTGCGGATGCATGCCTTATCGTGCGCTCGGGCCAGCCTCTTGTAAGGAGGTTCTGGTCGCGATTTGCAAAACCGGGTTTTGCATTGCCGCTGGTTTTACCGACTTCGCTTCGGCTTGACCCGCTCCTCTTCCTACCGCCCGCTTCTCGCAGGAGAAGATCGACAAGGTGGTCCGCGTGCAGCTGGGCGACGGCCGCGTGGTGGACCGCTCAGTGCGCCAGCTCAGCGGCGGGGAGCGCCAGCGCGTCGCAGTCGCGCTCCAGCTCGCGTTCGCCGACTTCGCCGCGGAGCGCAGCGGCGTGCACTCCGACCTCGTCGTGCTCGACGAAGCCTTCCAGGTCAGCGTCACAGATGGGGCAGCCCAACGGCCTCCTAAACATCTGTCTCCACGTTGGTAGCAGCAGTCTCCTGACCAAACACTCTGTTGGAAGCTAGCATAGTCAACCCACAACTTTCCGAGCCGTCAAACGTGGCAGACAGGACTGTTGCGCAATTGTGTTGGACGGCTAACGCTATTTTTCGGCGTGTGCGTGCAGCACTTGGACACGGCGGGTCGGTCGCGCATGCTGGCCGTCCTGCGCGGGCTGGCGGCGGGCAGCGTGCTGGTGGTGAGCCAGGCCAACGGGGAGCTGGCCGGCATGTTCGACCTGGTCGACACCGTCGTGCGGGACGCGCGCACCGCCACCGTCGTCGTCACCTAGCATCCCGCCGCAGTGTGCAGCGGGGCAGCCCCGCGGGCATGTGAGCCCGCGAGCCTCCACGTAGGGCGACATAGCGAGAGATGCGGCTCGGCTGAGCTGCAGTCGAGCGGCATTAGAAGCCGCAGATGTAGAATGTAGATAGACTGCCTGCATTTTACAGCGAGTGATCGGACTGATCAAATAGCCATACGCCACTTAAAGAGGTTGCGGAAGGTCGTTCTCGTTGAGGATGTTGCACGCCAATTGTTCGGCACTGACGTTCTGGGTGCCTGCAATATCAAACTATCGAAGGGAAAGTAACCAGCAAACTTGGAGAAGTCGCTGTAGAAAGAGGAATATATCGTCCGTTTGAAAACGCTGTAAAGGCTCGCACTTGCGATTCCAAGTGCATTGCTTTTTAAATACTTTCAAGACGGCGCCAAAGCTACGGAAGGGAGTCACGGAAGTTGAAGCCAATTGTAACAACCTGCTCCGCCATTTTCCGAGCGCGCTCCAAGTGGGCTCCTTGAATCTGGGGTTCTTTCGCGGTGGCCAGCCTTCCTGCGTCGCCTCCAATTCTGGGTGTCATGTGCACATTGACAGCGCTCAGTTGTATGACCGTGACGAAGCTTGATCTAGCAGGGGCCAGTTTTTCGGACTTGTAGGCTCAAATCTTTTGCAATGCGGGTGGTTCTAACACCCTCTTACGACAAATCTTTTGCCATTTTGCATATTCTTTCAGACCCGATTGTGCGTTGCACTCTGACTTCAGCCCACTGTAGCGATTCTGCACTGATGGACGTCACTTCCAGGACATACAATGGAGTTGTAAGCGACGTGAAGGGCAGCCACGAGTTTAGGTTCCATCTTGGGGCTGCCCAGTGAAACTGCATGTTCTGAAGTTTCAATCGCGAGGTTGACTCTGGATCCAGAGTGCGCGCAGAGACTTTGAACGGATGCGCTATCTTATAGACTCAGCTCTGGAAAAAAGATCCAAAATGGTTTTGGTGAAACTCCAAAACAGCAAAAATAATGTACCCTTAAAAAACAGACTGCGCCTAGAAAGATGACAAAGCCTTCGAACGTCTTTCTCAACCACAATTATTCCGGATGTATCGGGCTCTTCAAGAGGCTCTCGAAGAAGTCCTGGCCGGTTATCAATATCGGTTTGATTAACTGACCGACAATGTCAGTCTGTACGAACGTATAGAGTCAAGAAGTGCGTGCCTGACTCCGGCCCTAGTACGGAGCGCTAAAAGGACCGTGTTCGTAGCTTTCATGCATGTGGTGGCCAATTACCTTAGAGGCAACGGGCCCTGCGCGGGTTTCGATTGGTGCCCGAGACTCATCGCCATCCCCAGTGAAGCGAATGGAGACGCTTCTTCACTGATATACTCGTCGACTTTTGCTTGGTGTGGGGCGGTCGCCCGTCTCCATTTCACATTCCTTTTCTTCAGGCCGGCTGCCCGCCCCTTGCTGGACCCAGATTCTGCAGCATCAGCTATTCCAGTAGTTGTAGCCGACGTTTCTTATGCGCTGCCCAGCCGCGTACGGCCGTGCAACAGAAGGTTGAGCTCGAGATTCGCGCTTCGAAAATGGGTTGCCGAGTGGACGTTCCCGCCTCGCGCATGCGACCGTGCGGCGAGTCGATAGCGAATCTTCTTCGCCAAACAAGTTTCCTACGAAAGTAGTCTCTTGCTTTGACGATCGGTGACGAAGCCACGAACAGCCTCCTGACAAAGAGCAGTGGGTCCTCCTTCTTTGAGGTCTTGCTCGACGCTCTGCGCCGGCCCTTCCAAAGTCTAAAATACTTCGACTGAGATCGAGTCTCCACCTTATCTTATCCACGCTTGCTTGGATGCGACGCGTGCATTTGCCGTGGTCTGAGGTGGCCGTTCACGTGAAGATTGGGACGAAGGGGCACCTGCATGCGCATGTCCACTTCCATGTGCATGCGAAGCTGCCCAAATGAAAGTTACTCCGCTTGTGGGCAGTAAGCTTCAGCTGAGCGCGGTCGCTGGTTGAACGAGCTCTCAGGATCGCGCGCGGAGCTGGAGTGCGCCCGCTGCAAAGAATCGTTGTCGATGCGGTGAGCACTTAAGGAGGGACTCGAACCAGGGTGTCTCCCTGGGGGCAGGCAGGCAGAGGTGTTAGCCGCAGCAATGTTTCCCTTAGCACAAGCGGAGGAGGCTCTGGTCTGATGGTGCTGCTCATGGTGACCTGTGGGCTCCATGACACGATGCCCAACATCAAAAAACTTGGCTACTTTTGGGGCCCACCGGCGGGATTGCTTTCCCTCTACTGCAGCCAGGATTTGGGTTCGCGCCTACTTGAGAACGTCGATGCCCGCGAGGAGCAGGCCACGGGCGTTTAGGTGAGCAAGCTGCACGGCCTAGGCTTGTGGCATTTCGGTCAGTTGAAGACGGAGATGGTGAGCACAACGAGGGGTGAAATATGTAGAAGGCACGCCTTGCTACGTGGGATCCACCCCTTTGTGCTGATAATCTCTCACAATATGCATCTCTCGGCAGTTGCGAATAATTGCTCAGAGCCGTCTAGCCTCCCCGCCTCTGTAGCAGAGCTTACCAAAAATGACTTTACATCTTTGAACTTGTTGCTGCTGGTTAGAGATAGGTAATAGTCATTGGGAAAGCAGGAACTATTTCGAAACACTGGGAAAATTTTACGGATGCCCTAAAAATAAACCCCTTTGACAGGTCCAACTCACCAGGCTGGGTGTAATTAGGTGCTTCTTCTGTTACCACCCCGCAGAGAGGATTCCTTGACATCCTCTTATTGCTTTTGGCTTTGCCTCTCAATGAGGCTCCTGCAAGAGCGGGGCATTTGCGTAGTTTTGAGGGCTTCCTTCCTCTGTCCTTCGACCAACTGCCCGAAATGCTGCAGGGCCAGAGTTTTCAAACGAGATCCATTTCATCTGGCCTCCAGTTTCAGCCAACAATCTCCACTTTGAGTTTTCCTAACCTTTGAACCCCCGGGTAAAATTGTTTTCAGAAACATTAGAGTGGGCAACATCGCGGGTTCTAACAGAGCAGTTGACCGTTTCAGGCTGGTGATTGCGACAACCTGTGCAATGAACACTGCTATTGGAACGCCCGTGCTTAAAGAAACTGACTAAGAAGGGTGCCAGTGGGTCCGTCAGTGAAGAGCTTCCCTCTCTGTGGTCAATTGATTGATGTCAGATCGTGCCACGTGAGAAGGGCCAGTGCTCAGAACTGTCAGCCTGTTTCTTTCATCTGCTTTCGCTGTTTTCCTAGTCACAGTCAGTTCTTCGCCCCTGCCACATAGGCCGACCCGTTGCTGCGATGCCCTGTAGGACCTGTTTCTAATGCCTTTTCCCCTCCCCTGTTTTTCAGAATAAGCTCCTGCAGCAGCCGCTGACAAAGGGGCTCACCTTCTCGCGGCTATGGCCGACTCCACCGGGCTGCCTGACGTCCTCCAAAGCGCGGCCTGCTTGGCACCCCCCGACGCGCCTCTCGAGGGCCCTGCGGAGTGGAGCGTCAGCGAGGCATCATCGCACGAGGAGCACATACCGCAGACAGCCTTCCAGCCGGCCGGTGTCTCTTTCGAAGTGAGGCCCAACGAGGAACTGCCCCAGCAGTGGAGCCCGCCTTTCCAGCCGCTGCTGGCGGTGGGCCTGCCGCCCGCAGCGCAAGTCCTTGTGCCCGACTCGGGGGGCGTGGTGTGGCCGCCAGCGGGCTACTCGGCACCCCCAACGGAGGTGCGGCCCGCGGTGCTGGCGCACGACGAGGCGCGGGCGGCGGAGCTGCAGAAGGGGGCGGAGATCCTGGCCTTCTCGCAGCGGCTGGGCCTGCTGGACCTGCCCCTGCCGGAGGTGCCCGTGCCGGAGGGGCCCATCTTTGTGCCCACGGGGCCGCTGTTTGCGCACGGAGACTCAGACGAGAGCGGCGGGCGGGGGCTGCCAGACATGGAGCAGAGCCAGAGCCAGGGGAGCACTCCGCTGGAGGACAGGGCACCCGGGCAGCATGCCGCGGAAACGGAAAGCGTCGACCTAGAACGGGCCACGCAGGAGGAGGCGTGCCCGATTGCCAAGCCTATCTCCATGGAGCCGCCTGAGGCCCAGTTCCAGAAGCCGGTCTACGTGGCAGCCACCGCGCGGCCGTCTGACGCCGGCGTGCGTGGCGCGGGGGCCTCGGCGGAGGCGGTGCTGGCGAGCCCGCCGAACGAGGTGGTGCCGGAGCTGGACGTGGCGCGGCTGCTGGGGCGGGGCGAGCTGGCGGACGACGAGCGCGTGCCCATCTGGAACCGCGCCGCGCAGCGCAAACTCACCGGCCGCTGCGGGCCCATGCGCAAGAACCTCAAGGCCTACCTGGACAAGGTGAGCGCGCGCGCCCACTAGGGGACGCAGCAGGTTTTTGCATCTGCAAGCAGCGCGTCTGCATGACCGAGCTGTGCAATCTGCATTTGTGTCCACCTCTGCTTCGTAAGCCGAGGGCGAAACGGCATCTTGAGAGACAAAGCTGATCAGTGTTAAAACCTACTGCACCTGACTGGTTTCGTGTACCGGTGGGCTTCTTGCTTCGCACTGCTATCTTCTTCGCGAGTTGTGCTCACTTGTGTCGTGTTTCTTCCTCAGCACCCCGAGTGCGAGATCTACGACCACCAGCAGTCCGGCCAGTCCACCCCGGCACAGGCCCCCGCCGCCAAGCGACGCTCCGTGCAAACCGCACACCGGTCAGGCAGCCACAAGCGCGGGTCGGCCCAGGCTGAAGTGGAAGCCCCGAGCTCCTTTGTGCCGGGCAAGCGACGGGCTACGCTGAGGGAGGGCTACTACCGGGCACTGCAGGATGGCAAGGTGGCGGGGGCCTCGGACTGGGGGGAGCAACCACGCGGTGAAGAGGGGAGGGGCTTTCCGTCAGGTACATAATGACGGCAGGCCATTAGTACACCTTCTTTACAGGGCTCCCGGTGCCAGAATTAGTTACCGTCTGCTTTGTGATCAAATTGCACGAGCGCTGTACAGGATGGAAGCAGTTCGAGATTCGAGGTTTAAGCTCGTCGAGACACTCCTCACAGGACCTTCACTGTTGAGATTCTGCAGACGTAGGTGGCGGAACAAGACGACTGTGCATCTCTTCGCAGCGTGCTCGGAGTTGACTGTTGCACGATTGCAGGGCCCTCTTCTGACCGCGATGGCGGTGCACGTGGGCCGTCCGGCGGTGTCCCTGCCAGCCTGAGGCCCGAGCCGCGCGCGCTGTCTCCGCTCAGTGAGGTACCTGCGCGTTGGGACCTGGCCTGGGCCGCGTACGGCATGCCGCGCTCCTCGAACGGCTTCGTCAGCGAGCGCACGGAGAGAAACAGCGCACGTGATGGGGCGCAGCCGGAGCTGGAGGCAAGCCCATCGGGGGGACCGAAGAGCCGGGAGAGGAGCCCCCCCGGAGGAGGGGGCAAGAGGAAAAAGATGCCGCTGGAACAGACGGTGAGCCGGGCAGCCAGAGGGGCGAGAGCGCGGGGAGAGGTTGAAAGTCTAAAAATTTGACTTCGCGGATTAACGGCAGGGCATCTCACAAGCTGCAAACAACGAGCTTAATCTGCTTGGGTTCGTTCTGAGTATGTTTGTCCTGTACCTTCACAGGCAACGTCTAATGCTGCTATAAACACCAGGTAGAACGCAAGCCTTCCGGTGCCCCCGCTCGCCTGCCCGGATTCCCCGCTGTTGCTCTGAGCCTTCCTCCTGGCGTGCCTGGTTGCAGGCCGCTCTGCAGGCCCTGGCCGACTCGGTGGGGTGGAACAGCCTCAACATCGAGGCGCGCGCCGCCACCGCGCGGCTGTGCGCCGAGTTCGGCATGACCTTGGGCCAGGTCAAAAAGTGGTTCTCCAACCACCGCCCCAGGGTGAGCCTGCCGCCAGCAAAGACCGCCTTCCAGTCGTATCTCTTTCTGGTCAGGAAACGCTTTGCTGGTCACTTGGTTTGAAAAAACGACCCTGTTGTCATTTCTTCTTTCTCGTGCAAGAGACACCTCAAAGAGGTGACAGAGCAGCACTGCAGCACATGCTCAACTCCAGCCAGCTACTTCAGTCACTGTTCGCTTAGTCACCCAACTCTCACCTTACTCATTTCTCGCAGGATTTTGCCTCTTTCAGCAGTCCTCGCACCCCCTTGGACGTGTACTCGTCCCGCCAGGAGGTCTTCCTCCGGCCGCCTCCTCGCTGGCCCAGCCCCACCCGGAGCGGCACTCCGCCCCCAGCCTCATCGCGGGGCGTCTCGCGCAGCCCCTCCCCCGTTCTGCATGCCCTGCTGCCCTCTGCCGCCTGCCAGGCACCCCGCTCAGGCTCGCTGCAGGAACCTCCGGCCAGCCTTCCGTCCCCGCCGCCCGCGCCGCTGAGGGCCCGCTCCCTCGGCCTGGGCTTCTCGCTGTCGGGCAGCCTGGGCCGCTCCCCGCAGGCGCTCGCGGAGGCCCCCAGCAGCGGCTCCCTCCAGGGCGCGCCCTTCTTCGCCTCGCCGGAGCTGCCCCCCAGCCCGGGCCTGCGTGGCAGCCTGCACGGCCCGCTGCCGCTCGACTTTCTCTCGCGCGAGTCCCCGCACGACCTGCTGGGCGCGCACCTCTCGCTGGGGCCGCCAGCCGACGAAGCGCTCCTCGCGGCCGCGCCCCTGCACGCGCACCTCAGCCTGGCCGCCAGCCAGGCCCCGACCTCCAGCCAGCCGCCCGCCGTCGCCCCGCCCTTCCACGGAGCTGGTCCCGAAGCGTCCGCGCCCTTCTTCGGAACACCCGCCGATGCCGCTGAGCTGGAGGAGGGAGAGCACACAGTGGTCGCAGAGGGACTCCACGAGGAGGAGACTGATGAGGGGGAGTGGGGGCACCAGGAAGAGGTTGAGACACGCACTAAAGAAGGCTGGTCCGCAGAGGTGGCAGGTAGGGCAGACGAGAGTGACGACCAGGACAGAGCGGGCAGGGCCCTCGGCGGTGCGGAGCGTGGGACAGCAGGCGCGCACAAGCGAGGCGGGAGCTTCGGCGGGTTCGATTTAGAGAGCAACGACGCGTCGGAGCTGGATGCGCTGATGGAGTGCGAGGAGGAGGCGGGGCAACGCAGGCTCACGCCCGAGGTTGACCACGGCAGACACGGCAGGCCAGCCCTGCGCGACACGGAAAAGGCCGGGGCGATAGCCAGAAGCTTCCAGCAGGCATTCACGGATCGGACGGTCCGGATGGCTTCCCTGGAAGCGAGCAGAAATGTGTCTCGCGGCTACCGATCCATGCGGCAGGAGACAGCAAGCGACACGTGGCAGGCGCCGGGGCGTCGTGACGAGGAACAAGCAAGAATCAGTCTGACGTCGTATCGGCTGAAGCTGCGGCGCGAGGTGCGGGAGAGGGTGCCGGTCGGGCGCAGTCCCAGCCCGTACAGCCTCGGAAGCACGCTGCAGCGGTCGCGGCAGGCAGCGCTGGAGCAGCAGCGAGGGGGCGCGGCGCGCGCGGGGAGAACGGAGGAGCGGCACGGCGACGCGCGGCCCGCCCGGCAGGACAGCCCAGGCAAGCCGGAGCGCTGATGACGAGGCATTGCTCATGTTTGGACTTAGTCACATGCTGCTTCAATGCCTTTCACTTGACACACCAATGAGGCTTTCACTGCTGCTTTACATTTGACAGCACTTTTGAAAATAGTTGCGTTCAAATCTGCATTATGACGAGAAGCTTGCAGTCTCATCAACCGTCAGAGATCGCAGGGTGGCCGACCCTGTGTCGTGCAGGCGGCCCCCCCGGCGCGGACCTGCCGGCCATGCTGCGCAGCACGGGGTTCCGCGGGTCGGGCCCGCGCAGCCGCGTGCAGGCGGTGCTCTTCGAGAAGGCGCTCACACTGAGCGACACCAGCCACCTTGGCAGGATCGTCCTCCCCAAGGTCCGCCGCCCCGCGCTTCCCAGCAATCCAGCGCCGCTTCTGGATCGCTTCTGTCCGAACGGCCCCTCCGTCGACATGCTCTTCATAAAAACAACGAAATCTGTGTAAAGTCGGACAACAGACTCATCTACTCCGTAGGTGGATACGAGCAAAGCAGTTGTGTTTTGCGCAGGGCTGTGCGGAGAAGTACCTCCCCCCCATGGACGAGAAGGAGGGCCGCCCCATCGTGATCGAAGACAACTACGGCGCGCGCTGGTGCTTCCGCTATCGGTAGGGCCCCCGCAACGCCGCTGTTGCAACGGAAACTTCGAGTGGCGGCGTCTCCTACCATCAGGGCTCTGCCTTTAAGGACGAGTTTTAGAGTTCTGTTTGAGCAAGCGAAGCTGGTGCTACTGCATTTTTGCCTGCTTTTTCGCGGGATTGGGTGGAAGGTGAATCAGTCGAATGTGCCCTTAGGGCTGCTTGCGCCGTTTGGGATTTGACGCAGGTACGTTGTGGCGGCTGCAGGTTCTGGCCGAACAACAAGAGCAAGATGTACGTGCTGGAGCACTCGGGGGACTTTCTGCGCGCGCACAGGCTGCGGGTGGGCGACGTGGTGCAGTTTTGCCGGTCCGAGCTGGGGCACCTGGTGAGTAGATGGGGGTGGGGGTCGGGCCGCTGTGCAGGCCGCGACTGCGCTCTGCGAAAGCAAAGGGCGTCTTGAAAATGACGTTTGTCAAATATTTACACCCTGCATCCACGATGTTGCGCAAAGAAGAAGGCCGTTGGATCGACCTACACAGGCAGAGATCGAATGGTCGTCCTCAATTTTCAAAGGACACGTTTTTGTGTAACACTTTGTGTTTTCAAAAGCACGAGATGCTGATTCAGATGCGGCAGACAGTGACGGCGAGCAATTCTCATGCAGATCGTGCAGGGCAAGAAGGAGGCGGCGCGCCAGGCTGCGGGCCTGGCTCCCGGCGGCGCCTCGCCGCGGGCTGCCCCTCTGCGGGCCCCCCGCGAGCTGCGGCCCCCCACCTGCAAGCGCTCCCCAGCTACAAGCCGCCCGCGCAGGCGCGGCGCGCGGGGCCCGCTAATCCCCCACCCCGGCGTGGCCAGCTTTGACGAGGTGCGCGCCAGGGCACGCGAGGTCAGCATGACATCAGAGGAGCTGCTGAGGAGCTCCCGGGAGATCCGGGCAGAGATGCGGGCCTCTCTTGCGCGGAAGGAGGGCGGGGGCGTCTGCTCAGCGGCGCCGTATGGATCCGACGAGGCGGACGAGCAGCAGTTCGAGGCGGACCCGCAGAAGGAGCAGCGGCAGGGCAACCACGAGGAAGAGGAGGAAGAGCAGCTGCAGGGGCCGGTGGGCGCGCCGGGGCTGTACGATCTCCGGGCCGGCTTCTCTCCGCCCCGGCCTCCGTCGGTGCCCCCCCTTACCGGTGAGGGGCCGTTCCGGCTTGCGTCGCTGTACCCCGCTCACCTGTATTCGGAGCTGGCCCGCAGCAGCTCCCCGGGCGCCGTGTACCAGCCCATCCCGCGGCCGACCCCGCACTACTTGGCGCCGCCTTGGAGCGGCGCACTGCAAGCCTCGTTGTTCCCCTGGGCGGGGTCGTTCGCAGGCACTCCGGGCTTTGGCCTCGAGACTGGGCCACCGGCGTTCGGGGGGGTCGGTCTGCCGCTGGGGGGATTCAATCTAGAAGCGGCCCCGCCCGACGTCACTTATGCTGGCTCTCATGAGCGTGACGAAAGAGAGACCCCCACGATGGGAGAGATTCACGAAGGGCGCTGGCAGCGTCCGGTAGATGCAGAGCGGGGGGAGGCCTCAGACGACTCGAGCAGAGAGCGGGCCGCAGGCAACTCGGAAGAAGGAGCACAGGCCGGTCAGGAGGCGGGCCGGGGCGACGCCGCTGCAACGATTGGAAGAGAACTGGACGAAGACAGGCACGGCGAGGTGAAGGATTCGGACGCGGACGGCAGTGCTGGCAGGGGTGCTGCGGCAAGTGGGGGCTTGCAAGCGATGCCTCGGGGGGCGGGGATGGATGCCGTGGAGCACAGCCTGGCACTACTGAGCGGGAGGGGGGGCCGCGACATGGCCGAGGCGGGGGACGCGCAAGGTGGAGGGCGGGGTGCCAGAGGTGAGCGGCAAAAGAAGCCCGGCGGAGCTCCGCAACAAGGTTGGACTTCTGAGACCCACACTGAGAAGGGCTTAGACTGCGTGGATCAACAACCGTTCTTGAGTGGGACACCAGCTCCCTGTCCTAAGGCTCCCCTTTTTGCCGTCCTGACAGGCAAAGGGTGAAACGGATCACTTGGTCAGTAGCCGATAAATATCGTTATGTGCACTCCCACTTCACGTCAAATATCTTCTCCTGACTCCGCTTGACACCTTCCTTGTAAAGAGAAAATCTTAAGAGCAGCTCGACCGCGCTACTGAATGGCCACGCGCTGCTGTGCCGCTCACAGACTCGGACTCGAATGAACAATTCTTTTGCATGATTTGTAGCTGATGGCTCCCCAAGCACCAGCGCAAACACGGAGTCAGCTGGCTGATGCAGCGCTTCTCAAAGCCGGTTATGGCATCATGCAAAGGTCAACGTTGGGCACCTGTGCGACACTAGGAAGGGAAAGGTTTGTTCCGAGGTATAGGGGGCAACTTTGTGCTGACAAAAGGTGTGTGCAGTGTTCTTCAAGAGAGATCCGATGGGGTATGTGCGGCCGTAGGTCATGAGTCAGGTGGCAGTGTGGAGGACCAGGGGTCTAGTGAGCCGTAAGAGAATTACGGGTGTCGAGCAATGAAACGCTGACAAATGTGCAATCAGAGGCCCAATGACATGAGTGGAACTTGAAACACGTGAATTGATTGAATCAACATCGATCGAGTGGCCTCGGGCAACGTAAGCACATTGAATCTAAATGCATAACGACCTAACAATCTTATCGTTAGCCATTTTTCGCATGTCGATCAGCCAATTCGTCATACTTTCAAAGCTCGAGTGAGACTAAAGCTAGTCATGCAATGAAGGAAGCTAGTAGGATGTCCGAAGGGGTAAAAACATGGTACCCCCTTCAGTATCAGGTCACCTTCTGCCCTCTCTCTGGCTAGCACGGCGTGCATGCATTAATATGCATGTGAGACATCGATGTCGATCTCACAAATACCATTATTACCATGAGATTCATTATTCCATGTAATGGATTATAAGGAGGGTAGCTAGGACGGATGATCTCGATATCTAAAAACTGAGAAGGTCGACACGCCACGGGATCGCTTAGCTTGGATTCAGAGTTGAAACCTTATATTCGACCCCAATTCGATCAGCGTTTTCCTCAAATTCGACATATCGATGCAGTTGTGCTCAGTCAGCAACGTTCTTTGTAGCTTTCATTTGTTTCTCGAGATACTTAGTCGCATTCTTCAACTTATTATTGACCAAGTTCGTTTGTCAGTGAGACAGTATTCCCCTTCTCGACAAGCGCTCTTGATGAAAAAGGCAAGCAGTCTCATCTTTGCACTAAGCGTGATCTGAGAGTCTACTTTCTCCTCATGTTACGGATCGCCGCTGGTAGCAGTACTACTCCTTCTCGATATCCCAGGTGTCGACATTCTCAAAGACGCTCGCAATCTCTCCGACCTTTTCCCACCAATCTGGAGGAGGCTCGGCATCTTGAGAGACAGCTACCTGCGGAGAAGAAACGAGAGAGCAACAAGCCAAATTCAACTTGACCTCGCTGTTACGACTTGACCTCGATGTACAAAAACTTAGCGAGATGCTACCGTGTGTGCCTGTTACCCGCGGTTGACCCGACTGCTTGTGAGACAGAGGGTAGTAAGTTGCTCATACCCCGTGAACGAGAACCCGTTTCCTATCATCGCGTCCTCCCTCCCTTACCCGCTGTCTTTCCCCGTCTTGGTCGCTTGCGTGAGCGTGTGGCGGGGCGGGAGGGGTCCGCCGAAAGGCCTCGGGCAAGAGGTGCGGCGGCAGCGGACGGATCGAGAACCGAAAGTCTGCACGACAGGGCGCCCGAGGTGAGGCCCGTCCAGCCAATTAAACCGACCTGTGGTGCGAGGTGGCTGGTGAGTGCATACAGTGTCTCATTTACTGGATCGAGGCTGACGCAGCTGGTCGTGAATCCTCGTTCCCCAGCACAAGTGTGGTTGGCGCCCCTGGCCGTAAGGTGCTTTCTGGGGTGGGCCTCACCTCGGCAGTCGGGGTCGTGACACTTTTGGTAGTAGCCCGCCAGCAGGAAGTCCACCACGTACATCACTGCACAATCAAAGCCCCGCTGTAGGTGCGCAGGAGCACCAGGCAGCGCAAAGGCACGGCAGCTTACCCAATTTGTCATTTACCAGAGAACAATAGGAACAGGCCTCGCTGTCAAGAGCGTGCATTTTGCTGCAAAGGCGAGCCCACGACTGTTGCGACAGCTGACCGTTGTTACTCTTGTGCTGGCGGCCGATGCGCTCGCAGTAGCGGTTGTTGTCGATGTTGAACACCAGCACGCCGCGCTCTTCAAACAGGGACCAGTTGCGCAGCCGGGCTGATGGCGGCAACAATGGAGAGCGGACGCATGAGAACCCCGATCAAAGCAGGCAGCGTGCGCCAGGATGGCGGTGCCACATACAACGAATTGCTCCATAAGGCCACTCAAAAAGAGCAGACGGTGCCTTTCGAAGACAGAATTTGCGCATCCACCGCTTGCGGGCGTGCACCCACCTGGGGTGTCGTCCCCGGTGGCCATGTCCTGGATGAAGGCGTCCACCGCGGGGAAGGGCGACGCCTCGGCCACCCGGCTGGCCTTGACCACCGTGCTTCGGGCAGGACCGGGGCGAGCGCCGACCTCAATCTGACGCAGGTAGCCGGAACAGGTTTCAGAATGAGCAATGCACTCAGCAACCGACCGTCTCAAGCGTTCATCAGTCCTTGCATGCTGAGTGCCCCGAGAGAAGCGAGAGAACGTCACTGGTGCTCACCTCGTCGAAGACCGTCAGCAGGGTGGCACCGTGGAAGCCGCCAGGAGGACAGATGAGGGCCGAAAAGAAGACCTCCCGCTCTGCCTGCAACACAACCGAGACAGTTATTAGCAGGAGATCAGCCTTACCGGAGTTACCTCGCCCCTCTTAACGAGCATGTTTCTGCGACCTATGCTGGCCCCGTCTTGCCCTGGAATTGTAGAATCTTACATAGTGATTCCAAAATAGCAGGCCTTTCCATATAACAATTATGAAGACAACCATTCTTAGGAGTGCTTAAAGTCGCAGATAGTCACAGACTTCAACCAGATTCTGTGTAATAGCAGGCCAAGACAGACGAAGGCCAACTCTTGTAAAGCTTCAGACCGTCACATAATTTAGCGATGGGGGTGCGAGGCTGCTGGTGAGCTCACCAGGTTCTTGCACTTGAAGCGCGGGGTGGGCAGCAGGCGTGCCTTCTTGCCGTACTTGCTCGAGAAAGGCAGCCGGAAGGCGCGGTTGCGGCTGTAGACGGCCTCGTCAATCAGCAGGCTGGACGGCCACTCCCCAGCTGCGCCCGTGGCCTCCCCCGGCTTCCACACAAACAGCATGGCGCAGGAGGGGTCGGTGTCGCGCATGGCGCGCAGGTGGCTGCAGAACTGCGGCAGTTGGAGGACCATCAGAGAGAAGAGAGTGCCAGCTCTTTGTCACCGAAGTAGTCCCAAACCACTGGGCGAAACTTGCGAAATCAGTTGTGTCGAGTGGATATCATCGTTTAGTGGCAGGTTGTAGGAAAGAACCAGAAGAAGCTCAGATGGTGACACATGGTATTGTCATGAGGAGGAGTGCACTGACCTTTTTGATGAAGGCGCCCACGTGGGCATTGCTTTTGAAGCCATGCCCCGGGAGAGGCGCAATGAGATGCCGGGAGAATTTCTCTGCGCACGAGCAGCACGCTGTAAGTGCAACCTTTCAAATCTTCCAGCCGTTGCCCCTGGGGCCCTCTGACCTTTCAGTCGTCATTGCTCCTCATTCAACCGGCACTCGCCGTAAGTTCTCCCGCCCTGGCCCCGCGCTCACCGTCTGTGGAGGAGTCCAGCTCCACAAGGGCGTCCTCGCGCAGGGCCAGCCCCAGGTGCTCCTGCACGGCTGTGCTCAGAAGGCGCAGCAGGGCCACCATGAGTGGCTCGGCGTCCGCAGCGGGGTTGGGGCCCTTGAGGTACTCCAGGTCTAGGTACAGGTGGCATGCGCAGCCCTGGATGTGGAAGCAGAACATTGCATGGGCAACACAAAAGACTATAAGTGGGTTGCGTGAGTGGGCTTGCTTTTGTCAATTGCAAGGCTTGGACTGGACGGTCCTGCCACCCTAATTCCAAGGCCTTGCTCGCGCACAAAATGGTTACGGGGCCTAGGGGAGCACTTCCGTGGGTGGCATTGACAAGAACAGCATGCCAGATGATGGAACTCTGGCTTGCAACGCAAATCTCTTCAAGCTTGATTGAAGACGGGCGTCAAACTCACCTCTCGTATTATCTCATAGTAGTGCTGGTGGCCTGGCAGCATGCGCTGGTACCTGCAGTTGAAAACCACCCTCTGAAACTTAGCAATTTTACGGTTGACAGCTACTTCTATGTTTGTCACTACTTTGAAAGTGAGCTGCTGGTTAACAGCATCCATGTGTTGGGTCTTAAGTGTCGCTCTGAACTTCCAAAGTGGCGAAGGGACTTGACAAGAAGCCTTTCCAAGTAGCCCAGCCAACCACTGGCGTGCTCACCTCTGCCAGAAGACGTCAAGTGTGGTGACCAGGAAACGGCGCCTCCCTGTGGCGGAGTCCTCAAATGTGAGGACAGCCAGCCGATCGGCATCAGCATTCTGGGCATCATGGGCGTCAGCAAACTTGAATGCCATCTCCTGTGTTGGGAAGATCTGCCACACTGCAGCCCTGTAGAAACAGCCAACAGGAAAAACAGTCAAGGCTAACAAAGGCCCCATCAAGGAATACCAAAATTATCTTCTCAGTCGATCCCTGCTGTACACATACAGCTTCCCTCCTTGATGGAAGAAGATACAGCGGCAATGCTGCAGCAGATTGAGTTATTAAGCGCGGCTGACCTTGCTAGTCGCTGCCTCCGAGCTTCTTCTTCTGCTAGTATGAAGTTTTTGTTGGCAGAGGCGATCTGTTTCAAAAGGGCATGCCACTGTGTCGACGTGCTTCTCTTGCCGTAGAACTTCTGACCACCGAGCGACTTCTTGCAGCGAGCCTGGAGAGCCGCGGATGCATCTCCAGCAGCGTCACCTGCAGCCCCTGGCTTGCATTCATTCTGTACTACAGGAGAGCGGCAGGATTCTACGCTTGCCGCAGATCTTGCTGCAGCGGCATATCCTGAACCACTTGACTTGGTCTTCTCACTTGCTTTCAACCGTGCCCGCTTGCCCGCCCTGTAACAATCAAGCAGCTCACTTGCTTGCTTACTTGAAAGAGGTGCATCCCCTCCTGCCTCGCTTGCCATTTGTGCTTGTCTTCGTCGTGCAGGTGTGCCGGCATGTTCCTACGTCGTCTCAATTGCATATTAATATTATGATCAATGCAGCCTTTCGAAGCTAACGCAGGGTTGCACGGTGCCGCGCTGCACAGCTAGATTTCTCCCAGTGCTTGCAAGTTGCCAGCCAGCGTGGGGGTTGCAAAGCACTCCCCCAAAATTGCCAGACGGTACATTTCACGTTGTCATCTGCCGCCAAACAGACGGTCCGGGAGGATGCAATTTGAACCGTCAGATGATGATATCTAAGACTCAATCTGCCACGTTCACTAGTCGTCGACGACCGTCCGATCGGTCCGACGGCCTCCACCAAACGATAACGTTTGTATCATACTAAGAGCTGCTAACTTTTCCTGCGTCATACCTTACAAGCAGGATAAAGCTTACTGGAGGCTGCGAAGAATGAAGAGTTGAGGAAGAGATGAAGATAATCACATCGAGTCGTGGTACTCGACAAACAGCCAAGATCGGCTTCAACCTTGTTGAGCTTATCTTCAAGGAGTTTTCTGAAGACTTTCTCATGGGGATCATCGCACGTGACAAGCAGGGGCGCAGTACCCTGTTTGATATTACGATAGCCTACAATCATTGAGATCATTCCAAATTCACTCATTGCACGACTCTGTACGCTTTTGTAGGTTTCATATGACGATGTACTCAGTCGCGTCAGGATCACATGAGACAAACTAAGAACAGACTAGCAGACTTTGCTTGCAGCCGTCCTTGCCCTATGCTGTACACCGCCAGGATGAAGGTTATATTGGAAGCAACGTCCAGCTTCAATAGGTGAAGGATCTTTTCTTTCCTTAGATACTGGTACAGTGGGCTTGTAAACCATCAACCGATTTTCACATTATCACTTTTCAAGGCATCCGAGTTGCGAGCTACGCATTCGCATCCTCGACGCCCTCCTCAACGCTCACGACCGGCTCGTACCCAAGCTCCCTCCGGATCTTGGAGTCGTCTATCCGAACGTCCCGTCCGATGAGCGCCAGGTCCTGCCGGCCGATCAGCGGTTCCCTCGTGACTCCGTATCCTAGCAGCGGCACGTTTTCCAGGGCGGACTCGCGGTACCAGAGCAGCCAGAAGGGCACGGTCGCCGTGGGCTGCTTCACGCCCGGCTGAGAGGCCACGTACTGCAGCAAAAAGTCCTTGAGCAGCCGGGGAGGGCCGTCCGTCACGAAGTATACCTGCCCGCCTGCAAGCAACACAGGGCGTGCTTCTTGAGTGAGGCGTCGCCCATGGAACGCGCTTGTCCAAAACAGAACGAAGCGGCTGTTATCAGGAAGATGGGCCGGCACTTCGCATCGGCAAGCTTGACGTCCCTCACCGGGCAAAATTCATAACTGCTGCAACTCTAAAGAAATGACAGACGGTGATGATGATCAGAGGCACCGAGACAGACTGAAAAGACACATGTATCACAAAATTTGAGAGTCCCTCCGCTTTGATTATGTCTGGCTCCTGCTCCGCGGACTTGGCCTGTAGCATCCTGGTCACTAAGAACCTTGAATCCTTCTGACATGCCAGCATCTCAACGATCAAGAGATTGTTCCAACGGTTTCATGTCGATTAGACAACATGTCGAGATCAAAGTCGTGACGGTTTCCGCCACGTGTGCATAGGAAGTTCTTCCAGATCCAATAACTCTTCCCAGCCGCTTGCGAATCCACAGGAATAATTACCGATGGGTTTTGCAGAAGAAGATCGCCCTAGTTTGCTTTAAACAAAGGAGCAAGAGCCGTGGCCGCTGGGGCTGACCTCTGCCCCGTGCCTGTGCCGCCAGGCGCAGCGCGTGGCAGACGTTGATGACGTGGCTGGTGGAGGAGACGGCGAGGGGCGTGATCCAGCGCCACGACCCGTCGTTGAACTGCTGCGTCAGCGTCGGCCGCATCACGCTGTCGCCCCGGCCCCACACAAAGCGCGGTCGCACCACCACCGCTGCACAGAGACCAGCGGACGTCAAGAATAAAGGATGGTGGAGGATGGCCGGGCGATGGGGCTTGGAAACATCAACGAGGGCTTGTAGGTAGTGAACCGGCTCTCGGCCCAATCGACTCGACTTCCTTTTCACCACACCACAAGGATTCACTGGGAATCGACTGGATTTCGAACGAGGTTCAGAGTGCAGGAATCGAACGACGCCTCGTTCTGCAGTCTGAAAGACAGCCCAAATCCACTCCGAAAACTTTCACAGCGAGCAGAAACAGCGCTCTACGAGCAAGTTGAAGGCAAACTTTTCCAAGCATGTACACGTCAAGCATTCTCTGGACAGTTTTGTGCTGAAATGCACATGTGAGCATGAAAGGGCGTACTTTCAAAGTCGGGCGGCGAGTTGGCCTGCAGCACGAGCTTCTCCGCCTCGGCTTTGCTCCGGGAGTAGGGGGCCCAGGGGGGAGGATCCACGGGGGTGGTCTCGTCCACCGACCCAATGGAACCATCGGCCTGCAGACAGGCAGGCGAGAAGCAGGGCGGACGTCAAGCAAGCAAGACTTAGCAAGCAAGACTTCTTTGCTGCATCGAAGATCGCTACGAACTGAGTATTTACACTCGTAGAGATCATAAAGCAAAGACTAGTTCTCGACGGTAGGCAGAGAACTACGATGACTTACGAAGCTTTCAAACACGTATTGCCTTCGTGCACCTTTGTTGGATCTTTCAAAGTTTGAGGAACAGAAACAAGGCTGACCATTTGTGGACGATAAGACAAAATACAAGAAGTATCCGAAAACGTGACGGGAGAAGCCCAAAAGCAGTGACTTTTGAAAGACCAACAAGAAGAGCTTGCTACACATGAGATATAACAGACAGGACACGTTCCCTTGTCGATCAGTTCCTGGAAGCAAGGAGGTCACGACGGATCCAATCACAGTTTTGTTACACAGTTGTCCTCTTTCAACCCCGAGTGGCTAGTCCTACCAGCTCGAGGCCCTTCTTGAAACAGGCTCAGAGCCGCCGTACCTTGACCAGGACTGCTTCCGAGCTGATGAACACGAACTGGGCCACCCCCGCAGCCCTTGCCGCCGCCAGAGTGTTCCTGGTGCCCTCCACCGTAATCTTTTGGAAATCAGAGTAGGGGCCCCAGCCGTCGATCTTGGCGGCAGCGTGAATGACGACGTCACACCCCTGCATGCCTGCACAAGAGTTCATCAAGCAGGAGGTGAAACTGTTTTGAAGCACTAGCATACCTTTTGCCGAACAACTCAAACTTGATATAAGCTCATGTGCAAGAAGCCATTGAAATACAGAGTGGCAAATGAGACAGCACCAGCCACGCCAGTGAAGAATTGCATACCGAGGATTATGGGGCCACCAAAAGGAGATGTATGAGGTGGTCATCCTGGCGGCACACTGGGCCTGTCCAGGTGTGAGAAGAGCCTCTGGGTTTCCAATGTAGCGTCATTGCACATCTACCAATACAGGTCAGCTCAAAACGTCAGAGAGCGTCAACTCACCCCAGTAGTCTAACGGATGCATCCAGGGGACCAGCATGCATCTCTTCTGGCATCCTTTTCTGCATCTCTCTTCTCACCTTTTTTAAGCACATCTTCCGCTGTCAAGTCCCCTCGCACAATCTCAACAGTCCCCACCTCCGGCCGCTTGCCGTTTGGTGGCAGGCCTTTGGTGGGGACCACATCGCTGGCCTTCCTGATCTTCTCATCGGCAGCCGAGCTGCGCGACAGGGCCACCACCGAGTCCCCATGGTACCTGAGGAAGGGGGTCAGCTGCGTCCCAATGAACCCAGACGCGCCTGTCACAAACACTTTCATTGTGCTCATGCACACAACTCTTCCAGAGCTGGTCCTCACCAAGGTTCTAGTATTGCACCCTGGCCCTAGAAAGACGTCTAAATATGACCTTCTACTGAAGAGCCTGATTACCTGACCGCAGCTACCAACATGTGACGCCTGCATGTAGCTGGCTGTAGCCAATGGAGGTGATCAGTGCTTCAACATATGCATGTGCATTGACAATGAGGGTGCTCGGCAACTGCTTGGTGCAGTTGCATGAGAAGGAAACTGCTGCATTGCGAGTTCCTGCGGGACTAGGATGACGGACTACCTGCGCCTCAAGCCTTGTATCCTATATGTGTGTTGGGGCCATGCTGCAGCTGAACGCTGCGGCTGGCCAGCATGGGCGACGTGCTGTCTACTGCGCCGTCTGATCAGATGGCTCAGCTTGCAGTATTCAGTCCGTGCATAATGCAATTCTGGTACCAAATCCCAGCGTGACATCAGCCGGCTCTGACGTAGCGGTGCTCGTAGCAGGGCTTACGTCAGCGGTTTGCTTTAACTGGGTTAGGTGTGGTAGGTACCTACATGGCGCCGGTCCTAACCCACCTCAGGCCCAGCCTCCCAGGCCCAGGCCCAGAGGCCCAGGGCCCCAGGCCCAGGGCCCAGCTGGTAGACCCTACGAACCCACAACCTTCAAATTTACCCGGGCACGATCGCCGCGGTCGCGTGAAATTTCACTCAGTGAAATTTTGCCGCACCGTAGACTGCCGACACTTGGCAGAATTCAGGCAGGTTGTTCGCGAATCCAGTCTGCGTTTCAGACCTGTAAGAACTGCCCCTGTCCCCCGGTCAACTTGGTCATACCATAACAGGCCTGTATTTGGCGACAAGTCCGCCCGGTGTGTTCAGTGAACCTTGGGGTCGACCGAGCACTCCTCTAGGCTTTAGAAGTCCCCGGTAGAGACCTTAGCTTGTGAACCTTACCGGGCGGACTTGGGGCCAAAAACAGGCCTGCAATGGTCTGACTGCCTCACCCGGGGGACAGGACATTTCTCACAGGTCTGAAACGCAGACTGGATTCTGAGACAACCTGCCTGAATTCTGCTAAGTGTCGGCAGTCTACGGTGCGACAAAATTTCACTGAGTGAAATCGCGCTGCTCTGCCCGGGTCAATTTTGAAGGTTGTGGGTTCGTAGGGTCTACCGGCCCAGCTGGGGTTTCTCGCAGGTCTGCGCTGTACAAATAATACAATCACCATTGGCATTGGCATCGATATCGTCTCCGCCAAAGCTAGTCCTAGGCCTGTGATATGGCGGCCTTTCAAAAGGACAGGTGCTTCCAGCTTGAATTGGCACTCTACACGTGCTGTCCATAGCTCCTGCTTGTAATTGTCTCAGCAGCACGACTTTGTCCCTAGAAGACTTAGAAGAAGCGGCCCGTCAGCTGGAGCGCTCATGTTGCTTTGTAGTGAGCAATGTGATAAACCGCAGCTTTGCTTTGCCCCTTTTGGAGCACCGGCTGCCGCCAGGATGCGCCGCTGGTTGCTGCTTGGCTTTCTGTCTGCTTGCCTCTGTGTTGGAGAAGTTCTTGGCAGCAGCTATGAGGCCTCCGCTCGCGCAGGTGAGAAATTGCATCTAGGCTTTTCCCCCACTGCAAGGGGGAAAGAATCACAGAGGGTTTCGGCTGTATGTGTTCCTAAAGCGATTCAGCTTGGCCGGCGGTTATGAGATTCGAAGGTGGCCGCCTTGTAGGGGGCTTGTTGAAGCTGCTGGTACAATTGGAAGGCAATGATCCGATGGAGACACTCACACCGATCAAACTATCATAGTCAGCGAAAGGAAGCGTGTTTGGTGTGCCTCTTCACCTTGGGCATTTCTCACTGCTTCTGTTTTCTGCCCTCCTTCCAGAGGTCGCTGGCTTGCTCACGCCTTTCGGCAGCAGGGCTGCCGCTAAAAGAGGCGACCAGCGGCGGCGGCAGCTGTTGGCGGACTGGAACAAAGTGACCGCGGAAGAGTATCCTCTACAGCGGGCATGAACGAATGGTCCTACCATTCAGATGATGGAATGCTGCTCGTTGTGTGCATTTCTTCATTCTTGGACTGCCATCCCTTTCCTTGACTCCTGGCCCCCCCCATCAGCTCATTGGTGGACCTTCTGAAGCAAGGTGACGCTGGCATTCGCCCCGACAAGGTGGACCAGGTGGAGGTGGGGAATGTGCTGCTGGACGCTCCGCGCTACCACAGCAATAAGGAGCTGCAGGAGTACCTGCACGGCTTTGTGCGCCGCTGCGGCCATGTGGCCAGCCTGGAGCAGTTCGGCAACAGCACGCTGGGCACCCCGCTGGTGAGGGCGTTGATCAGGATATGTCACGGGAGAAGCGCTTGAAGGATTCTAGACACGAATCCAGTGTGTCTAGCTTTGACTTGGTGACACGTCCAGGCTGACAAGTGGCAGCTGCTCACGGTGGCCGTGTCCGATGCAGTGGGCCCTTGAGATCTCCGATCATCCGGGGGTGGAAGAACCAGAGCCAGCATTCAAGGTAAGAACTGTATGGCCGCTTATGATGGGTTGGTTATGCTGCGACGAGACTTTCAATTCGTAAGTGCATGTAGGAGTCCTGTCAAGAGCCCCAGCAAGATGGAAGCCCAGCTTCAGCTTGAGTTTCTGTGTCCTCCGCTTTTCGCACACCTGTCTTACTGGCCTTACTCCTGGGTGCAGTTTGTGGGCAATATGCACGGCGACGAGCCTACCGGACGGGAGCTGGTGCTCTTCCTAGCGGAGTGGCTGTGCGCAAATCACAAGGTGGACCCGCAGGTAGGCCTCAAGCGCTTCTGCTGGAAAATGTTTTGGATCTTTCCTTCCAAGTTGATAGCGTGGTCCTTTCATGATCTGTCTATGCGCTCTATGACGCGGAGGGCATCCAGAGTGCGACATGTCACTGTGTCACGAGCTGCTGTCTTGGATATGACGTCGTGATGAGCGATACCATGTATCTACTCTCTAAGGGCCTGTCTGCAGGCTAAGCGCATAGTGGAGCGGCTGCACCTGTATCTGGTGCCCAGCCTCAACCCGGACGGCTTTGCCCGGCGCCAGCGCGGCAACCCCAACGGCATTGACCTCAACCGCGACTTCCCCGACCAGTTCTTCACCAACAACAACGACCTTGCGCATCGCCAGGCCGAGACGCAGGCGCTTATGAACTGGACTCTCAGCCACACCTTCACAGCAGGGGCCAGCCTGCACGAGGTGAGGTTGTGATTTCGGCCACCAGTTTGTGCTGCTGCAAGGAGGCCCCTGCCTTGGCAACCCTTCCTTGGGCGTAACGAAGGCCTGGTCGCTTATGTGCGGGTGCTACCAAAAGTCTGGTGGATTGATTCTTCAGTGGTGCTGCGCGCAGGGTGCTGTGGTGGCCAACTACCCCTGGGATGGCTCAACCGACCAAGGGTGAGTGCCCGGGCCTTGCAGCGAGAACACCCTGTGTTGATTTTGACGCAGGAGGGGCGTTGTCGCTTTTCTCCTTGGGTTGACCATTCTCTCTGCTTGGGTGCGTTGATGGCAGGTGGTGCACGCAGCCGTTTGCTCATAAGGCTCGACTTTACTCGCAGCACGCACTACGCAGAGGCCCCCGATGACACCGCATTTCGCCACCTGGCGAGCGCATATGCTCAAGGGCACGCACACATGTGGAACAGCTCTGAGTTCAAGGGAGGCATAACCAACGGGGCAGCCTGGTTAGCCGTCGCACTCCCTGTGCATCCGCTTGTAGACTGCTGGAAGGTCACAATTGCCTAGAGAGGAGCACTTAACCCAATCAGCTATGCAGCATCTCTCGGACATTTCCATCAGGAGAGAGTGACTTGACGTCAGGTCGTCCGAGGTCGCCTTCGCTTGACGTAAGAGCGTGTGGCTGCAGGTATCCGCTGTACGGTGGCATGCAGGACTGGAACTACCTCCATGGGGGCTGCCTAGACATCACCATCGAGGTCAACGAGAACAAGTGGCCCCCGCCGGAACAGGTGACGGCCCTTCGACTACGCTTCCCACGAGTCCCCCTCCATGCTTCGTTCTGAATCCCGCACCTGGATCCGAGATCTGTCCTGGTGTTCGGTTCCAACGTTTGCCGCTTGCCTGACTGCCGCTCCCGGCGCACTGCAGCTGCCGTCCCTGTGGGCGGAGCACAAGGGCGCCATGCTGGCCGTCCTGGACATGCTGGTCAAGGTGAGCACACGCCGAGCGGCACGTGCCTCGCCAATGTAAAACCCGCATGTCCTGCTGGCTCTCGACTCGTTCGCTTGTAAACCCGATGAACACTGCCAGCGCGAGGTCGGGTGCCCTCTTATTCGTGCTTGCGGGAATGGCTTTTTAGGCCTTGCTCTTGCTCTTGTGCAGTCGGGATTGCATGGGACGGTGATCTCTTCCGAGGACAAGCGGCCGCTGCTTGCGCAAATCGACGTTGAGGGTGCGGGCCGCCCGGTGAGTATTCGGCTGGGAGATAGACGGGCCTGCCATGGTCAGCAACGCGCACAATGAAAAGGACTCAGACCTTCCTGACAGCAGCTTTGGTGAAACTGGAGATGCTTGAGCAGACATTGAGTCCATGCCCGTTTATCCTTTTTGTCATACTGGCTCCTTTGGGTGAGCATCGAGATTTGAAGAGGAGGACAGCGGCCTAAGATGCATGGCAGTCTTTTGGAACATCTCACTCAAGGTGGTTGAATGGAACCCATGGCCAACGCAATCTTGCATCCTTACTACCCAAGTACCCTACTTAGCGAGGCTTCAAGAGCTCCCTCCATGATAAATGAGGAGTCTTTGATGCTCTCGCCAGCCTGGCCTGTGCTTCTTTTGAGATGCCGCCTCTTGACTTGTGCAGGTGCGGACGCGGGCGCTTTTGGGCGACTACCACCGTGTCCTTGCACCTGGCACTTACATCGTCCACGTGTCAGCCCCAGGGTTCAAGAACGAGACGGCTACAGTCATCATTGATGCGGACGCCCCCAGAGTGCTAGACTTTCGGCTGACAGCCTCCCCTGCAGGGACGCCCAGCAGACGCAGTGAGGGGGGTGCGTTTGTGGAGGGGGCCGACGGGGAGGGGCCTTTGAATGTGGGCAGCAGGGTCGGGGGCCGAAATGTGACGCAGCCGCTGCTTGGGAAGGACAATGCGACGTGGGGCGTGGCGGCGGGTCAAGAGGAACGGAGTGTGCGGGCGCTGTCCCCAGCAGACACGACGGCCGGGGATCGCAGCCTTGCACGGCCGCAGGCAAGGGTGGGAGCGGAAGGGGGCCGGTGGGATGCCGGGGGGGAACTAGAGGAGGGGCGCGGGGTTAAGCTGCCCCAGGTACGAGAAGCAGACGCGGTGATGACGAAGGGGGAGTGGGGGAGCGAAGGGCAGGTTGGAGGGCAGGAGAGGCAGGAAGAGGCGTTGACACAGGCCCGGCTACGAGGGGCGCAGGGGCAGCGGGGGATCAGCCTGGAGGAAGGGCGGGGGCGAAGCGGGGACGGGGAGGAGGACGCAGAAGACGAGGACGAAGGCGGGCAGCGCCGGGCGGTGCCGCGGGACAGGCTGGGGGCAGCAAAGGGCGCGTTCGACGCCAAGGACGACCGGAAGCGTACGGGCGACTTCGGGCAGAACGCAGCGTGGGTAGACACGGGGGGAGGGGAACGGGAGGTGGTGGCCGGCGCCAAGAGGGCGGCAGAGCGGAAGCGGGTGGAGTGGGGGGTGGGTGGGCGGGAGAACGTGGGCGGGGGGGACGGCCTGGACGAGCGGTTCCGGGAAGCAGGCAACGGAGGGAGGCTCGAGGCCCTGGGAGGAGTGGACACAGCCGAAAGTCGGGACCCGAGGATAGGGGGTGCAGGCGCCGGAGACCTAGATCCAAATGGGGACGAGATCTTCGTAGGCAAATCGGACGGCGAGAGGCCGTTCATTCCAAGAACAGGGACGTTCCCTGACTCCCCAGGCAACGAGCAGCGGACTCTAGATTCATACTATGCGGAGGGGCGGTCGACGTGGCACCATCTGACGATGGCCATGGCGGTTGTCTTTACATTCATGTTGCTCATACTCTGGAGTTGGCTGCGGGGGAGAAGGACGAGAAGCTACATGGTGCGCGGCCGGCCTGCGCGAATTGCGCGAGTCCCACAGATAGGCGGTCCGGGTCTCTTTCGGGACTGAGCTCTTACAGGTGACCTGGCAACTTACATACAGATATCACTGGCCGTGTACTCTACTTGAATATTATCATCTTGGTTTCAATGTTCTTGCACCTGTTAGCGTTCCGTAGTGCGTCTGTGCTTGATAAACAGATTCAGCAACGTTTACAGAGTTGTCTGCTTGGCTAAGCAATTCAGAATGGCGGCGCACGCGAATTACGTCCAGACGTATGCAGCCAGCGCCGACCAAGTTCATGGTCAATCCAAATATTGCGCCTGCGTCCGGGCAGGCTAGCCCGCGTTGAAGCTCGACATATGCAATATACTATTCCTCAGTGACCGTCTACCTTAATTGCATCCGATGTACTCCCTATGTCTCATGGTAGGATCGAACTTATACGAGCCTGAGGAGCATCACTATCCCGGGTCTGCCGGAGACCGTGCTCATGCATGGCTCCAACGTGGCTAAGGGCGTTACAATCAATGAGTTAAGTTACCATCATTGTGGAGCAAACAATTACATAGCCGCTGAGCAAACTGGCAATATGTCTCGCACGTTGGGCAGCCTAGTCCTGCGTAGTTGCTGCACACGTTCATGCATCGCGAACTAGCTCTGCATGTCTGAACTCGAGGAAAAGGGCTTCGGGCGGCCGAGATGTCGGCTGTGCAATGATATATATATCATTGTTTTCCGACAGGCCTGCACCCATATCCCCTTCATGATGCACTTCATTACATGCAACAGCCAACTCTGTGTACAGAGAATGATTGGTTGCAAAAGAGTCAACCATTATTTCTGGCCTTTCTGCCACACATTTAGTCCTTTGCGAATATAACACCTTCATACTTCAGAGAATAGCAGCCTGAAGGTCACCTGCATCGCGACTTGCTTTGCTGACCGGTCCTGGCTGCGGGCATGTTGTGTTGTGCTGAGATTTGCATTTACTTCACAACCTGGGGCTTCAAGGCGTTTTACGGTTGGTTTGACGGCACCTTAGACAACCTTTTCGTCTTTCAGAAAGCCAACATGTGTAAGAGCGTCCTTCAGAGCGACCAAAAGCAGCTCGATGTTCCGTGGCTGAGCATTGAAGCCCATAATGCCCACGCGCCACACCTGCGAGGCAGTGAAAAGGCATCGGAGAACAACATTTCTAGAACCAATCGAACCCTCTATTCTTTTTCTGCATCCATCCGAGTGAAATAAGGGTGGTGCACCCTTGAGTGACACCTACTGGGCCTATTTTGATGCTCTGCAAAGCGCACCGCCTTTGGTGATTCTCAATGCCCTCCGAACGGGGGCGATTGTGCGAGCACGTCCTTAGTTGGGAGCAAATGCCCGAGAGAACCCGTCGCAAGGACGAAGTTCGAGTGCCAAACCACAGCAGATGATCTCCGCCTGCTTACCTGTCCCGCAGTTGGTCCCAGGCCGCCCGCAATCTCGAGCTTGTACTTCTTCATCAGGAAGGCTGGGAGTCATAGGAAAGGCTTCAGCGTCATGGAATCCCGGTAGTCGAGAAGTTTCTCTTAACTTGGAGCTAGCGAGACCAATGACAACGGCCAGGATTGAAAATCTTGTCTTTGGGAGCACCTTTCGAGCATAGGGCGGCTTTCATACACGATCGACGACGTCGAATGTCCACCTTTCTGAGCACAGTGGATCTAGTGCATGGAACGCATGAGAGCATCCAGCATTTCCCGCAACACACAGCGCTCCTCCTCACCTGGAACATCAGCCCAATTGACACCCTTCGGTACCTGCAAGCGGTAGGAGAGGGAGCCACCACTTTGGAGCACGGCTGCGGGGACTTCAGGGTGGACAAGTACGGGAGCCAAGGAGAGCTTCCGCCCTCCTCGATATTTCGAAACGGAGTTCTTGGAGGCAGCAACAACACAAGCGGGCAGAGAAGCGGACCTGTGATCGAGCAGCTAGTTACGGGGTCTACACAGTCGTGATTGCGCCCGACTGTAGTGCTAGCACTCCGGCCGGACCAACTGGAGGACTTTCGTCCAGCCTCCTGTGCTTCATAAGGCGAGAATGTCTGCAGACGTGCAAAGAACCAACACTGGCAAGCACTCTTCAGGTAGGTCAGCAGCTGTTGCGGGGTACAGAACTGCATTCTAATTCGGCAGATCATGTAAGCCCGCTGCAAGAGACTTGGTCGTTCACCTTGATGGTGGTCACCGTCGGCAGGCGGGCCGCAGGATCTTCGACAAACAGTTCCAACCCCAACTGCACAGGAAGAGACAGAAGCGTCTGGCATGGGAATTTCTCAAGGGCACGACCTGCTTGGGCATATTCGAACGCCTCATCTCTCTCAATGGCAGCTGCCAGTCTCGCTGGTGAATCCTTTGTCTCGGGCAGACTCCTGACAGTGCGCATGGGCTTTTGAAGGTGCACAGACTCTCAAGGCCCGCTCTTGACAGGCTGCGCACCTGTTTGAGGCCCTCGTACAGCCTGTCGGCCATCTGTTGGTGGCGCGCCCAGGCGGCCTCCAGGCCCTCCTCGGCCAGCATGGCGAGCGCCTCGCGCAGCTGGTACACGTTGCTGACCATGCCCGTGTGGTGGTACTTGCGCGCAGCGCCCCCCACGCCCCAGTAGGGGCCCACCTCGTTCAAGTCGAAGTAGTAGCTCTGGACCTGCAGAACCGAAATCCAACATGAGCAGTTGGACCTCTGGGGACTTTTCGGCCTACCGTACGACCAAGGTATGATTCCGAATAAATAAATAATTATTTGCATTCGGAAAGTTGGAAACTCCCAATAAGCAGTCGGATTCTGCTTTTTCGGAAAGCGAAAATAATTGCTAAATCTCATTCGGAAAGTATGTCCAAGGCCGTATGAGTATCCGGTACGTACCTTTTAGTGCATCAGACCAAGAAAACATAGGTACCGGGGTACTCTTGGCAGATTCGTATTTAGGGTCGGAAAGTGGAAGATAATACACGATTTGGGCTCGCATTCGCTAAAATTAATACCTTTTTTGAGCATTCGGAATCATGCCCTGGTCGTAGGTATCACGATTTTGTTGTAACCGATCGAGACGTGAGCGAGCATCACTTGTGCCGACAAGCAAGAACGGTGGGCCGCACCTTGGTCTTCCTGGCAGCCAGCTTGGCGGTGGCCTTGTCGCTGAGGGTGAGCGGAGATGCACCAGGGGGGGCGCCCAAGCACTTCTGGCTGCCGCTGTACACAATGTCGAGCTCGTCGGCATCCACGTTGAGGGGGACGCCACCCAGGGTGCACACCGTGTCAACAAAAAGCAGGGCACCTGCACAAGAGGGCCGGTGCTTGATGATTCCCTTACTTAATCGGAAACGACAAGAAAGAAAGAGCCTTCTTGGAAAAGAGCACTTTACGGGGCACCAGACTTGATCATGGCCACAAGTCCTGTATGCTGTATTGTACTCCGGGGGGCTCCTCACCTTGCTCGTGGCACAGCTTGCCGAGGCCGGCCAGCGGCTGCAGCGTGCCCGTGGAGCTCTCTCCGTGGACCACAAACACAATCTTGGTGCCAGGGTTCTTCTCCAGCGCAGCTTTCACATCCTGTGCACAGGTGACCGACAGGTTTAAGCGGCAAACATTCTAGAATGAAACTTCAAGCCGGGAGGCAAGTCAAGAGCTACGCCACCACTGCCCACTGACTGTACAAAAGTTGGTAAACGACGCTCCAGCCAGTCGAAGCCTCATTGACTTCGAGCCCGCTTGTGAATGTTCCCCGAGCGGACATGATAACAATCCCACTTCTTGCAAGAAACAAAGTGTGTTCTGACCTCATATGAAAAGACTGTCCCCGGCTTTGTTTCCATTGGGATGACTTTGGCGCCAAAGCGTGCAGCAATATCCGTCATGCGCTCTCCCCAAATACCTACACAAAAGGAGTGGCCACTTCTCGATGAGTGAACCAGCTGGCGGAAATTACAAAACTTTCTAGAATCTTTGCAACTTTGACCACAGTGCAATAGATCAAGTCAAAGATCACAGCGTTTGGATTCTTTCCAGAACCTCTGACATGGGGCACAAGCCCAAACAGCAGTTTTCAGATCAAATAGAACCAAGAAATGTTCCGCGGCCAGCTCATTCTGGCTGGTCTCGCAGCCCCACAAGCATGGGCAGCCTTCCAGTTCTATTTCGATGCTCACCGTTGACACCAACAATCACCTGGTCCCCGGGCTCAACTGTGTTGGCCACTGCCATCTCCATGGCTGCGTGGCCAGTGCCGGACACCGCCAGAGTGGCGGTGTTCGAGGTCTGAAAGCCGTATCGGAGCCATGCCTGCGTGTCGTCCATGATGCGGAAAAATTCCGGGTGCATATGGCCTGGTGGGACAGACAGATAGCGATCAGTGGATGAGTGCAACTTGCTACTCTTGTTGTGCAATGCAACGCATCAGTGAAACCAGGTTCTCCTTTGCCTCTACTTCTTGATGGGGGTTCAAAATCCTCTGCAATTCAAGTTTATACATTCTCAGAGCACAACGGGTGCCGCCTAAAGATGGGTCATCGGGACAGCTCGGAGGGCTGACCTAACAGGGGAGCTGCACCAGCTTGAAGCACTCTTGGGTGAGGTGTCGAAGGGCCAGGACCTGCAGAAACGCAAGATGCTCCTTTTAGATACAATGCAGTCCTCCTGTCTAACAAATCATCCCGTATTCATTCTGATACACTGTCCTTTTGTTCACCATTGCAATTTCCTGGCAGACATTAATGAAAACAAGAGAGTTGAATGCTGCGTTCCAACCAGCACAGCATTGCCTAGAGATATCTCACCCATGAGAATCTTTGCAGGCACCTCAATGGGCGACGTGCTGATGCTGGGCGGAGCATATTTCAGCTTGCTCGACTCCATTCCGTCTGCGCAGTCTCCTTTGCTGCTATCCTTGTTGTTCTCCCAGCTGCAGATTTTGCTGGATGCGGTCGCCTTTCCGACGGCCAAGCAAACGACAAACAGGTTGAGAAAAGTTGTCCTGCTGAACGAATGCATTGCGACAGAGGAAGCTGCCACGGGACGACGACACATGTGTCATGATGCGACCGAGGATCCTCTTGCACCTGTGAGCGAGAACTAGGCTCTCGATCCTCTACGCCTTCACCTTTCTGTCTTGCAACCTGCGAAATGAACTTAACAGTTACAGTTACCGTTGTCTCTTTAACACCATTACCGTGCACTACTGCTAGTAATAGTATAGCCTCAGAATACCTAGCCTATAGGGACCATACCGTACTTCTCCGCAGCCATTGCTGGCCGGTGCCAGTGGCGCTTTGACCTGGCCTCAGACACATTCCAAGGCAATATGTACTTGCATGGCAGTGCATGGCATTGGTAGATTGTGGGGTGAGGCCAAGGCCAGCCGGACAGCCGAAGGCTCGTGGGGGCTCAGCACAGACAAGGCCAGCACAGCAGCACACATGGTTGAGGAGTCGACAAGAAGGAATAGTACGAATAGTAGGTATTAGGAGAGCGTGCTGATTCTCTCGTTGTACCGGATTCCCTTTTTGAGAGAGAAAGCAAGAGCTGGGGATGAGGTTCTGGTCAAGGTGACACTAGCATTGGGGCTGGTAACATTACTCTCGCTGAAAAGTAATAGCTGCGGCTTCGTGCCAGTGAGTCGCTGTGCCCAACAACAGCGGTGTGGTTTGTCTGCGAGCACAGCATGCTGTTCTTGTCTGCCAATAGGAGTCGTGTGCTGGGTCGAGGATGTGCAAGCTCTAAATAGTGCCGGGGAAGGTTCGTGTAGCCCCTTACAAAACATGAAAGCTGCTTATTCTTCTCGATTGCTGGTTACATTGAAACGCAGCTTTGCAGGCAATCAGGCAGAAGTCTGTGATACCTTGAAAGCTTTAGGTCTCAAAGGGAAGATCAATCAGACAGTAGAGAAGCAGAATACAGCCTCTATTCGAGGGATGATTGCCAAAGTGAAGAGACTTGTGGAAGTAGAGACTTTTGAGATGCATCAGCACCGCCTTGCAGAAGAAGCACATCAAAAGGCCCCTCAGCCTCCTTTCATTGTGGAGCATGGCACAGGTCCTAAGCAGGCCAACTGATTAAGGTACAAATGTTGCTACCAACTGATGCAGTACCGTAGCGGATGACAACTGGGGGAAAAAACCCCCTGGTAACCGACAAGAGTTTGGCAGATTAGAGGAATGCCATGGTTGGTACTCCCTACAGATGCCCACCATCTCAGTTTGCGCAGTGCTGCAGGAAGCAGTTCTGATAGCCAGTGAATATCTTTCTCAACTTCTGGCCATTAAATCAATCACAAGTTCCGGTTGGCAGTTTAGTTGAAAGAGCTAATAGATGGCTGATAATGCTCGGTACGATGTATTGAAGAAAGATGGTGATTGACCTATAGATGCAAAAGACAGATCTTTTTGGGGAAGCCTCAGGCCGCCCTGGTCATGGCGTCACAAAGAAGACCATCATTTTCCTGAGGATTTACATGGAAGCTTCAGGTGCAACATGACTAGCCGGATTATACAATCAAATGAAAGCAACGGTCAGCTGGTTTGTGCACATGCCTCGCAACTATGCAGTGGTGAATCATAAAACAATGCCCCTGGTTGGCAGATAATACAGCGCTGCATCTATACATGTTGATGATGTGGTGCAGTGAACTCCACGCGTAATGTCAACAAACTATACCGGGTCTGCCGGAGACCGGGGCTCCATGGCTCTAATGCGGCCAAGGGACAGCATTAATTTAATTGAGAAGTTACCGCTATGCATGAAGTGTTGAGTTGAATTCTCGACATGGCCTGATTGAATCCGGTGTTAATGCAACTGCAACCGCGATGCACGCTAGTGAACCATGTATATGTAGTGCGTAAAACTTCTCTAATTAAGTACCGGCGCCCAAGTACACACTTTCAACTTACGTTTCTTGTCACTAGTGTCTCACCAATCCAATGACTGCAACCGTTAGCGAGGATTTGGACAGATACTAGATGAGCAAATTTAAAGTCATATCAATGATGATGTCTTGCATCACTTGGGCCAATTGGCGAAGTCCTTTTCTATGAGTATATATGGGGTCTCCAAAGCTTTAACAAACCGGTTCACACCTTTTAACCTATACAAGGATGCGGAACGATTGTTTCTTTGCGACTTTTGTCAACCCTGCGAACAAGCGCATCTCGATCACAGGTGGTAACTCGATCCTTCTACCGGCTACTTCTATCCACGTTGGGCCTCCTTGATGCATCTTGCCAATCATCTACTTTCGAGTTAAACACAAAGCTTGGGAACTGAGTGGATATGTCCTTCAACTGTGGGAGTGTCATCTTGGAAAGGGTTGCTGGGTGATGCTTGACCATTTCTTGCCATTCAAGTTGATCAATCTTCCCATCTTTGTTGATGTCTGCCTCTTCAAAAGTTTGATCAACAATAGCGTCTATCTGCTCTTCATTTAGCTCAAGGCTCGTATTCTCTTGCATAAGCGACATCAACATCTCCTTGACCTCCGCCCACTCAATATACCCCGTCTGCATGAGACGGCAAGAAATCTTGGTCAACTGGAGATTGTGAGAGTCCAGTTTCAGCCAAGATCGATTTGAAACATGTCGTTCCTTCACCCAGTTTATTGTCCTCACAAACACTAACACGATAAGAATGGTTGATTGCTTGGCGGCGTTGCTAGGCGGACCCGGGGAAATGCCATTTATGGTAAGATTTTGAGCAACAAGGCACTACTTAAAAGAGGCTGAAAGGAGATGAGCACTTACCTCGTGAAGGTCATACAGATGGTACGCAAAATCAATCTTCTGTTGGACTGGAGCGTTTGGATGGAAGATGCTTAAGGACCGAATGAAATCTCCAAACCCAATCACTCCGTTGTGCTCCATGTCAAACAGCTCAAACACCCGATCCGCAAAAATGTTCTGCACTGAAGCATTGCCAAACATGACCTCCTTGAACTCCTCCAAGTGAATAACCCCGTCGTCGGAGAGCGAGCTGCTGACCTGCAGAGACAACAACAATTCAGAGCGGAAAAGCAGTGTAAAGCAAGACAGATTTTGCACTGGCTTTCATATCTCACACGTGTCACTCTCAAGGTTAAGGAATCTGTCTGCACCAGATTGCTGTCCATGTGACTCACGAGCGGCTCAGAGCTCATTAAAGAGTGCTTGCCGCAATAATTTTGGAAGATGAATGTCTGCATGTTGTACAAAGTTATTCAAAAATGACATGGCATCACCAAATTAGGCCCTGGAGATTCGGACCTCAACGGTTGCAGAGTAGCCTCCGTCAATATTGACTCACCTTTTTAAACAACTCATACAAGGCCTCTACTTCACTGATGGTAAAAGCAGTCTCACTTGCCAAAATCTGCAAGAAGCAGGTACTCAACAAGTTGCATCAGTGTATTAGATATCACTGGGGTGCCCCCTACATTTGCGGGTTTTTGTTTTAGCATGTACTGGGGGCAGCTCCTTACAGACCCAGCAAAGATGGACATTCACAACTCAGGACTGTGATTGGTCTTCTATCCACAATTTCTACAATAAGGGAATGGCCTGAGAAAAGGCCTTCTTGTCAACTCAAGAAACAATCACTAGGATCTGCATTCAACCCCTTTCTTCACATTTTCATTTACCAGAGCAATAGGCGGACGAAGTACTAGAAACTCCATTGTCAACCATTGGTCCTTACCTTGGGATCTTCATATCCAGGCGGTCGCCTGTTCTCTTCTTGCAGATTAAAGCAATTACCCAAGATGGGCAAGCACGCCCAAGACATCCGGTGCATCAGGGTTACCACAAAGAGATCTACAGGAAGTAATGCCACAAGGAGTACCTGAGATCCAGCAATTCTACAGTAGTGCCAATGCTGAAGGCTCCAGCGGTCCAGAAAGTCGTGTGCTCAGGCAGACAAGCTCTGTGCAGATCCCAGGGCCGGTTTGAATGGACCCTCGCGCACAGCATGAGTTGCTGCAGAGCCTGCATGTGAGACTTTGAAAGCCAAGTTCACCGGACTGGCTAGCCAGCTAGTAGCTTCAAGCAAGCAGGGATCCCCATACTGCATGAAGCCGTATGGTCTATATAGGTAAGAGCCTTGGCAGAGACCCGAGAGCCAATATTCGATGAAGAACTGAATCCTGAGCCCAGAAGTACACATATAGTGTAGTACATCACTATCCGCCGGTTTTGGCATCAACCGGCATTGTCGTTTTACCAGCGATCTCGTTTGGAGACCATCTTTTCTTGTCGAACACGCCGCTTGCAAAGCGTCATTTACCGGTCTTACGCTCGTCATGGGAGAAGTCATGCATTGCAAATCACTTGCGAAAAAGACGCAAAACAATGCCATAAGCAGGAGAACCTGCAGAGGTTATACCTGCATCAGCACTCCACGAGCACCTTCTCTACTGAAGTCTGGGGACTCGTGCAAGCACTTGGAAGTGGGAACATAGGTAGCAAACAAGACTCAATGACAAAAGCTCAGCCTCAGGGGTGGCAGCCTGGCGGCCTTGCAGGACGCTTTTGACCTTGTATTCAGTAAGAATAATCCCAGATTTGAAAGGTAAAGTAGCAATGGCTCTGGTTGTCTGACAGATACAGCGTAGATAAAATGGATGAGAAAAGCTTGCGGCTATGGGTAAGCGATCAGTTGTATTCCCTGCTGGGGTATGCAGAAGCCAATTTGGAAGCCTACATCATCACACTAGGTGCGTGAACAAACCCTTTTTTACTATCTGAGAAGGTGCATCATTGATTGTTCTGATTGCTGTTGGGGCGTCCGTCATTCCTGTTAATGTCGAGAATGAAGTGATATCACATCGATCCTGGGGCATTGGATTCTGCAAAGTCTGCTCTTGAGTTGACTGTTGGTTACTTCAAAATATATAGAAGGAATGGGTCACCAGCATCTCGACGGCCTAGTGCAGACACCTGACAACTCATTCACTTGTGCAGCCAAGCGTGCTTCGTCCTCAGAGGCGCTGGCCGGTCTGCTTGCGGGCCAACTGGGTGATGGCAAGGTCACGCCCAGTGAAGTGGCTCAGTTTGCTCAGGCGCTGTATGACAACGTTCCGCACAAGGGGCCAGCCCGCAAGGTATGCCCCTGACATTAGAACTGGCTGGTTGGCTGGTGCACATAGCTTTCGTTTGGAGATGTGTTCAGTGCCTAAGAAGTCAGGATGCGGTCTTTCTTTTTGTCAAGCTGCATCATGAGTTTGTTCAACATTTTCAGGCCGTCTGAGTCCTGGAACCAGCCTGCTTTCGTGCCTGCTTCTTTGCGATGGGCTACCTCAGGTGCTCAGCTGCTCGTACTCCCACTGGAGTATACCCAAACAATTCTCCCCTGCAGGCTTATCAGGAGGAGGTCCGTGTAGCAGCCGAGTACGCTCGTAAGCAGCAGCGGTATGCGCTCATTGAGGCTGACCCTGACGAGGATGCGGACGTGCCTTCCACCAGCGCGCCTGCTCCGGAGCCGGCTGGTGGAAGTAGCAGGAGGGGTAGCAAGCAGAAGAAGCATTTGAGGAAGAAAAAGGGGTCCGACGATGATGCGGGCAGCAGCGATGATGGGGTGGTGCGGCCGGCCCCAAAACGTAGCCGGCGAAGGGGGGATGCGAGCGAAGAGGAAGATGACGAGGAACGAGAACGGAGGGCGGAGAGGGAGCGGGACCAGGCGGAGAGGGCCGACTTTGAGGACCGGCTTCGGGAGAAAGACGAGGCGAGCACGAAGAAGGTGGTGGAACCGAAGCTGAGCAAGGCGCAGCGTGCGGAGGCGGAGAAGCGGGCCAAGGGGGAGGCAGACCGGGAAATGGTGCCCAGTCTGCGGGACGTGTCGCGGCAGGAGTACCTGGCGAAGCGAGAGGCACAGAAGCTAGCGGAGCTGCGGGACGAGCTGCTGGACGCAGAGATGCTGTTCAAGGGGGTGAAGCTGACGCGGGCGGAAGAGGCAGAGCTGGCGTACAAGCGGCAAGTGTACCAGCTGGCACTGCAAAGGGCGGCAAAGCTGGAGGAGAAAGAGGACGGGTACCACATGCCCACCGCATACGATGAGGACAAGATGGGCCACGTAAAGCGGTTTGACGTGGCGCTGGACCGGTACAAGGAGCCAGAGACGGACGCCGCGACGCCGTGGGCGGAGCAGGACACGTGGGAGAAGAAGCAGCTGGGGAATGCCACGCTCACTTTTGGCGCCAAGGACCGGAAGCAGGCGGGGGAGGAGTACGAGTACGTGTTTGAGGACCAGATCGACTTCATCCAGAGTGAGCTGCTGGCGGGCGCGGACGAGGGGGAGGAGCCGGAGGACCTGAAGAAGGAGGCGGCGTCGCAGGCGCGTACGGCGCACGAGAAGATGCAGGAAGGGCGCAAGCAGCTGCCAATGTTCGTGTACCGGGAGGAGCTGCTGAAGGCGATTGCGGATCACCAGGTGTTGGTGATTGTCGGGGAGACGGGGTCCGGGAAGACGACGCAGATCCCGCAGTACCTGCACGAAGAGGGGTACACGAAGCGGGGCAAGGTGGGGTGCACACAGCCGCGGCGCGTGGCGGCGATGAGCGTGGCTGCGCGCGTGGCGGAGGAGGTGGGGTGCAAGCTGGGCAACGAGGTCGGGTACAGCATCCGTTTCGAGGACTGCACGAGTGACAAGACGGTGATCAAGTACATGACGGACGGCATGCTGCTGCGCGAGTTCCTGGGGGAGCCGGACCTGGCCAGCTACTCCGTCATGATGATCGACGAGGCGCATGAGCGCACACTGCACACCGACATCCTCTTTGGACTCGTCAAGGTAGGCGCACAAATTTCGGTTGACCTTCTTGTCTTACTGCAGATGCTATGGTGGTCTGTATTGTAGAGTCAACTTCAACTTTGTTGGTTTGTTGGAACAAAGAAATTCGTTTTTCATGGCATGCAGGTCTCTTTTTACGTCAAATCGTCTAGTCAAGTGGAAATTAGTGAGGGTCTTCATCAGCGGCCCGCTGCTGAGTCTGAGTTCGTGTAGGTGATTGTAGTAAATGCGCGTGTCCCTCCCTGCGCGTGGAAGTCGAATCTTTCCACATCAGTCTGAGTCATGTGTCGTGCTGTTGGTCGCCCCTCCAAGTTTTCGCAAGGACTTATGATTCAGATCCGCAAATGCTCTTGGTGCTCAATGCTCGCCTTGCAATCAATTAGCTCTCGTGCTCGGTGTCTCCCAGGACATTGCCCGCTTCCGCCCCGACATCAAGCTACTCATCTCCAGTGCCACGCTAGACGCCGAAAAGTTCTCGGAGTACTTTGACGGCGCGCCCATCTTTCGCATCCCCGGGCGGCGTTATCCGGTGGACATCCTGTACACGAAAGCACCTGAAGCGGACTACCTGGATGCGGCGGTGGTCACTGTGCTGCAGATCCACGTCACGCAGCCTGCAGGGGATGTCCTGGTTAGTGCCCTTCCTGACTTGGCCAGACTGCTTAGTCGATGGTCACGAAAGGTACACTGCGATTAATTCGCATCTCGCCTACTTACTCTTCACGAAGGTTATTGCGTTGCTGCAAAGCCCTCGAGAGTATTGAACAAAAACGCGACGAAGGTTTTCCTTACTGAAGCAATTTCCTGGATGGGACGGACAGCTTCACCTGCTTTCTTTGGACACTTTGACTTTCTTCGTCGGTTTCGATGTTCGGATGAACGTTGATGCTCAAGTACTAGGGACAGGACGGATATTTGAAGTTTGTCTTTTGAGTCCTTGACCATGGACTTGCCCTGTGCGTGGGGAGCCGACCCGCGTTTCTGTCCAGCGGTCTTGTTGCGCACTGTTTTGACCACCTCACTCGCCACCTCGCAGGTATTCTTCACGGGCCAGGAGGAGATCGAGGCGGCGGAGGAGATCTTGAAGGGCCGCCTGCGCGGCCTGGGCACCAAGGTGGCGGAGCTGCTGATCTGCCCCATCTACGCCAACCTGCCGTCCGACCTGCAGGCCAAGATCTTCGAGCCGACGCCCGAGGGCGCGCGCAAGGTCGTGCTGGCCACCAACATCGCGGAGACGAGCCTCACCATCGACGGCATCAAGTACGTCATCGACCCCGGCTTCTGCAAGCAGAAGAGCTACAACCCCAAGAGCGGCATGGAGAGCCTCATCGTCACGCCCATCTCCAAGGCGTCCGCCAACCAGAGGGCAGGCCGGGCAGGTACGCCTCCCTGCATCAAGAGTGCATTTTTCTTTTTGCGAAGACTGGAATTGGCCGTTTTCCCTCAACCGCTTTCCTGTCTGTAGAGCCGCTTTGACAAGCGTGAGAGTGTAAAGGCGGTGCTGACCCCGTGTATCGCTGCTGTCGTCTGGCACTAGTATCCCGTTCGGACACGTTAAGGAGAGCAAGTCTTGTCATGATGTCGCCTTTCCTGCGCCCTCAGGAGATTCGACTCTTTCCGGACCTTGTATTTCGCTCTGACCCCCTCCCCCTCCTTTCTTGCTGTCCAGGCCGCACGTCCCCCGGCAAGTGTTTCCGGCTGTACACGGCGTGGTCGTACCAGCACGAGCTGGACGACAACACGGTCCCCGAGATCCAGCGCACCAACCTGGGCAACGTGGTGCTCATGCTCAAGTCGCTCGGCATCAACGACCTGCTCAACTTCGACTTCATGGACCCGCCCCCCGCCGAGACGCTCCTCAAGGCGCTCGAGCAGCTGTACGCGCTCGGCGCGCTCAACGACCGCGGCGAGCTGACCAAGATGGGCCGCCGCATGGCGGAGTTCCCAGTGGACCCCATGCTGGCCAAGATGCTGATCGCGTCCGAGAAGTACGGCTGCGTCGACGAGACCGTCAGCGTGGCCGCCATGCTCAGCGTCGGGAACGCCATCTTCTACCGGCCAAAGGACAAGCAGGTGGGGCTCGGGACAAGCGTCCGCTTCTCGTCCGTTTGGGCACAATCTCTCTGAAATTTTAGTTCTGCTTGCCAGCAACTTCCTCAGCTCTTTACGAAGCTTTTTGGATCGACGTTGTGCTTTGGCTTATATTCTTCTGATCTATCGTGTATTCTTTGACCGGCTTTTTGCACAGGTGCTGAGCTGTAATGCTTTTGCCAAGTGCAAAAATTCCGGCTTGACCAATTTCAGAGTGTGTGTGCTGGCGTCGGCACAGGAAGCTCTCCCTTTGGATGGCCCTTCACGTCCCCCACTCGGCCGCTGACGCTGGTTGTGGCCCGTTGCTTTCAGGTGCACGCGGACAACGCTCGCGCCAACTTCAACATGGGCAACGTGGGCGACCACCTGGCGCTGCTGAACGTGTACCGCAGCTGGGCGGAGACCAACTTCAGCACGCAGTGGTGCTTCGAGAACTTCGTGCAGCCGCGCAGCATGAAGCGCGCGCGCGACATCCGCGACCAGCTGGAGGGCCTCATGGAGCGGGTCGAGATCGAGATCGTGAGCAACCCGGGCGATCTGGACGCCATCAAGAAGACCATCGCGGCCGGCTTTTTTTACCACACCGCCAAACTGCAGAAGACGGGCGCGTACCGCACTGTCAAGAACCCACAGACCGTGTTCATTCATCCGAGTTCGGGGCTGGCGGAGGTGCTGCCGCGGTGGGTTGTGTACCACGAGCTAGTGTACACCACTAAGGAGTACATGCGCAACGTGATTGAGATCAAGCCCGATTGGCTGGTCGAGATCGCACCGCACTACTACAAGCTCAAGGACGTCGAAGACGCCGCAGGGCACAAGATGCCCAAGGGCAAGGGCAGGGCCGCTCTCGACGGCTAGAGCCGACACTGTGCGCGCAGGACAAAGAGGGTCAACTTATCAGGACAGCTCGCGTGGCTTCAACTTTTAGGTGTTTCACCAACTCCGATTGTGCTGTTAGTGAGATGCTTGCTGAGCATTAAAAGCCATAGGGACTGGATCTGATGCGGAACCCGAAGTGTTGCCGTTGTAAGCCGGAGCTCTGATCCAACCTTTAGAACGATGCTCAAAAAAGTTTCTCTAAAATAGCGGAGACCCGGACGATGTAAGAACGGTTAACCTAGGTCTGTAGAAAGGACGAGGGTCGCAGCGCTCCCTCGAGGCTCAGTCAAGGAGTCCCCAAAATTCTAGCCCAAGCCCAAGTGGCCTGGGGCTAGCTTGTCACGAACTGAACTTACTCGCAAGGAATCTCTTTCGAGGGCATGTGCTAGTACGATAGGAAGATCAACCTCTAGATACATCGCCTGCATGCCAGGCTTGTGATGGGCGACCAACTGTCAGTATACTATAGCGGGCTTTCGCGCCGGCCTGCACTTTGCATTTCTATGCTAGTAGACAATTGCGTGCCCCCGGAATGATGCAGGCTGCGTACGAGCTCCTGAGGCGCGCGGCCTCGCGGACGTTACAGAGTCTAAGCTTGCGTCATGCTCATGCCAGCAGCGGCCATATGTGTCATGGATCATGTGCAGCCATATGTGCCTAATTCGACACGGACGTGCCCGGCCATGATGGGCGCAATTTTCACATGGTGAATCTGTCACCGCATGCTGTTGTGCAGGCGTCTGCTGCATTTTCCACCATGCTTTTGATCTCATGATCGTACGTGTTGAGTCAAATCCAGCTAGGTCGATGACTCTATTAAAATCGGACCTAAACGGATTACTCGAAAGTGCTGACTGTGTTTTGACCCAGGTTTTGACTTAATTGAGAACTTCGCAAGTAGTTTTCTTTTGATTCTCGTAGAAGTACTTTTGTTAAGAAGACCCAATCAGCTAGAGCCGCATGCTATAGCCGAAAGGTACTGACAAAAACGCCCGTTACTGCTGGCTCGAGTACCCATGAGGAACGTACCTGATTTCTTCGTGCAGTTCGACCTCTGTTTTCTCTTTTACCCGTTTCTTCACTTCGTCGATCAGCACCCTGATATCTTCGCAAGTAGCAGACCCTGTGTTTACCAGAAAGTTCGCATGCTTCTCAGACACTTGAGCGCCCCCAATTGAGAGGCCTTTTAAGCCGAGTTGGTCCAGCAAAGCACCAGCCGACGGCTGCCCTCCCCCCGGATTGCGGAAAACACACCCCGCAGTCTTGGCAGTGATCGGCTGCGTCTGTCGTCGGCTGCCACGAAACGATATCGACCAAGTCAGTAAGATGAAATGCACTTGACCAAGCAAGAAGCCTGGCCGGATGCCAACAAGACTTGCGCCGGAACGGGAATGCCTTGATCTGATAAAAAGGGCAAGGTTAGTACCGAAACTCAGGATGGCTTCCTCCTGACGCCCCAGTCACGAAACCGCTTTACCTGTCCATGAACGTCAACTGCCGCTTGCGGGCATCGCCGCTCTTGTCCAGCTTGAACGTGGCTGCTACAATGGCTGCCAGGCCCTCCATCTGCTGGAAGGGCGATGTCCGGTAAGACCACGCCAGCTCTCCGTTATCCCGGGTCAGCGTCCTAGACGTTCCCTCCGCTGTTACAATCTCCACCGAGTCGACCACATCTCCTGTTTCGCAACCATGCGCTCCTGCATTCATGAAGACCGCCCCCCCTACGGTGCCCGGTATCCCGCTTGCGAACTCGAGCCCCGTGAATCCCAGACGAGCTGTCAAGATTCCCAGGGTGTTGAAACCGACCCCGGCCCCCGCCCTGAATAAATTCTCTTGACCAGGCTCAATGAACTCCACCCGGTTCAGAATGACGCACCCGTTGAAGCCCCGATCATCAAAGAGCACGTTAGAGCCCTTCCCAAGAACAAAGGTGGGGATCTTCTCGCGATGGCAGTACCTGAGAATACCATGTATATTTGAGACTTTGGCCGCGGCAGAATTTGAGGTGGAAGTCATCAGGTTCAGATCGTCCGCCGCTTTAGTTTGCAAAAGAGATCACATGCATATTGGATCCGTGGAACTAGTCCAAAAAGTTACACAACACTATCAAGTAGCGGAGCCCTGGGTTTTACGAACAATGCTTCAAGACAAACCACAAAAACAGAACCGATGCTGATGGATTACCAGGCGAGCACAAAGATGTCCTGAAACAGCCTTCAAGCGGAGGCTTTCAGAATTGAAGTAGAGGGCAGCCCGTAGGAATATTTTCAGCGAACCCAGTAGCGTGAAAGCGGAATAGCACTATTGGTTACTACTCTGGGTCTGGAGATTTGATGTCCGTAGTCTGAAAACAGAAGTTGGGTTCTGCGAAGTCGTTTTAGAGTGCAGTCTCCTTTTCTTGGATGGGGCTCCACTAGGACCAAGATGCAGCTTGAGCCAGAGTAGTTGCGTACCTCAAAACATGGGCCATTTGGCTTGCATCATGAACCTCAATGAAGTACTTGGCAAGGCCCCCGACACCCCAAGTGGAAACCTTACTTAGCAATTGATCAGATGTGAATTCTGGTCTAATTTCCAAAAGAATATCGCTACCCTCGGCATCTACTTTGTTTGCCGTTATCCTATCAGCTTTGACCCCTGATGATAGGGCCTGCTGGGGCCTTGTATCTGTGCTCTGAGGAAACCCTCTAGGAAGATGGTGCTGATTGGTGGTCAAAGATGAAGCAGGGCTTGTTGCTGATGTCGCATTGGAATTTACTGCACTGCTTGCTGCAACCACCTGCCAAGCAGACCTGTTGATTGGGAGAACGCGTGTGGTCAATGGTGGTGGAGGCAGCAAAGGGGCATTGCTGAGGGACGTCAAAGTGTGCAGAGCAGAAGCTCGACAACCGCGTTTATACGTGAGCATGTTGCAGGAAGAACTGGCAGGTTTTACAGGCACGACGCTACCAAGGTAGAATCTGCTAGCAAGTTCCTCCCTATCCTGCAATGGAAGCTGTCATGGCCTGTCTAGAATTCTGTCTATCGACAGTAAATGCCCTGCCGACTGCCGATGTCCCCACAAGCTGCATCGCAGGAATGTGGCCCCCACTGGCATGTCCTTCGATTGTCAATGTGCACCCCTCCAGGATAGCTGGAGGTGCCACCTTGACTCCATTTTCGTGAACTGCATTTTCAGTGAACTTTGTGAGAGGGTTGCTCATGGCCTGTCACTCATGACTGCAGACTCGCGAGCATCGAGTCTTCCGAGAGAGAATTTAACGCCTCTCGCGCAAATTTGAAGACTTCACGCCACCTTCGCGCAGTAAGTCTTGCCGGCTTCCAAGTTTCGACCGACCTAGGACTACAGGCTACGGTGGTGGACTCAGGTGCGCTTATGAAGTCTGGAAGCTAGCTTATACCCAAATTGCATATAAGCGATAGACTAAATTAGGGTTCCGCTTGGTGCAAGCACATGGCCGCCTGATTTGAAATGGTGGCGCAGAACTCTCCGGCCCTGATCAGCTTTCTCTGCGCGCTAGAGAAGCTAGAACGTGGCTAGTAGCAAGGAAGGTGGTCACACATGGACGTAGGTCCTTAGAATTCCCCTTTCGTAAGAGGTTCTCATTGTCGTTCGCTTCTTGGTCTTGGCAGAGGAGTGTCTGCAAGACGCCACAATCACTGTGAAGATGGGTTTCTTAGGAGCAATTTTGCTTCTGTCACTGGTCCTGGGCGCTTTTGCGGACGACAATCCTGTGTACAATCCATGCGGGGATGCCCCTGCTGTGGCAAGAGGAGACGGCTTTACATTTGCAGTTGCTCTTGGATCGGATCCAACCTTTTGGCATGGGTTGTCTCCTTGCGACCCCAACCTCGTGCAAGTGCCTGAGGTGAGTCGTGAATTGGCTTCTCTTGTCGTGCTTAACACAAGACAATAAGTCCAGAGGTTGGCTGCATTCAGGGTGCACAACTGTTCCATTGACATCCGCCCTTGTGGCAGCTGTATTGAGATACTTTCAACATAGTTCTTTATGTACGATTTCTAACATTGTTTGAATGGCAAGGCCAGTACAAAGCACCTGATCATACAGAGCTTCCGGCTCTAAGCACTTCGGGGACTGAGCTCATGCGTCTTCCTTGATCAGTGCGCACCGTTATGTGCAGATTCTTCCAAGTGGAACTTCAATGGCAGTCTTTAGACCCAAGGTAGATGAGTTGTCGCTCATTCGCTTCAACAATATCAGCCTGAACAACTTAAACAATCAGGTAAGCTAGCAGTCCCCCATGTGGTCTAACAGAGGTGTGAGATGGAATATTTAGCACGGGAAAGACTGTTTTGTTCCATGCGTTCGTGCTGAGGTCAAACAGCCTTCAAGGGAGCACCAGTTTGAACGATGCCTTTCGTGAGAATAAGAGACTGTGCTGGCATCCGGTTGGCCATGCCTCACTGCAGTTGGCTGATGAAACGCTCCGTCCACCCTGCTTACCGGTATTGAGGGACCAGCTCCACCTCATGCTACACACAGCATCCCCAGACTTTCCGTTTTTCCCGCACAGTTCCCTGGGAATCAGTCCCTAATGGTCTATGCCGGCAGTTATCCTGCATACATCTCCGTACCCAAGACATATCGGACCCCTTTGGTAAGTTCCACGGTCACTCACTCTGCTCCCATACTTGCACGAGCGTTGAAGGCTATAAGAGGGCTATTAGACCTGCTGTCATGACACTCTCTTCAATGTCAATGGTGATTCCACATCCGTAGTTGCTATGATAGGATTCACCACTCCAACTTACCCTCCGCTATCTGCTTGGCTTTCTCCAGGGGCAAGTGCCTACATTTTCGCTTGTATTGGACTTCAATAGAGGGAAGCTGCGCAATATCCTCTGGTGAGCTCCAAGATAACCAGAGTCGCCTTTTAGTTCTCTCAGTCCAGAGAGTATTTTAATTGGTTGCTGAGATGCCATAGAAGATTCCGAATCCTGGTTTTGATTTATGTGGTCGTCCAGCCATATCCATCTGTGAGCATACGGCCCTGTTCGTAATGTCTACTTGCTTTGACATATATGTCCTCCTTGTTTCTTACTCAGGAAAAACGAAGATTGCAAGACTTGTGAGAAGCAGTACTGCTTCAACAACAGGAATTGTGCAGTGCCCCAGGCTACTTGTGACCAGTCCAGAGGAACAGATCCAAACCGCTGCAGATTGGCGGTAAGTTTTTTTGAGCTCTCCGTTAAGTCGGATGCATGAGAGCCTAGCAATTTCACAAGTGGGGACTCAGCGCTCTTCTATTTAACTTCTCACCTGCTTAGAAGTGTCCTTGTATTTGTTTTGTTGCTGTGCTTGGCCTCTGTTACTCACAATGAAGTCTCGATGTCTCAAGCTTTGGCTTAATTTGTGCAGCTTCAAGTGGCCTTCTCCGGCACCGATAAGAACATGGTGCCTATGCAGTCGTGGTACCAAATTGCCCAGCTGAAACAGTACTCGATCACAGGTTTGTATGGGCAGGCAGTGGATAATTTCAATGCTGCCATAGGCAACGTTGTGGACAATGCAAACGCAATCACAAACCCTTGAATTACTGCTTCGTCTAACCTACGGTATCTGCTCGCCTCTTGATTGTTGAATCCTCACAAGCTACACCATCTTGATGAAAGGTTCATTAGAAGTACGAACTCAGCTATCAATGTTTTTGGGTGTGCTTTAAGTGGTGCCCTTTGCACGACCGTCCTTAGCACCGGTCTCAACAACCCAAGATCGTCACCAGGCATGTGGAGCTTTGATCTGCAATGTGATCGAGCGTTGATCATGCATGGTGGCCGGGCATCCGGTCCTATGAACCTGTACGTAAAGACGAAGATATCCATGTAATTAATGAATATGAATGCCGCGCGGATGCATACCATGCATCGCATCATGCATGTAGTTTTCGCCGACACACATGTCCCCGCTTTAGTTACCGAGCCTATGGTTAAGCATGCCAGCCCATTGCCGCGAGCCTATAAAATTATCGCAGGACAATCACGGGGCTCATGCACATGCTGGCACATGTTATAACCTGAGGCCGCCTGCAAACTTTTGAGCTTTACTTCGTACAAGCGACCCGCATGCGGAATATGCCAGCACGTACCGTATGCATGCTGGCATGTTTGGGTTTGGGTTTATGTAGTACCCCATTGCCATGGAGTAAACTCGACAACGCACAGTCAAAGTTACGAAAGAATCGGCTATCAGAACAAGCATTCCAGTGAGTTGCAATGATGCCGGGTGCAGTATAATTCCTAAAGGATATTTCACAAAATCATGCACTTTCGGGACCCTTGCCCATGTGACCGGCATGCTGTTTTGCAGCTACAGCCTCCAAGTTTGTAACTATCGAGGTTTCAAACGGAGGCCGAAAGATGCTCAGTGATACGTTGCGCTGTGAGCTGTGCCCCTATCATGACCAACGGCACTCCATTTCCAGGTCGCGTAGATGCCCCCGTGAAGAAGAGACCCTGCACAAGAGAAGAGCATGCGGCAGCTGTAACAATTCAAAGCGGCCAACTGTGAACGAATCTTTGGCGTAAAAACACGACGCCGAATGTTGGTCACGCTGCAGGCGTTCTTCGCCAAGAAGGTGCTCTCAACTGCTTTGCTGGCGCAGAGGAGCCCCACGTACCTTGATACGTGAGTCTTGCAGGTCCGGCCGAAAATACGCAAGCTGTGCTAGGCCGTGCGCCAGCCCAAACGCCGCCCCGTGCTGCAGGTTGTACCTACATCATGCCAGCTGACCACGCGTCAGGAAGTTTTGTCTCGAAATACTGTCAGATCTGGCTGCAGCCTTGAGAGGCAGCAGAAAGGGCGTTGAAGCACTTTTAAAGGACTCTCTGTGTGCACGCACCTTTCTCTCCAGTCGAGTGGGTCCGTGACCGTCTCGTGCACGATGTGCGACTCCACGTCCCCACAACCCGCTTCCGCCAACCGCCGCAGCACGGCTGCCCGGCCCTTCGCAACTAGACCTGCGCCGCCCACCGAGACTGGGTGAGCTCTGTAGAGAACGAGCGATGGGAGCACCTCGGGTTCGCGAATCACCGTCTTACGCGCAGGAATGGAGATCTTTCGGTTTTTAGGATTCGGGCTTCTCAGCTGAGGGGCTTACCGTCAAGATCGCGAGCATCCATCTGACCCAAGTTGGCCACGGGCAGTAGCACCATGATCGAGTCACCACCTGCGAAGGTACACAAACGGTTTGCTCTGTCAAATCACAACGTGCTCATCCCGTGGGGCTCCCGCAAAAGATCAGAAGCCGGAACATCCTACCAGAAGCTGCAATCCTTAGGTGCATGTAATCAACCCCTGACAGGACGACAGACCGTCACTCTCTTTGCTCTGTCACGAAAAGGTGGATGCCCTCACCTGGGGGCGCTGCGGACGGGTCTGTTCGGCTGGGAGCTGCAACGTAGAAGTTGGGCCGTTGGGGGAGGGCCGCCGCAGCCGTTGCGCGGTCCCAGCTGCGCTCATACTCGTCCGACAGGAAGACGCTGTGGTGCGAGAGCAGCGGCAGCGGCTGGTCCAAACACCTGAGATAGCAGCACGCCGTCCGGTGACGCACTCGGTGGACATAAGGTGAACAACGGTTTTGTTGAGCAGAGGGTCAGACGTTCTGAAGGCAGTAGCCGTGGCAAGGTCGACCGCTGAACTTCGTTTTTGAAGCGGCGCCGCAGAGGCGCGGTGCGGATGGGACGGGTCAGCTTGCTCACCAGCAGAACTCGATGACGCCGGCGCTGTAGTCCAGGCCCGCCAGCCGCGCTGCCTTGCGCTGGTTCTCGGGGCCGTCCAGGAGATGCTCGTACACGTACCTGAATAAAGAACGGCATGCGAGGTGGTCAGGCGCGCTTGTTTCCTCGCAGGAATGCCACAGAAAAAAAGGATTTGACAAAGACCAGAAAGCTACGCAAACCGTGAGCGATGTCCTTTGTACGGAAAGCGGTCCTGAGGGGTGGAGACCTTCATTGACTAAGATCGTCGGGGTCAAGACTTATTTCGAATGCAGATGAAGGTTTCAAACAAGAATGTTGCTGCTACGACCCGGTCCCTTCGATCTCCGTGCATCATCGGAATCGGGCTACTTCTTGACCACTTTGAAGAACATGTCCCAACATCTTCGGGATTTTGAGAAGGTACACACGTTCAATCGGAATCTTCTGATCTCCTCAACGACACGCATCAAGCACACGCTTTTAGGCTGGAGCGTTGCAACGCCCGTCCAAAACCGAGGGTCTGAAGGTGAGCTACTTTATAGCAGGAACGAGGGCCTCACGGCAGGTCGGGATTGGCAACCACGACATCCGCCGGGATGCTGGTCCCATCATCTAACAGCACGCCTTGCACCGATGAGCCGGATGTCTGGATACTCCGAACAGCAGTGCCCCTCCGCACGCTAACGCCTGCTGCCTTTGCGGCCTCCAACAGCCCGGCACCAACCTGGAAAACAAGGAATGAGGGCCTCGAAGCTGTTGAAATCTGAAAGAGCTAGGAGGCGTGAACATATCACAGCACGTATGGCCTCACCAGACAGGCGAGACGACATATATCACTAATTCAAAGCGTTTTTGCCCAATTCCTTGCTTTTGATGTACTCAGAGCGGGATGAATGGGTAAGGTACGAAGCGCCGTTGCTCACCTTCTTGAAGCCCCCCAGCGGATACCAGACTCCATCGAGGAGCTCGGTGGCGGCCAGCAGGGAGAAGACGCCGGGGGCCGTCCTCGGGGAGAGGCCGACGTACAGGTCCTGGAAGGTGACGAGAGCGCGTAGGCGAGGATCCTGACTGCCGAAAGACGAGGGTGAGGGGTCAGATGTCAATTTGGCATTTGTTTCCGCAATCCTGACTGCAAGGATCGGATAGATCCGGTCAAAAGCTGGAACCGTTCGACATCAGGGACTACGAACAGAGAATGACTGCCTTTCTGCACTGCTGACCAGCGATGGAACATTCATTGGGCTGAGAATCGGAGCTGGAAAGACAGAAGTGGGCCTTCACCTTGAAGTAGGTGGCCATCCTTGCTGCATGCGGCCCAAGGAGTTCAATGGGGGAGACCTTCCCCAGGAGAGGCAGCAAGCGGGGCACATTGGCGTAGTCCCAGAAGCTGCATCAGAGAAAGAGGCAGCGAGGCCAGTCACACACATGGAAACATAGAAGAGGTGGGGGAGATAAGGTGAGGGGGTGTTGTTGCAGGACATAACCGGCCTTTCCATGAAATAGCAACCAGGCCAATCACATACGAACATGCAACCTCAAGTGCCAATGAACCTCGTGCGACAATCTCAAACGAATCCGATCGGCAGAAACGTGGCTCACCTGCGGAAGTCCTGTTCAATAAAGTTCTTGGTGCCCACATCGAATGCAGCCTGCAAACAGGACAAGATTACTCAGGACAACGTTTGCTTCGTCACCACTAACCTCAGACGGTTAGGTAACAGAGCAGGATAGCCGTGCACGATCATGCTTTGCCAGGACCCCGAATGATTCAGACAGGTGTCTGTAGCCCACCTTGGCATTGGCCAGGAATCGGAGGTAGGCTGCGGCTGCCCCTGGCTCGACTGCCTCTAGCTGCGCAGCCATGGCCTGCACGTCGTACAGCAAGTCCAGCCAGCTCGGCCCTGCGGCATCATCGTGGAAAAAGACGCGATACGCAGCGGGCTCGACGCGGCGCAGCTGCACATGGTCTTCCAGCTGAGTGCCTGCAGGAGAAGGGCAGTGGTTCGCACCAAGAAAGTGAGGTGGAGGGCCAAGCAGCACAACGAGTTGAGGGCAGGAGTGATGATCATCTGCTATGCAATATGGAGCTGAGTGTTTGCCCTTCAGAGAGTGGGGCTTACCCATGCTGCGGAAGGCTGCCCGGTACGCCTGGGGCATCAAGAGCAAGCTGCAACAAGGAGCGAGGTGGACTTAGGGGGGAAAACACAAGCAGTGCACAATCACAATCGTGCCGCTACAAGCCACCGCGTCTTTCTCCAATCATTGAACCGCCAATGCAGGGGCGTCATATTGTGGTCAACCTCAAGGTCCGGCGTACCTGGGCCCTGTATCAAACCGATGCCCGCCTTCCTCAATAGTTTGCAGGCGTCCACCAATATCAGCATTTTTCTCAATGATGGTCACTTCAACACGTGACCTGCACAGCACAAAGGAACATGAAGGACAAGACAAACATAGTTATGTGGTGATCAAATTGGGGTTGTTAAAATTGGAAGCTTCTTGCCATTTTCACAATGAGGAGGGGCCCGTAGCGTGCTCAGACTTTGAGAGCTCGGATCCCTCACCCCAGTTTGTGAGCCAGTACTCCGCTGACGACCAAACCGCCCACCCCTGCTCCAACAACAACAATCTGGAGGGGATCCTTGCCACCACGTTGCAACCTGCCAGAGCTTGCTGGCGCAGCATTCTGCATGCAGCAGACAACCCCGGTTCGCAATGCGAGTTTCCTGCTGCAAGCGAGCTCACGGGTCAGCGTAGGTTTCTTACAGTTCTTGTGGTCCCTGCAAAGCAACAGTGTACGCGGTGGCGGGTGCAGCCGGGAGCTCCTAAGCGTCCTGAATCGAATCGTTGCATGGTGGAGGGCGGGGAAAAGGCCATCAGGACTTGAACCAACAATCACATCCATCCGCTTGGAATTGAATCTTTGGCAGAGGGTGTCCGAGCGGAAAGGCGGCAACCAGCCCTTACTACTTTACAGGGCACCAGCTAAAGGTGGTACTAGTAGGTATCTTGAAGGATGCTGTGCACAATGCTGGCCAGCATCCAGCTTTCTGAAAGCTGCATTGCTGGACAGCAGAAAATTAGGGTTTCGGGACAGCAAGCAAGAGCTCTTCAAACTTTTTGATCAGCTCGACAAAAGTTCACCCCGTGCACGGCAGGAGGGGGACCGGAGGCGACCACAAATCTGCCTTCCGAATTTACTTGAGAACACTAAAAGCAGACTTCAGTCGCTGCAAAGCCTGCAAAGAATCGCATGGGAGTTCTCGCTATGCCGCATGCGTTTGGTTTTGGACAAAGCTGTGAAGAGAAAGGAGAGAAAAGACCAAAGGCCCTGGAGGGCGCTTGTTGCAGGCACTTCGGAGCTTAGCAGAAGTTGTAAAGTTGTCTGATCGTCTGATCGTGAAGCTGCGGTGCTGGTGACCATGGCGAGTACAGCGGTGCAAGGGAACGGAGGCCTTTCTGGAGCAATCTCTCCCAACGGGACAAAGACAAGGGCGGGTAATCGGACATCTGGAGGTGCCGAGAAAGATGCTGACAGCCCCCGTCTCTTTGTAGGGCAGGTGAGGTGTTCTTCATGAGTCCTCCGGTACTTTGGACTTTGGCTCGGACATGTTGTGAGCAGGTTCGCATCGATTGGATCTCAAAAGGTTCCAATGCGCTGACCACAGTATAATCAATTTGCAGGCGTTTCTTTTCTTGCTCTTGACATGTACCTAAGCCATTCTCCTCTTCTTGGCAGATTGGCAATAAGCCAAATGAGGCGGAATTGAAACAGTTGTTTGATAACATTGGCGAGGTAGTGCAGTTCCAAGTACTGAGGGACAAGAAGACTAAGCAGACCAAAGGTAAGTTTCCAGATCCATGCTCTTTTACTATTTATTGAGTTATTGAGGAACTTTACAGGGTAACGGTTTGTAACATGTTGTTGGGCTGGTCAGCTGAGCCTTTCTCAGGCACTGGTCTTCGGTACCTGTGGCATCTACTGGTAGACTGACAGGCTACCACGATAGGGGTTTATATTTGCTGTCCATTTCTGAGAAGGTTTCCTGTCTACTCATTTTTGTGCGAGTAGTTTGCAAAGTGGTGTGGTCCAAAGGTTGTTTGGTAATCTGTTTCACCTTTTCTGTATTTTAAACTTCATGCACTGCTTTGAGCAGCGGCAATACTTTGACAAAACAAGCGAGTAGTTGTAGGTTTGACATGCGCAGAGTCCCTGCTCTTTGACTATCACATTCTGCATTAAGGGAATTCTTGACATACAACTAAAGTGCCTCTGTCATATACTTAAGGTGACTCCAGACTGGAGTCCAGAAAATTATTTTTTGGCCTTTCTTGGGTGCCATCTTACCTCATTGGGGCGCACCTACCAGAATCGGTGCGCCAGTCATCAGAGGTTGTGCTGATGCTCAGCATCCTGCCTTGAACGTCTACCGTGGACGTCGTGGTGGACCGGCCCACCATCACCTTATCCGCATTCAGAGTTCTGATGAGGTGCCTTGCCCTTGGTGGATTTCCTCTTTCCTGGTTGTCACTCAATAGCACCGGATGGTGCACGATCAGTAGCATCTTGCCTTCCAGACCTCAGAATCATAATCATCTTGTTCACTGTTGTGAACAAACACCCCTGTGAAGCTGATCTGGGGCTTCACAGACTTTGAATTCCATGCTGACAGTTGCATCCTGAAAAGGGCTCTAAGCAGGCGATCATTCCGCAAGCTTTTAAAAAGATACTGTACCAGTCCTTGATGATACAAGGAACTCGATCAGAGGTATCTTCAGGCCAGGCTGTTTCGTTGGTGAACAAGTCCTTTTGATGGTGCACTTGTGGTCTTCTACTTGGTCAGAGGACATCTGCGTTGATATTTTCGCAACAGAAAGTATTTCACATGGCAATCTCTGCCCTATGGCACTGCAATTTGCCTCCAGCGACAGAGAGGCAGTGGTTGCTTTTCTTACTTGCGGCCTCACGTTAACCAGGCTCAGAAATCCACAAACAGGGCATCCTGCAGGAGATGTGTGCAACACGCGCTTTGTCATCTTCGTTGGCTCGTTGAGCAGACGGAGCTTGACAATGAGCATACGGGCAAAAGGCTGGTGTTTGCCAGCAAGTGCCTGTGCCCCGTACCTTGAGTATCTCCTCTCCGGTGTCTGCCGTTCTCATGACCGCAAGCGGTGCCTGTTTGAACTTCAGAGGTCACGTTGAATTTGCAGGCTGCTGTTTTGTGGCTTACCGCACCCGGGCAGATGCTGAGAAAGCCATAGCGTCGCTACACGAAAAGCATACCATTGCGCCAGTACGTGATGGTCGTCAATCTTTTCCTTCTTATCCCTCCTACATGCTTTCAGAAAGTTTACGCTAGCGAGTCTTGGCTTGGTGACAGCTGTCCTTTGGATTGTTCCTTCTTACCGTTTGCAGTTAATCTTGCAAGTAGCAATCCCACGGGCGGTTGGGCGTTTTTGGATTGAGAGATTCGAGCCAACAATTCTTTCTAGACCAGCATGCGAAGGACCTTGTTGCCGCTCAATTTAGTTCCTGTCTTTGTGATTGACGGGTGTTATGAAAGTCACCGCAATGGAGAGATGGTTTCGAGCCTGCCATTTTAATGTGCAACTGTAGCTCCTCCTGGCTCAAGCTTTTTATGTATGCTTGACGGTCATTCTGGACGTATTGCGCATATTGTTCGTGCACTCTATTTGTCTCCATTAGATTCTCCAGATGTGCTGCAAGTTCAATCTCAAATGGTCCGTTGGGTCCATCGGGTGCATGTCCATTCTCCTGCTCATGCTTTTGTTTACCTGGTGGCCATTTGCCTGTACCTCACAGTCGTCCTGCTTTTCTGCAGAACCGGAAGCCACTGGTGGTACAATATGCCGCTGGAGAGCTGGACAGGATAGGTGAGTGAGCACATTGAGAAAAGTACTCTTTGTGGCAGAGATATCGAGCCTTTGCACTGGGGTCGCTGCTGGAATGGAGTGGCAATAGGGATGATGCTGGTGTTTGATGGAGCTCACTTTGTCGGAGTGGTAGTTTGCTTGATTGAACATGTTTTCAGGGGACAAAGGTCGGGAGCAACTGTGATTGCATGGTATGGTCAGGGCCCCTCTTCTTTCAAAAGTGGTTAACATTATCATTGAGGACTTTATTGAGCATCAGGGCTCTTTGGAGTGTGTGCTCAGTCTTGTGATCCTTGTGCAGAGAACAAGCTGTTCGTGGGGTCCTTGCCTCGTGAGCTGGATGAGGCAGCGCTGAGGGCCCTGTTCAGCCAGTTTGGCACCGTCAAGGAGATCTCGGCGCCCAGGCAGCCCGGTGGCCAAAGCAAAGGTGAGCACGGAAGGACTTGAGAATCATTCGATTATCTTGCCACAGTCGTTTTGGATTGTCCACCCTGTGTTGGGCTCTTACTGTGTATGTTCATGTCTGTTTCTTAGTCGGCCCTGTGCTCATGTCTGTTTTGCTTTGCGACTCTGCACCTTTGACCTGATTGCTGAGATGCTCTTGTTTTTCTCCGTTCAGGTTTCGGCTTTGTGAAGATGTCGGTGAAAGAGGAGGCTGCGAAGGCTATCGAGGGGCTCAATGAGAAGCATACGATGCCGGTGAGAGGCTGTCCTCTTTTCCTGCTTGTTGGAATATAAGCGTCAAACCATCGATGGTCCAATCATCCATGAAATACAAGCAATACAAGCTTATCTCTTCTTACGTCCAAGCTAGCCGAGCCTGGCTCCATGCTGTTCACCACTTCCTCCAATTGTGGACAATGGAACTTCAGGATGGCGGAGAGTTTGCCGTCAGACCTTGACACGTGCCTTCTGATACGCGAGGTGTGCTCACGCCGCAAGCAATCGTTTCCAAGACACAGCACAACTTTGAAATCGGGCTTTTCCTTGCGTTTTGCTGGCAGGGCCAAAAGAAGCCGCTGGTGGTCAAGTGGGCTGACACCGAGGAGGGGCGTGCTCAGCGGATGGCGGCCAAGCAGGGGGCGCCCTTCGGAAGCCCGATGCAAGGGCCAATGCAAGGGGGTTTCCCCATGGGCCCCAACATGGGCATGGGCATGGGCATGGGAGGACCGATGGGCGGGCCCATGGGGGGCTTCTCGCCCATGCGGCCACAGGGGGGGCCCTTCATCCAACAGCCTGGCATGAACTTCTCCCCACAGCAGCAGCAGCAACTGCCGCAGCAGGTGAAGCTTGCGGATTGCTTCGAATCCAACGGAATTGTCCGTCAATTGTACCTGCGTCATTGGCAGTTCTTCAATGGAAACTTGTAGTCTTCTACGAATGCTCGTTGACAGAACGCACGGAAGGAGAACGTGGACTCCAGTTTTCATTTCTGGACCCCCACACCGGTTGGCACTCTGCACACGCACCTCAGATTGACTCGGCTACATTTCGGGTCACCGGGTCATTTCTTCGGCAACTGGGAACATGGTGCTAGGTCTGAAAACCTGCATTCGAGCGCTCGGTGGAAGTCGGGCTGGTCGGTCAGCAGCAGGCTTTGAGTTACATTACCAGGGGTTATGCTTGGCCGCGCGCGTGACCAGCCCTACCTCAATCCGCTTGCGCACGCAACTTGACCAGTACCAACCGGTGTGGGGGTCTCGGACTGCAAACTGCAGTCCGCGTTCTCCTTCCATCCGTTCTGACAGAGGACTGAATGCTTGTTGTTCAAGAGGGCTTGGTAATTCGTGCACAGAATTGCATTTGTCCGGAATTACGTCTACTCTTACTGGGGATGTCTGTTTCTGATCAGAGCCGGTCTGTGTGCTCAGATGGGTGGCGGGCCATCTCCTGTCATGGCCAACTTCGGCACCATGGCGAGCCAGGGCTTCATGGGGCTCCCCTCGAACAGCCCCCCCCTTGCATTCAACGCCCGCCCCGGCCTGCTCTCTGGTCCGGGATCCAGCATGCTGGGCAGCTTCGGCGTCAACCAGATGCAGCCGCAACAGCAGGCGCCTCAGCAGGCGCTGCCCCAGCCAACCCAGACACAAGGTGAGGCGCATGGGGGCGTTTTTGATGTACCATTACCTGCTCGTTACTCGGTGCTTCAAATCTGTTCGTGCTTGTGTTGACACAGCTGTTTGCCCCACAGCTCCGTGCCATGCGTCCTTTTGCCCTTTGGCAAGTATTGCTGGGTTTGCTCACAGTCAGTATTCCCCTATTCACAGCAGGCATCTCTTCCCCCAGCCCTGCGCAAGCTGCCCCAGGCCCTCAGGGGACGATGAGTCCCGCCTTCGTGACCAGGGTCCCTGGCCCCACCCCTCCCACGGGCCTGCCTGCCACTGCCTCTGCCGCGCAAGTAGCGGCCACGGTGGCGGGTACGGCGCTGGGTAAGGATTCGGTCGTCTCGTCACTGTTGTTCGAGGTCAGGGGTGTTTCTGAAGATGCGCTTTTGTTCAGACTTGCGGCTGAAGGATTGGGGATGAGAATGAGCTACTTCCCCACTTGTAGTTTCATCTTTGGTTGGCCAGTGATATCCAACTGACTCAGAGGCACCCTTTTGTCAATGCAGGCACCCCAGGTGCGAGCCTGTTTGTCTACCACCTCCCTACCGAGTTCCGGGACAACGATCTGATGACCACCTTCTCCCCTTTCGGCAACCTCGTCAATGCCAAGGTCTTCATCGATCAGAACACGGGAGAAAGTAAAGGCTTTGGTGAGTGAGTTTGATTCACTGAGGAGGGTCAACTGCCTGCGTTGTGCCTTCTTCTCGAGTCAGCTGCGTTGCACCTAATCCTGATACTGCTTTAGCGAATCTTACTTGTCGGCAGATAAATTGACGGTTTACGCTTGTTTCGCAGGCACTGTGTCTTTCGACACCCCTGAGGCAGCCGAGGCGGCTGCGTCGGTGCTGGACGGTTTTGCACTTGGGGGGAAGACTCTCAAGGTTCAGGTGAAGAAGGAAGCGCCAAAGCCTTACTAGGCATCTGTCGAGGGGTATGTTCATTCGTTGGGTACTATCTCACCCGTCAATAGTTTCATCGCATCCCGCGGTGTCAGCAATCCGGCAGTAGACAGCAAGGCGTCATGCGAAGGTCGTTGTCCTTCTCAGACGTCCTTGCAGTATTCGATGAAGTTGCAAAGTTGGTTGGGACGATGAGCCCAGGCACCTATGGCGTTCATGACAGCAGGGGCCGTTCAGCTCTACTTCCTTGATGTTGTGGTCCATGCTTTTGGTCCTCTCATGGGTTCGCTTCAGGCTTCAATCATGCTCTACACATATACCCTGCCATGCATGCACTGAGAATCGTGAGTGGCATGCCTGTCGCCATGCCTTGTCCATACTTGTGGTCATGTGTGAAGAAAAGGCCTACAGCCTCGATTTGGCTGTAGAATACAGTGAGGTCAAAATAGTCACTGACTGTTGTCAGCACTCAACTGCATGGCCGTGTAATCAACGAACGATCTGTACCTAAACTTCGAAAGTTCGTTCCTATATGATTCAGGTCTAACACAATATGAGCATCATGCGTGCCATGATCCGACGCCATAATTGGAGTTGCTGCCCTCATGTGCTGCATGTCTGCCGGATGGCCTGCAGGCCCATGGCCGCCCTGCATGCTCCAAACGGTTCATCATGGCATATGGCTCCAATGATACCGCGCGCGTCCGCGCCGCACATGGATCAATGATTTGCGAAATTGCAATATAATGTACAATTAGCTAGCTGCATGGTGATAGCTAGGGACCGCGCGTGTGGGGCCCCGCCAGTAAATGATAATGCATGCAAGCTATCCAAAAAAAATCTTTGATATCTCAGTGTGGCACACGGCGTGAGCTCCAAACGCAGGTCGCCGCACTTAGGCCATGCAGCGCTGCAGCTCCGCATGGCCGAGCCTAGATCCGAATTGAATGCAAAGACGTCACGTAAGCAAAGTATCTGGCACACTTTGCAAGGTACAATGTATGTCGGTGGATACGTTCATCCAAGTGTCATTCATCATCAACGGGGCATGGATTTGAGCGGCTGCCAAACTGAAAGAGCTAGGGGTGGCTACGTCTCTCGACCTGCGATACCTGGTAGAGGCCCGGCCCTTCCATGGACACTTCATCGTTTTGGACGACTTGCAAAACCCTTTGCCCGGGCTCTGCAGAACGCAAATATAGATTCCAGAGTCTTGCAATCTAGAGCGTAAGGCTGACCAAACTTCGTATTACCGAACCTGCCGTCTTGGCTTTCGGGATGTACTGTAAGTTCGGTGTCCTGATCGCCCGCCCTGCCAAAAGATGTGCCCAATGCTTGCTGATCAAACACTTGGTCACTTTTAGCAATCTGAACAGCGAGTGACGGTAGAAAGGACACATCTCAAATGCAGACTGTCGGACTTCGGTTGCGGCCATTGTGGCTTGACAGATACTTTGCCAAGTTCACCTGTAGTATCCCTTCCGCAAAGAGACGCCAATATCAAGAAAGTACCTCCTTTTCTATCTGCACTGTTAGATCTGCCACGCCCATGTTGTTGAAACAACTGTGTATATGCTTTAGGATCCGCTGCTCATCTGCATTTGCTCGTACCTGCAACATCAAAGAACGAACGCTCTTCGCTTACTGCAAAACAAGCAATTTGCTCAACCAACGACGACTACAATGGTTGACGAAGGCTTTGGCAAGGTGACGATTGGCTATGTCAAAAGTCGTATATAGTCGCTGAGTGACTCGAATCAAATTGTGATTGGAACACAGGTCGATATTCGGTACAGAAGCTCCTCCAGTGGTTCTCACCCTGACATGCAGCGTGCCAACCGTCGCTCCCGGCACCAGAGCCCAGAACTTGTGGTCCACGATGTCCAGCACGCCGTCACACCAGCGCGCCTCCCGCAGAGTCTTGTCGAGCGCCCCTGCCGTGATGCTGGGGGGCGTCGTCTGCAGCAGGACGGCCCCCGCCGCATAGAACAGCGGCAGGGTGATGTACAACACGAGGGCGGCCACAGCCGCCGCCACGAACGTCTCAGCGTAAGGCAACCTGAAGGCAGTCAAGGCACGGGGGAGGAGATTAGATCCATCGTTTGGCCTAGGATTAAGAGGCGTACAAGCTTTTCACCCCGTTTGTTACTTGAGAATGACGAGGAGTTTGGAATACAAGCAGAGCGCCCAAGGCAACGACGGGGTGCAACTCGAAAGCAACGCGCTTGAAACTGCCTGGATCGAATTGAGGAATCCTGTGAGATGAGCTCACCCGATTGCCAGCAACCAAGAGGCGAGGATGATGCCTCCACTCCTGATGGAGTCGGCCAAAACATGGAGAAAGATGGAGTGGTGGTTCATGTCTTGAGAGCGCCTATATACTGCACAGAGGACAAGAAACGGAGGGGTCAAAAATCGGAGAGCATGTCTAGAAGCGGGCTGAGCATGATTTCGATGAGAGCTGCGCAGATACACGGGCGACAGGATCCACTGGCGTCCCCCCAGTGTCCAGGCATGCTTCTGACGGCCGAGGCCTTGTTCGTTGGCAAATCGCAGACAGCAAAAGCGACTCACCAACTCGCACCCGGGCAAAGTGCCGGAAGAAGATGACCCCCAGAACGTTGACGACCAGATTGGTGGCAGCCGACAATGTCAAATAGTGCCTGCACCAGGGGCACAGGCGGTGGTGAGGTTGCGTGCCGGCAGCCTCTCAAATGACAAAACGAGATGAGGGGGCAAACAAACGAAACAAACCCACGTTTTGTGCAGCCTCACGGGTGCAAAATGAGGATGAGAGCGCACCTGTGCTCGCTTTCGTCCTCAATGAAGGCTGTGAGAGCTTCTACTGAGAGGGAGAAGGACAAGAAGAGGAGGAAGAGCTGCACAACGAAAGAGAGACGTCAGCCAGAGTACTGCAACCGACGCGCATCAAGGCCGAAATGCACCCCAAGGTTGGACCTTGACACAGAAACAGGTATTGTCGAAGCAGGATAATGTAACCAGCCAAATCTTGTCCCAGAGTTGGCAACATCTTTGGCTGATTACCACACCCTTGAGCAGGTGTTTGCTAGCTCACCGCATTCGTGAAGCCCGCAAGCACCTCCAAGCGCTCATACCTGCAATCGTCGTGATACAACAGAACTCTCAGGCGTCAAGTTTCGCACGCTTGCTCAAACAACCCTCATAACATGGGGATTCCACTGTAAGCCGTTGCAATACTACAATACTATTGTAGTTTCACCTAACGGGTGAACAATCACCTCTCACCATCAAGCTCATGCATCGATCAATACGACCGGGGTGCTTACCCATAAGTGTACTTTGCATCGTGTGGCTGCCGCGATTTTGCCATGGCCACTAAAGACAGGGTCAGCACCCCGCAGCCAAACCACAAGTGGAAGGCATCCGAAACAAGGGCTGCAAGCAGATCAACAAATCAGATTGTCAAAGTGCATATGCTAACGAAGAGCTCAGTCTTTTCTAGTGATTAAAAGCTTACAGCTCACAAACAAAGAAGCAAGCTGCAACCCCATCGAGGGTTGACCACAATGATTGCAAAAACCCTAGAGGCGACAGCACCGGGGCCACTCACTGATGCGGCTGGTGAGCAGGCCGTAGAGCATCTCCGCAGTGGAGAAGACGGCGTTGATAGTGATGAAGGCAAACAGCTTCTTGGCGTCCCGGCTCTGGAAGCGCACCCTGTTCTGCAAAATTGCCAGCTTCCCGGGGGCGGAGTGCCGCTTGGCGCGTCCGGGTGTGTGCTGGCTGTCCAGGCTGGCGCGCCCCGTGTGGCTGGGTGTGCCGGACAGGCTGCGCCGCCGCGCCATGTCCTGCAGGTCCTGGATGGAGATGGACGTGGACGAGCTGGCGGGGTGGTCGCGCGAGGTGGGCGATGACACCCCGCTCTGGTTGCTGTAATTGCTGAAGGAGGGGGTGGCAGGGGAGGGCAAGTACGACACTGGGGTGCTGGGGCCAGAGGGGGGCTGCAGGGCGAGCGGGGACTTGCCAGGGCCCAGGGACGCGGCGTAAGAGAAGGGGGTGATGCTGGGAGGGGGGGTGCTGGGGACGTAGGGCAATGCATGGCTGGGACCGGGGCCGCGCGGGCGGGGCGAGAGAGGCGGGCGGGGGGAGTGGAGGGGGCTCTGGCTGAAGCGGGATGGGGGGTGAGGGGGGAGATTGCGGGAGGGGGGAATTGGAGAATGGAGGGGTGAGCTGGAGGCGCTGTACATGGCTGGGCCAGGGCCCGCCGGGGAATTGCTGCCGCTGGACGGGGGGGTACCAGCTTCCTCGCTCGAAAGCCGCCGCACGGACAAAGGAAGGGACTCCATTCTTGAACTTAGGGTTCCCAGATAAGTATGATCAGGCCTGATCAGGCACGGGGCTGCCGACGACCTTCGCAAACGACTCTGGGACGATCAATATATTGGAAGCCTTGCTTGTTCCGTGCAGGTCATCGATGAGCTGCACAGCAACTTGAACGAGCTCCCCGCCGTGGGGGATTAACCATGCTTAATTCTCCTTTGCCAATTGGGCGCCCATGTCCACCTGTTTCTGTGGTGCCAGGCGCCTGTTAGGCTAAAGTGTAAAGCAGAATGTGCATACCTATCAATGACGAACTATAGCCTATATGCTTGTTGTATAGGGTATTATAAATGAATATGGATTTTATGCCCTGGCTTGACAGTGGTACATATTAGAAGGTAGTTGGGGGCTTGTTGCATGTAGGCCTTATCTCATCGACGGCTGTAGAGCTGCCGACAGTCCAATGGACATCAGAGGAACACTTTGAGCGTTGGATCAGTATTGCCTATGTATACCGTATACGAAGGGTCCATCACCTCTTCAAACAAGCTACCCGTAAATTCGTGGGCGTCCAGCTATGCACCGCCTGCTGGTTTGCCAGCGTTGTGCAAGAAGAACCATGCATCCCTGCATCAGGCTGCATCACTTTTTGAAGTTTAAACTGTGTCCCCTCTTTCGAAATTTGCCTTGGCACTGGAGCTAAAACTTTAGAAAGGCGTCAAATTGGGGAGGTCGGCCCGAGCACTTGCCAACAGCCGAGATCTATCAGATCCCTTTCAGAATCAAGAAGTCATCATGGCGCTTGCAGGCGCTGCCAGAGCAGCGGTGTCGTTAAATGCCATGAGCTGCGCTGCGGGGGGCAGTGCCAAGGATCTTGGCGCCCCCAGCCTGGCAGCCCTGCCTGTCCACCGGCTGAGCAGCACTGCCGCTCATGGAGTCCAATTGCCAGCAATCAGACCAATGATGGCTGCTGCAGGGCATCATGCGAAGAGCTGCAAGGTGCAAGCAACCGTTGCCGCCGCTCCTGCCGCCAGCTCAGCAGCTGTGCAGGAGGAGGGCAGGGTGTACAACTTTGCAGCGGGGCCAGCGTGCCTGCCGTACAACGTACTGAAAGAGGCGCAGGCAGATCTGATCAACTGGAAGGTGAGACAGCTTGATTACGCGGGTGATCACGGGGTGTGCACGCCTTCACTATGATGAAGTGACCATCACCCTTGTGTTGGTTTGAATTTTGGGTTGTGATGGGTAAGGTGATTGCCTCACTGCAATCAAATGCGAGGCATGCTGATCAGTTGATGAAGCAGTAATTTACGGTGGAAGATCTCGATTGGCGTCCGTTAGCAGATCTTCGATCTTTAGGCACTGGTTGGTGATGCCGAGCTCAAGCCCCAGGTTGCTGCTTCTTGAGTGGTGGTGCTGGGCCTTGTAATCAGTAATTGCAGAATCAACTTATTTTTTGTGTTTGCGGTCAGTGTGAGCAGTGATACTTGTCCTCATGACTTGCCATGGCATTGCAGGGCACTGGCGCCAGCGTCCTGGAGATGAGCCACCGCTCGAAGCAGTTCCTGTCCATCATCCAGAAAGCGGAGGCGGACCTGCGGGAGCTTCTGGCCATCCCTGACAATTACAAGGTCCTCTTCTTGCAAGGCGGTGCCACCTCGCAGTTCTCCGCAATCCCTTTGAATCTAGCTGGCCCTGAGGACGCGGTGGACTATGTTGTGACGGGATCATGGGGTTCAAAGGCTGTCCAGGAGGCTGGCAAGTACGCCAAGGCGAACCTGGCGGCCACGGGCAAGCCTGGCAAGTTTACTGATATCCCCCCCCAGAGCGAGTGGAAGCTGACCCAGGGAGCCAAGTACCTGCACATCTGCGCCAATGAGACCATCCAGGGGGTGGAATTCAAGGAGTATCCGGAGGTGGAGGGGGAGACGGTGCTGGTGGCAGACATGTCGTCAAACTTCTGCTCCAAGCCTGTGGACGTGTCCAAGTTTGGTCTGATCTACGCTGGGGCGCAGAAGAACGTGGGGCCATCGGGGGTGACAATCGTGATTGTGCGGGAAGATCTGTTGGGGAAGGCGCAGCCGAGCACGCCGGTCATGCTAGACTACAAGATCCACAGTAACAACGAGTCCCTGTACAACACGCCACCCTGCTTCAGCATCTACATGACAGGTGAGCTGCAATAGCATTATTGGATTCCTGCTCCGATCGTCATATCTTCTTGCGGCTTATATTGCTGTGGCGATGCTGTTGCAAGACAGGTGGGTCACCTTGACCATTTATTGCAAGGGGTAAATAATGTGGAAAGACATGGGGAATCGACTTTTCAAGTCGACTGGTCGATGGGCCCTGTCGTGGTCTGGGCAAAGGGGCCTTTTTTCAGTATGCAGACTGCCAGACAAAGTTCTCCTTGATGCTGTGGTGGTGCACATGCCACTACAGCTGTGGTCACAATGCATGTGTCTACCACTACCTGTAAAGCTGCTGCCCCTAATCGTCTGATAGATGTATCATCCACTCACAAGCCGCTTCTGAACAGATGTTCGCTTCTGGGATCACCAGGTGGATGCTTCAGTATTTGTGTCGCAGTGATCTCGAACCAGGAGTAGGTCTGAAACTCGTGTCTGAATTCGGCGAATCTGACTCTGTGTGAGTCTTGCAACCCCTGCAGGTCTCGTGTTTGCCGACCTGTTGAAGCAGGGCGGCCTGGCTGCGGTGGCCAAGAAGAACGAGGAGAAGGCCCAGCTCTTGTATGACGCCATTGAAGGGAGTGACGGCTTCTTCAAGTGCCCCGTGGCCAAGCCTGTACGCTCCCTCATGAACGTGCCCTTCACGATGCGTGACCCGGAGCTCGAGGCAGAGTTCCTCAAAGAGGCAACCGCACAAGTGAGTTGGGGACATTCACCATCTGGCTGCCTTACTTGAGCCATCGCACTGCTTAGCAGCGGGGTTCGAGTTTTGATGGAATGTTTCCCCATCTTTTCTTTCTGCACTCGTTAGTGATTCGGAAAGGCGGAGGACTACGCCACTGTAAGTATTCCGTTTGCATTGAGAACTATGGAAGTGGACGTCAGGCTGCAAGGTCTTGCTTGTCTCACTACCTTTTCTGTTGACTGCAGGGATTGATTCAGCTGAAGGGGCACCGTTCCGTGGGTGGCGTGCGTGCATCCATCTACAACGCACTCCCCTTGGCGGGTATTCAGAAGCTGGTTCATTTGATGAAGGATTTCCAGGCCAAGCACTCATAAGGTCCCTTTCACTTTCTTGTACTGCTGGGCAACATCCACCAGATGGTTTTTGCTTACAGAAATGTTGATAAGATAGGTGTTGAGAGACTCCCTGAATCGATACGAACCTGTAACATTGTAGAAAGGCACTGTGGGTTTATAAGCTGGGCATCCATGTGTCACTTAGCCCGATTCCTGTTACGACTTTTGAGATGGACGCAAATTGCTGTCAGACGCCTCAAAGTGCTGTAGCGTGACGATCAAAAAAATGCGGCAAAATTTCCAGTTGAAACCCGGCCAGGCCGCATGTGAGCTACTCGGTGCGTCTCGATCCGAATCAAGTTTCATCAGCTTTGTAGTAAGTTCCCTGAACTACGCATGGCGTAAAGACACTAAAAAGAATTATCACTTGTCGAGATAAAAAGTAGATCAATGCCATGAGAAGCCTATGGCCTATTTGGCGACGGCATATTTGAAAGAGACCATCATGGCGGCCTGGTGAGATCGTATACTTGTTTGGAAGGCTCGTGCAAGTGATTGATTATAATGATCAAGAGCTTGTGTAATTCAAGCTTGAGCCGGTCTGAAATGCCAGGTATCGAACTGGCGCGGACAGAAAGCATACACACTGAGAGCCTACGTCTAGTACGTGGGCCTAAGCGCAAATGGGGCGGCTAGGTTTTAGAAGAGCCCGTCGGACTCGAGGGGCCGCGAGATGTCGCGAAAATCATGTATACGACTGAATGCTCCCGGCGACCCATACATGCGCTTCTATGACGGAATTAGATGCAAGTTGTGCACGTTGGAACCGTTGTGCTTCAGCGGTTGCGCATGAGTTCGATCGACTCGGTTTTTGACGGTCGCTCAATACGCACAGCAGCCTTTTACGTTGCAACAGATGGTCGACATGCACGTCCTCGGTGTAGGCTACAGTCCAACCGCGGCCGCTTCAACTCGGGTGCGCAACCTGGCCGCCGTGTGTTGCAGATACCTATGACGGTCGATTCTTCGAAACATCAATGATAACGGCTGAATATCTACATTTTAGTCTGTGCTGAAGCATGGTCGCACACTCAGCTGTTCTGACGGAGTGGGCCAACAGATTCCAGCGTATCAATCCCATTCAAGCTGGTCCGGGCAGCGAAGAACTAGTGTTTGGCGCCAAGAGTATATGACGGACAGACGGATAGCACTTCAAGAAAAGCATGGCCAAAGCGTTCGTAGCCACTTACTTTTCCCATAACGCCAGGCATGCTGCATTCTTCAATGATAAAGTCCGTGGTCGAGTGTGACTGAAACGATGACCGCCGGGAAACCATGCGCAGGTGAATTGTGAACGTTGCATGATAAGAGGTCCGTCTGCGTTAGCAGCTTTTGATGTGGCTCCTGTGTAGGCTGCTGAACGATTGACGTGTACACCTCACCGACTCAGACAACTCAAACTTCAGATTTCGGCAACGCTTCGATAAATTACGGGAACCTGAGGTTGGACACGATGTCCTGCCGGGTGTAGATAGGATGCGTCCACTCCAGGTACCTGCAATCAGCAAACGAGAATCAAAATCGTCGTTGCAAAAACTTGGTGACGCAGTCAGAAGCATGGGCGCCGCACAGCCTCGGCTCAATCAAGGACTCTCGACAAGGTGTGTCAGCCCCTCTTGAAGCAGTTTAATCATTGGCCAAGAGCTAGCCTGAGATAAGAAGATCATGATCCCAGTGTTCAAGAGCTGCACCGTCGACTCACTTGTAGGCGTTCTCGGTGTGGTCGGTGAAGTAGCCGTCCTGCGGAAAGAAGAGACTCCCATTAGCTGTTGCAAGCGTGCACACAGTCCGAACTCCAACGAGCGCAGCGCGCACTTCCGTCGAGCTCATCAGGGCAAGGGCTAATCGAGCCCGCGATATCCCCCGTTTGATATCTACCAGGGGAAATTACGGGTTCAAAACGGCCCTTCCCCATTTGGAACATTGTATCAGACCACCAGCCTGCAAACGGGTCCCCCTCCCGCACAATTGCGGCCTGGTGTGCTCACCACGCCGATGACCTTGTCGAAGTAGAGCAGCTCGTTGAGGAAGTCGCCGTGCAGGTCGTACGCCAAGAAGTTGGAGTCCGCGCGGAACGTGTACGGGTGCACCTGCACGTCAGCGCCCGCGTCAGCAGACAGAACCATCACATGCAGGGCCCACATCAGCATCCAGGCCTCCGCTCTGCTACGTCCAAAGATTGACACCAGACGTTGAGTAGTCACGACACGCGTCAAGGACAAAGACTTGCGCCGGGAAGCAGCCGCGCAAAGCGGCGCACCTCCATGTTGTACTTGTGGGCGCGCGTGACGAAGTCGATGGGCGCCCCGACGTAGTAGTTGGTGGTGGTGTTGACGGGCATGAGGCTGCCCTTGGCGGGGCCCAGCCCCACCACGCCCATCGACGCAAACATGGCCATGCTCTCGTCGGTCGCCAGCGAAGCAAACGTCTGCAAGCAACGACGGTTCATCAGCCGCGAACGAGCTTGCTAGAGGCAGTCAGGAAGGCACCACAAATCGACTGAGTATTTCAACAAGCGGTCCAACGATGCTGGATGAGCGCTCATCTGCATAACACCCGATTGAGCAGTCTATCGGATCCCTCACTCAGTAATTGGTCAGAAGTAATTGAACGGCCCAACGTCAGCTTATTGCACTCGAGGGGTCGCCACACCAGGGCCCGCACCTGGTTGGTGTCCTGGGTCCTGGCGGTGAAAGAGTCGTAGAGGAAGACGAGCGGCAGGTCGGTGTACTGGGCGGCCCGCTGGAGGGAGGTGGGCGCGAAGGCCTGGATGAACACGGGCTTGGCGTACCAGTCCGCGCTTTTGTACTTGCCCTGGTAGCCGTACTTCTGCAGCATCTCCACCACCGCCTGCTCGAAGCTCTTGCCGCCGGGGAACTGCAGGGGGAGCGCAAAAACTGGGGAGGTCAGGCGGAGATGACCAAAGAGTAGAGTGGTTCAAACAGGGAGCAGTCGAGGCGCATCGAGATTGCTGCTCACGGATGGGAAGCCTAACATTGTCATGTGCGGAGCTCTTATTCAATACGCCCAGGAATGTGGTAACTTACCTGCACGTACTGGTTGATGAAAACGGGGCTCTTGATCTCTGCACGAAAGATGTCAAGCCCCAGGCCAACACGTGTCAGTATTTATCTACAACACGTGTCAGTATTTATCTACATAAGTATGCATACCAGCTCTCAACAAAGAAAGGAACGGATTCTTGTGACACAGTGAAGGTTCACGAAATCGATGCGAAGCTCTAGGCGCACCAGTCTCAATGCAATTCGCATATTGTTCCTGAGAAGTGTCCTCGCGCCGATGGCGTACCTGGGTAGATGCCCACAATTCTGGGAGCGGCCAGGGCAATCTGGATGTACTTCTCAAAGGTGATGATGGGGAACTGGCCTGCACGCACGGCAGCAAAGTTATTGGATAACACGGAGCGGATTCCCATCCTCCCATCTCCTCACCAGAGTCTCATGCCACAGCGAGAGGCAGTCTATAAGCCACTCAGTTGCATTGTGCTGGAAGGATTATTTCCAGAGACCTTCGTAATGAGTTCAACCTGAAAGTAGTCCTCTCAAGAACCTGAGTCTCAAATGCACCCTCACGGCTAACGATGAACGATACATTGCTCCAAATGCGTCCTGTTGTCTCTGCCTGCAGCTGCTTACCATCGAAGGACTTGTCCCTGGTGGTAGGGAAGCGCTGCTTCACGCGCAGCGTTGACAGCTCCTCAAATGTGAAGTCCACTGCACAGCACCACAGCAAGCGCTCAGTCCCGACCAAAAGCCACTGTATGCCACCATTCCTAAGGCCCATAAGACGCTCAGCAGTCTCCTCGGGCATTAAAACGTTCCCTAGTCGTTGAGCTGACCAGATCAGCTTGCTGAACGAACGAGACCATTGTGGACGTCTTCAAGGAGGCCTGCTTACCAATGAACCAGCCAGTGTTGACGCCATCGCCACCTGAAGGGAGAAGCATGACAAGTGTCACTTATTGGGTAAGGGATTGAATCACTGAGACTCTAGGAGCCACTCACAGTTGTAGGATTGGATGCGACCAGGACTTGTGCTCTGCCCGAAGATTTACTCCTTGCTGTCATCAGGTAATACCTGAGATGAGTACGATACCTGGAGCTACCTCTAGTTGACGCTCTTGCCCCTGGAAAGCCGGCTGTACCAGGCAAGTCAGCATGCTTTCTTAGTATGCAAGTCTTAGTCCTTACCAACAATGTTGTTATACGTCTTCCTCTTGCTGGCAAACTCGGTCCTGTTAGCAACATCTGCAAAGCAACACCAATGTTACCGTGGGGACGAGAGGGGAGCAGGTCAGTAAACATGCCAAGGGTACCAGAAGCATGAGAGGCAACCAAGACGAGTTGACACGCCAGAAGCGCCAAACAACATATTCTGGCAAGCTAGTGATTGCAAGCAGATGTAAATGGTGGAATCCAGGCTTACCAGTGAGGAGGGAGAGCTCAATGTCGTGGCACATGACGAGCACTCCGTCCTTGGTGGCCTCCACATCGCCCTCGATGAAATCCGCTCCAAGATCAATGGCGGCCTGAATGAAAGGAGGATAATCGATCGGATATCCAGAGAACAAACACTTGAGCAATGTCCTGACGAGTGATAACTGTCAGTCAGCCCTTCCCTGTTGATCCAATCTTGGCTTCCTGTTTTTCACTAGAGATTGGCTGTCTCGAGAAGCTTTGACCTTCCTGGCATTAGCCTGATTGCAGGATGTACATCGAAGCTGGTGAGACGTAACACCAGCACACCTTCATTCCAGCTCACATGTGGAATGCATGACCGTACTTGAAGACATCTCAAGTGCTTCATCTGGAAGCTCCTGATTATGAGAGCAATCCTTTGGCATGCAGTCCTTCACTCACCAGATAGGAAGGCTCCGTCTCCTCAGGGTAGATGTTGCACGCACCTGTAAGCCAAAAGACTCTGGGTGTCCTGGACTTTCATATATACTGACAATTTCAACACAGCATTGCATATCCACCTGCCAATTGACTGCAGAGCCGTCGACACCCCAAGCTTGCAGGAACTGGTCTTAAAAGGGGCAATCTGTGGCGGGTGCTTACATATCACTTGACACACTCTGATCAAACATCTACTTCTTTAGGAGGGATCCTCATGTGCTCAAACCTTACTTGAAAAAGAAAGCGTCAATGGCAGTCTGAACATGTGAATAGTACTGGACAAGCAGGCAAGCCCCCCACAGATATCCATGCAGGCCCCAACTCGAAAAGTGCTCCAACTGATTCATTGCCCTGCACCCCTTACTGCAGTGCATTCAGGCTTGATCTAAGTCGATACGGCCTCCACAGAAAGTAAAGTTGTGTGTCCTCACCTCTGTGGGCTACATTGTAGGGCCGCTCAGACTGCAGGCCCGCGCCAACAATGGGCTTGACGAAGGGGCTCTGTCTCGGGACCACCGGGGGGTACTTGGGGCTGGTGGGAATGTTCAAAGCGGAGGTCAGGGTGGATGCGAGGAGCAGGCACGCCACCACGGACACGCGGAGGGCCCCCATCGTGAGAAATGCGGAGGGGATTGTCTGCCTGTATCAGGAAATCTTATCGAAGCTGCTACTCAATCTATGCTTGCATTCAATGACCTGCTGTTGAGATCCAGGCCGCCAGGTTTTGAAGAGCATCTACCGTATGCAGAGCTCTGCACAGTGGACACCACATGGTTTGATCAGTGCATCTTACCGTACCTACCTGCTACAAAGGGAATGTGACGAATGTCGCTGCGGTATATATCTGCGGTATATTGTACGGTGTAGGTACCTGAAGCATCATTTGATGCCCTCGAAGGGCCTAGCCCAAGTTCCAACTTCTGATTCAGTCAGTCAGACTCAGGATACCCAGGCTGCAAGAGTGGTCGGTGAAGGGAGAAGCTCAGAGATAAAACGGCGAACCGGGCGCTCACAGACTGCGAGTCGTGGATGGAGCTTGATGTGCCCGGGGCTAGACCGGACTCGGACTTGCAATCATTGCATGCTTGAGCGTATGATGTATCTAATGCGGTTCTTACCGGCTAGATGCCCGCGCAGTGCTTGTAACTCCCCGAGAGAACAACCTCGAACTTCTTGGAGTTCCTTATTGTCCGATCGATCGATCATCGAGTGTGCGTGAGGCTGGTCAGGTCAAGATTTGGAGTCTCCCGAACCCCTGGTTGATACGTCCTTGCTGGATGGGTGGGCACTGCGGTCGCCCGGTGCCGTTGTGACAAGCACCATGGTTTGCACCATCATCATCCTGCATCAGTGCATGCCCGGGAGTTCCAAAACAGGAATCTTGTCGGCACCAAGGTGAATCTGATGTCGACATCGCGGAGATTCTTCCGTCTGACGTGACGCGTAAGAGAATCCGCGTCGGAACCGCGGCCGCCCGCTCGCGGCTATGCGCAGGGCGGCCGCGGAACCTTTCAAGCTCAGCGCTCTAAGCCCAGGCTCTCAGGCGTACCGGGCACACAGCGCCTCCGAGAGCATCGACCATCATTGTCATGTTCCATTCTTGCACTAGCTCAGTCTAGCTGCATACCGGTATAACCGTACTGTTGGGGTACTATGATGGCCTTTGAGAGACGCTCTATACGGTCCATGTATCTTATCATCACTCAGAGGACTCAGAGACTTGAATAATCTTGTCAATCTTGCAACCTCAGTGCAACCCGTAGCCATTCAATGGCACCTTCATTGCATATCATACCAAGATCATACAAGCAGACCCCGGAGCTTCAATTTCCAGCCTGACTGTTCCAGGGATCGCCACTCTTCACAATTAATCTAGGTACCGATAGCCGCATGTTACTCAAATCACATGCGACAGCATGATATGTCAACGCCAAGATACTATTCCATGCTATTACTCTTTACGTAGACCGGTTCTATATTAAACGTATAAAAGATTGACTGAAAGGACCGGGTCACGTGCTGTGTCGCTTCAATTCTAGCTCGATTCTCGAACCTCTATTTGCCCTGACCAGTGATTGGCAGCCATATCACCAAACCTTAACAGCCCGGCCATGGAAAAAAAGGCCAATCCTGGCAAGGCTCATATTAAACTGCGCGGTCGGTTTCAAACTCCTTTCATCAAGAAATCTGGTGTACGCTATATGTAGGATTGTATACAACCACTTGATTCAGCATAATTAGAACGTTCTAGTTCCATCATTTCAAAACGCTTGCGGATGATTATTTGGCTCGGACTCATCCAAGCCGGCCCATGGCCGTATTCAATCTTGAAGATCCTGCGTGCTAGTGTAACTTCACCGGCCAGTGCTAGCTGCTAATGTGCCATGCGGCGGGCCTCGCAAGTTTCAAGCGATCAAGACAAGGCAATGTGCCGCCCCTTGACTGAGGCCATACGAGTAAGTTGGGCAGAATCGGTCCCAAGATATTGGGCGAATGCAAGCATGTTCTCTAGCAGCTGACCAAACACTCGCATGGGAAGCAATGGAGTCAAATCCAGCCTGTAGTTCGATATTTGAATTGAACTTGCGAAGACATGTATTTAGAGAAAGAGCATTACAACCTGACGAGTTTATGCAGCGAACCTTTACTACTAAAAGATATGACAGTAGGAAACCACAGACCGACACTTTCGAGAGTTTTTAGAGCGAACGCGATCTCCTGCCCTCGTTGCAAAATGGTATATGTACTATTAATGCGATGTGTCCGCATCTAATGGAGGCCAACGGTTCTTAGGTGAAGTCGAGAACCTGAGCGACGCAATAAAAGCTGCCCCTTACGACTTACAATTAATCACTTCTCAAATCGACCCAACATAGCAGGAACACTCCGAGAATGGGATCCCCCTCACAACACCTCCTCGGTCATTGCCGTGAATTGTTGGACCCGATTACGCAGAAATGAACGTCTTATCTCTTTCTCCGTGGCGCTTTTGAGCGCTTCTTGGGTTGTGCCTTCCGCTTGGTTCCGGCGGCGCTCTTCTTCACTGGCTCTTTGCCCCCTGCCAGCTCCTCGATTGCTGCCTCAACAGCGTACAGAACCATGCGCTTGACCTGCCCAAGCACACATGGCGAGTTGTCAATGGTGACGAAGGCAAAGGGCAAAACCATTTTTGGGCAACCCACAACGTTTCCCTTTCGCTTGTGCCTTCTCATCTATTCCAAGAACCCTCCGCGCCTGTGTGCGCTTCCGATGCATTTCCACCCTGCACCATAACTCCCAACGAGGCATAAACTTGTCCTTTGACCTGGCAGTCCAGGAGCTGTTGCTGGCCACCAGGAGCAAACGCGTTTGATCACCTTCCGCCGGAATTCCGAGCAGGTGGCGAGTGCGGCACGCGCTCACCTGGAGCTTGTCCTCCTTGGCGCGGTGGTCGTCGGGCAAGACCCGGAACTCCTGCGTCAGCTTCCAGCACTCGTCCAGGTTCTCGGGGGACACGAAGTCCATGGCCACCTTCACGCACGACTGCGCACCGCACCAGCAACGTCAGGACACAAGCTCAAGCACCGGAAAGGCCCTCGACTTTCAGAGGGCGCCCACTCTAAACCTTCACGGCAGCTGCGGGCGACTCGGACAAAAGACTCAGCTGTTTTTTTGAGAAAACAGGCGTGCATACCCCTATGTTACACGACAGTAAGCGATTCTTCTAAAGTTTCTGAAATGAATCTATACATAAGGCGTGCGGGTCCTGACCTTGAGGTTGCGGACCTGGTGGGGGCAGCCCGCCGGGATGAAGACGGCCTCCCCGTCGTACTGCTGGAACGTCCACGCCTCCACGTCTGGAAGGCAGCACCAACAGCCGTGTCAGCTCAACTTCCGGCAGCAACCATTACTCCAAAAAACGGCATGAAAGTGGAATACTGATAGTGCATTACGAGGTCAGACGGCGAGTGCTGAGACAAACAACAAAGTGGATGTCTCGATTGTATGTTCAAATAAGGCAAGGACTGCTTGAACCAAGCGGAGCGTGCGGCAGGGAGGGCCCTCACTGTACTCCTTCTTGAGTTGGTCCTTGTGATGCTGCGTGAGGAAGAACGTCTGGTCGTGCACCGCGTCGTCCACCTGCAGGGCAGACCAAAAGATGCGCGTCTTTCCTCCACGCCATCCTTCATGCGAAAACAAGATTTTTGGAAGAAGTTTACAAGAAATACCTAAAGACACCTATAGATACCTAAAGACACCTAAAGAAACCTAAAGACACCTAAAGAAACCTAAAGACACCATCTAGAGAAGTAGACGCCTCTTGCAGGAAGGAGAAGGCCCAGCCGGACCAATATATGCAAGCACGAACGCCTCCATCGCCACCCGCCTCTACAACTTAGCCCCGCCACCGACCCCGAACAGAATCAAAGTGCGGCATGGCCCTCGCAGCGCAGCCCACCTGGGTGACGGTCTCCTCATAGATGTGCCGGAACTCGGCCGCGTGCTTGGTGAGGTACTCCTTGAGCTTCGGCACGTCCTCCCGCCGGAAGATGTCCCACACGGCGCCTCCGTACTCGGCACTGTCCTGTGCCTGCGCTGCCTCGCTGCTCGCCGTTTGCTGGGCTCCCTTGGCCGCTGCCAGGCACACCCGCGGCGGCTGGACCACCTTGGGCCGCGCGGCCTTCGCCTTTGCCCTCCGCTTCGGCTCTTCTTCCCACTCCTCGACCGGTTGGACCTTCGGGGGGTTTCTAGTACGCAGGATCCGCCCGCCCTTCTCCAGCGGGGCCACGTGCACCGGCCCCTGCTCGCTGAGAACCACTAAGTCATCGGACGCTTCCTCGTTCGACACAGCGGCAGCGTCAGGCATTGGCTCGTCTTTCACAGCGCCTCCTGCAAGGACCCCGTCGGCCTCCGTCGGTGCATCCGCAGCCGCACCTTCTGCCGCTGCCTGCGTGTTCTCTCCGGGGGCGTCCCCAGCGGCGTCGCCAGCTGGCGCTTCTTGCGGGGGTCCCGCAGGCGCTACGTCCTCCATCTTGGTATCTTGGGGCGGCCCGTCCGCAAGCGCCGCGTCCGCTGGTTCGCACGACTTTGCGTCCACCTTCATGTCCGCCCCTTCTTCCGCGGGCGCATCTGCCGCTGGCCCGGTCTCCCCAGCTGCCTCCACGTCACCGTTTTTGCCAGGACCGGCACTCTTCTTCTCCTTCCCGGAGCCGTCAGAGTCCTCTCCCGTCACCTCATTGGCAGCCTGCTCAGCCGCCTGCGAGCCGTTTGCGCCGCGGCGCTTCTTGCCCCCTCCCTTCTTGGCGGCCGGCTTGGCGGCGGGCTTCTTGACCTCCTCGTTCTCGCGCTTGTCGGCGGGCTCGGCCCCCACACGCTCGATCGCCTTCTGGACCTCGGGGCGCACCGGGACAGCGTGCGAGTGGCACAGGATGTTCACCTGCAGAGCGGAAAGATGGGCTCGGATGCGCTCTGGTGGTCGGGTTAACTGGTCCCAGCATTCAGAACCCCTTGTGATAAATCATTGCTCCTCGCAAAGACCAGCGATGGTTCTAGGCCAGCTATGCGGCTCTTTCTTTCGCACTATTTTCTTTGGAGGTCGCGTCTTCTGAAAACCTCAAACGAGCTCAGGATACGTTCTGGCGGACCCGTTTGCCAAGAACGGAGCACGACAACTGTGCGAAGCGTTTGCAGAATATGCGATGCGCTTGCAGGTATTCCAAGCGGAGCTGGGCATAGAAGTGGCCCCCGCACGGCCCCGAAGGGAAAGGGCAAACGGCCGCAGGTGCTCACCGCATCGCTCATGTCGCAGTGCAGCTTGGTGACGGAGTCTCCCCGGCCCAGCTCCTCGCGGTGCCCATACGCCACATACGTTTTAGGACCCAGGTCCGGGGGGTTGGCAGCCTGCAGGACCAGGAATACCGTTTGACTCGATGCAGGCCGGGGTACCGTCCTCTCGACACAAATGATGATGCTGACGCCATATAAATCCTGTCCCCGCTGAACATGCGAAGGGATCTCCCCCCGAAGATGGTGGTCAGGTCGCATGGCACGCGGCGCGGCTCACCTTGGGCAGCTTGGCGGCGATGTTGAGCACGCCGGCGTGGGGGTGCGTGTACTCGTGGAAGGGCAGCGCCTCCACGAAGTCGCGGCAGTGGCGGGGCAGCCGCTCGTGGAAGAAGCTCTACGGCACGAGAGCAAAAGCCACGTGAGGAAAAGCTCGGGGCAGACGCGCCTTGCCACGCAGGCAGTCTGGGTTTCAGGCTCAGCTCTCGCAATTGAATCCATAAGTACTGCTCCCGGAAACGAACATGTGTCTTTGCAGGTCATAATACATTCTCAACCGCTGCATAGCATGTCTCCAATGACTTCGACTTCTTGCACGAGCACGTCCGAGGCAGACCCTGTGAGTAAAGAGGGCTCGCTTACCCGGGGCGGCCAGTCCTTGAGCTTGAGCATGGCGGGGTAGTTGGCAAAGAAGCCGCGCCCTTCGGTGTCATACTCGCGACCCTCCAGGTACCCCGAGAAGAACGTCCGCAGGCTCAGCGAGATCTGCCACACGTCAGCGGAGAACCGATGGGTAAGCACTTCGTCTGACGCTGCCTGGCTGCGACACATAGCTACTGTGCTTTTTACTTTGTTGCACTAGAAAGCAATACTGCAAGCAACTCCAAGCTCATGGCGGAGTAGCAAGACGGCTTTGCTCATGCTAAGCGGTGATGGGGCTTGGTCGGCGTTAGTGAGGGCCTCACGAAGGTCCAGTCGAGGCAGAGCAGCGCGTCCACCCAGCTGCCTTCCTCCACGACGTTCTTGCGCGACGTCTCGCGGCAGGCGCGCCACATCACAAACGGCTCCCAGCTCAGCGCGTGGTCCGTCTTGTGCGTGTTGCGCACGATGACCGGCTCGCCCTGACCCCAGTGGTGCTGGAAGTGCTGCAGGGCCGAGCCTGGAGCAGGCAAACAAAGGAATCAGCTACCGACTAGCAAACGCTCGCTTAAGACCCAGAAGTAGTAAACATCGGAGCTGTCACTGGAGAACATTCTGAGCGTCCACTTCTCGTCTTCCTGAGATGGTCAGCTCAGCAGCTCAAGTCAGTGCAGGTGGTTCCAAAGCGAAATAACGACACATCACTGGCCCTTTCCGTCCCACCTTGGTTCTGCTTCAGCTGCTGGGCGTCGGGGGTGTACAGGTAGTTGTCAGTACCCTGCACAGAAAAGCCTGCGTCAGTTCGTCATAGACCCCCAGGCCCCCTGCACAGCTGTCCTCTTCCTGTACCTGGCTTGCAGTCAACTGAACAAAGTAAGCGCACCTATCGACTGAAGGGGAGGCAAGAAGGCCCTACGTTTTCTCTCTGAGCGGCCTTCCTCCGGTTTGCCTCTTTGGCGGGGTCGCTGCACTCCTCGCAAGGTGCTGGCTCGCCCTGCACGACACAGCCCAGGCAACCAAGACTAATTTAGCACTCGTCAGATCGTTTGCAGATCCAATGACTTAACAACGAGTATCAACCACCACCCAGGAGCACGCCGTTGCAGTGGTCTTCATGCAATCCGACCGGCCAGTAAATGACCATGCAGCGTTACGAGCAGCTCATCAGCTTCAAAAGTATTACGCGAGGCGGGAACGAATTATCAGCCATAAGTTTGAAAACTCAAACCCAAGAAACGGCCTTGTGCTCACCTGGGCAGGCTCTGGCTCCTTCCAATTCTTTCCCAGTATCTTCAGCAGGCGCTTCCTCAGGTCCTCCAGCCAGCCGTCCCCCTTGAACGACTGCAGCTCCAGGTAGCCCTCCCCGCAGCCCCCCCACTCCTTGGCAGGACACGGAATGCGCCCGTGCTCGTCGGGCAGCCAGGCCGGTCGCAGCTCTTGCGGGATGCGCACCACCTCCACCTCCTCTTCTTCCTCCTCTTCCTCTTCTAGTTCCCCCTCCTTCTTCCCCTCTTCCTTCTCCCCCTCCTCCCCCGCCTTCTGCTCGTCCTCCTCACCAGCTTCCATGGCCTCCTCTGGCTCGTCTGCCGCCTTGAGGTGCGCCTCCAGTTTCTTGCGGCCCTCCGCCGCCGCCTGCCGCTTAGGGCGCACCCCCCACGAATCTCCTCCAGACTTCTCGCTCCCAGCCTCCTGTGCAATTGCACCCTTCTTGACATCGTCGTTCTCTTGTTCGCTCTTGATGTTCCTAGTAGCGGCCTTCCCCGCAGGAAGCTTCTCCCGAGGGGAGTCGTTGTCCTGGCTGGAAATCTCCAGCACCTCCTGGGCCGCCGCGTGTTGCGGACATGGCGCAATGGCGTCCATTTTGCCCGCCCTCACCTCCTCGCAGCAGGTGAGGCACAGGTCGAATGCGTGGTCCGAGTTGCTGCACACCCGCACGTAGTCCACAATCGTGGTGCGGCAATTGTCGCTGCAACAACAAGGATCAAAGATTAGGCTGGAGACACAAACATGAAGACAGGCAGCACTTGGACGGGCTTTCACAAACAGCGCATACATGAGGCCTAGGGAGCCGAAGCAGTCATCATCAAAATGTAATCAATATCTTTGACGCTTGACAAGAGGCACATTATCAGGGGAGTGGGCAATGGAGTCACTTATGAGCTAGCAAACATTTGGACTGAACTGAAGCCCCAAAACAGGGTACCTTCAAAGAAGACTTGATTGACTTGTGTCCTCCTGACATCTTTCGTGTGACTTGCGCCTATAGAAGAAGCGCCACCTACCAGTAAACCCTCCTGTCTATGGGGATCTCAAGGTGCGGCACCTCGCCCATCTCGTCCCCTGCATTTGAGCACACAGGATAAGCGCGCGCCGACTTACGTTTCTTCACTCCAGTGAGAGAAGAGCTTCAAGCAATTGGGGTCATTTAGAGTATGAAGCAGTGAATCGCAGGGATGCACAAAAAGGTCTTTACAAAACCAAGCCAAACAAAAAGAGAGATATAGGGTTTGAGGGTCGCTCCACACTTTCTCAAAAGATGCCCTCACCTGGGTGAAGCTTCTCCCAGATCGCCTTTTCTAGTCTTAGCTCGTGCGCCTGCTCGTCTGCAGTGCGTTTCAGGTAGGGAGCCGCATGTTCCAGCAGCTGCCGCAGCAGTGCCACATGCTGGCCAGAGGCCTGGGCGTCGCTGCCCAGCTGCACGAAGAAGAAGGTCACGCCTTGAGAAAACTGGCATGCCAACCCCCAAAACGGCAAGATCTAAATCAAGCAAACACAAGAATACCCAAAGAAAATGGGCGAAGGTAGCCTATCCTCCCTCTCAAAAACAGCTTGCAGTTGTGGGCTTCTCGTGTGTTGTAATAAATGTGGAGCTCCTCTCAAGCTCCACTTCTAATACAACACACGGACCATCAACAGACTGGAGATGTCGCTGAAGATGTTTCTTACATAGACCAGGTCGCCCTGCCGCCTGAGGCAGCCCTTGCAGTTGCAGTTGCCATAGCAGCGGGGGCACTTGACATCCCACTTGTCACCATCCACCTTTCGAAACTCGTTAGCACGGGCGGGATACCTGCAATTTGCAATCCAGATGGAAAAATCCGTCAGGGAGGCACTAGCCACATGAGAAGCCACGTCAACCTCTTCCAACGCGGCTCATCAGCGATGCATGCGACCAGATACGCACGGACGGTGTTAAAATGCACTGGCAGTGAGGGTGCAAGGTGCACTCAACAACCGGCGAAAGTTGCCAGTTTTGGAAGTGTTGTGTGCCAGAATCGCATCTCAATCAATAAGTGACCAAGCGAGCAGACCCCAGGACAAGATCCTAGCTGGCTTCGGCCAGGCTAAGAAAGGGACAAATTTTGTGGGTCTGTGAAAGAATGCACAAGGCAATGCTGGTTTTGATGTTAGTGTCTCCGTATGTAACTGCGCATGGAAACCCAATCACAATTTGGATTCCAAGAACATTTCAGAAGATTGGAGAGAGTTCTGGAGACTGTCCTCATAACTTGGAGTATAGCGGCACCTCAAGTAGCCTCACCAGTTGACGGCACAGTCCCAGCAGTAGCGGGTGCCGCAAATCTCCTCTTTCCCCGTCTTGTCTTTCTTTCCCGTCGGGTGGTTACAGCGGATAACAATCGTCCGCTTGCTGCTCATACATTGGTGGCACATGCGGATCTCCCCCTTAGGGACGTCCATAAGCTTCTCTATCCGCCTCCGCTCAACATCGTCCATTTCCTGCAATAGCCTTAAAGCAAGCTGGTCAGAAAGGCAACAGGACAAACTTTGACAGTTGCTGATGTAAGAGCGACTCACCCGATTTGAGTACACAGCCAATAGAAGCTTCACAGGATGGGGGCAAAGAAGCTTTGGAATCTCACAACACATTTATGGCCCCAACTCACCAAAAGCTCTTTTGCCCTTTCGGGGTCTATTCCTTCTTCTTTCTTCCTCTTGGGTGCTGCTTCCTGCATCTCCTGTTTGCCCTTGTCCTCTTCTTGCACCACCTTCTGCTTGGGCCGCCGCTCTCCCTCTGCAACAGCCTGCAAGCAGAAGGGCTTGTAAGAGGCAACATCACCTTTCAAACCACCCCCTTGCAAGCGGCACACCGGCAAAATTTGTTCAATAGTTGATTATAGCCCTGTCTATGAGCACCATTTGTGGATGCGAGTGCCAAAATGGTCACAATCTGCTGCAATGGGTGCGGTTCTGAGTTTAGTGATAGGCAGCTTGCAACACCCAGTAGGCAATCTGGTGAGGTATCTCTCCAAGCGACTGCAGACTGGTGGCTCCAGCACCCTGCAGAAACCGATGACCTTATATACTCACCAATTACTCAACAACCTGGCTTGCTCCTGGACCAATACCTCCAGACATTGCCTCCTCAACGGCGGGCTTGAAGCAAGTAGTCTTCATTTCTATTGGAGCACCAAACAAGTTTCAACACCCCAGTGCTACAACTTGAGTGCAGAAAAACCTGGAGTTTGTTCAGCATCGCTTGCCTGTTCTGGTGTGTTCCTGTGTTTAGCACACAAACTGCCGCCTTCATTGCAAACCCCCGTGCACCGCCGCCCGCCTCCAGTTCTCTTCTCACACCGCACACTCTCCCGAAGCCCGTTGGTCCCTGGGGGTACCGCCGCCCGGTTTGTCCTCCCTCCAGGAGACAGCTTGCCACTTGCAACTTTGGCATTGTGTTCACCAAGATAGCTTGCATTGCTGCTCCTCATGTCCTTGGACAGCTGGTTCAACTTCTCAGTTGCTAGAACGGAAGCACGCCGCTTTGAAAACATCACCCCACTCTGAGCAATTCCCTGATTAGCACCTTCCTGCGTTCCCCGTTTCCTCTTGGCTGCTTGCCCACCCTGACCTGGTCCTGGCTGGCTTGGTCCAGGTCCAGCACTCTGTGGGTCGGCCCCTGGAGCACCTGCCTCAGCACTAGCTTCGATGCAGCCCTGCAAATCGTCCCCACCTACCAGCGGCTTGTCCTCCCAGTGATAAATTCTTTGCCCATCACACAAAACTGTACAACTGATGTGCTCAGCCGACTGGAGAGCGTGCTTCACGTTTCCCACTGCCAAAGGATTGGCAAGATTGAGATTGATATCATGAGCAGGAAGCTGCTTGATGACATCGTCCAGGGTGAACTCATGCTTCCCATGGGCAATCTTCTTCACGGCTGCCACCAATTCAGGAATCAAATCGGCACGAGAGGAAGAGCCTTCCTTGGATTCTGCAGGGCGCTTTTTGCGCCGATAAGAATCCATAATTGCAAGGAAAGACTCACATATATAATCTATTCCAAATGCACGAACAAGTGCGCCCCCAGCCAACAACACGCCTGCAGGGCAGCGCCGACAATGGAGAGCAACTGCAGGGATCAAAGCATGGATGATTGCAGATTCCACAACTGGCACAAGCTCGAGTACCTACCTAACAGAGCAGGCTGATCAAGAGAAGGGACTTTCCTGTGTGTACAATTTGAATTTTGAATATCGACCGTCCGATGCAGGCTCCAAAAGTTGGCGGTACCTGATCAGCGGTTGATGACTTGGATAATGGAAAGACTGCGTAGTCTGTAGAGCAGCTCTCACTGTGCTGCGTGCATCCAATTTGCAATGCCAACACTGGCCTGAGGGCAACACTGTCAACAGCACGAAGGAAATGCGCGCTTCGTTTCAACTTTTAGAGGCACAATTGCTCCAAACGAAGTCTGGAGAAAACAAACCGTCAAAGACGAAGACAGACACGAGGCAGCTCTGAGTCTTCACTATCCTAGTGGACTTGCCTTTCAAGTTGCACAGATTCTGCAAGACTTCTTCTCAAATCAGCGAGAATCCAACCTCTGAACCTCGCTTGTTACACTTTATACTACCTGAACAAGGGGCGTCTATTTTGAGAAGATTCAGGGCTTAATGCCAGCCTGCACTGGTCGTCCACCTGCACATCCGGTGTCTTGGCCAGTTTGCAAGTGAAGGGACATCTGCGTCAGAAACGAAGCCTAGAGCTCGTTTGCCTCAATTTTCTGGATTGAAAGTTTGAGAGGCTGTGACCCAAGTCAGATAGATATCCGTATGAGAAGCAGCTTCACCCATGGATGCATCTGGTCCATCAAAGGACAAAGCCAAGGGTATAAACTTGCTGGACTCGTTTGCTGTCAAGAGGCACCTAGACGAGGTTGCAACGGAGGTGAGAACGTTGCTACCATTCTCAGACTGCACAAGTTTTGGGGTACTCCTGAAACTTCTCTTGCTTGCGGTTGCTTGTCTGGCATCCACATGGACTGGGTTCTGGCGATACAGAGTTGCTGGCACATTATGCTGTTGCAGCCTGGCACTAAAAAGCTGCCGCCACAAGTATTGCCTCATCAGCGTTCTTCTCGTTCTCAAACAGGATCAAAATCTTGTGCAACATTTCAGCTGCAAGGAATCTGCCAATCCTCTGGCTGTGCATAAGAGGAGCTGATCTCCTAGTTCTTGCTTGCAGGCGATCATCGATCGGGGCTACTTAGAAGACGTTTTTTTCAGCAACGTGCGCATTGCTATTGGTCTTGCATCATGCGGAGTGGCATGCCTTGCCCAGTTCTACCCCCAGAAATTTCCTGCTAACGTGACGCTTCTCATGGTCTGCATTGGCATCTACATATTGCTCAACTTGGCCCTCCAGTTCTTGGCAATTTTCAAGGAGAAGAACCACATACTATTCACTCATCCGAAAACGGTGAGTTCTTTGGGCTATATGCTCTTCCCACGAACTGGGCCTAAGGACAATGCAAATGCTTCAGCCTATTCTTCGTACATGTCAAGTAAAGTCCGTGCTATCCTTGTTGCATGCTTCAAAGCCTTGAACTTAAAGAGTTGCGCTTATCCATCTATGAGCACCCCAAGAACCGAGAACATCGGAGTACATGTTTTTTGTGGAGGAGAGTTCTTACATGGATTGCTGTCCGCAGGGTTCCTACACAACAACGGGGCTAGCCGTGTCCTCCAAGCTTCCTCGATTCTCCTCCCAGTATACTCTCAGAATAGGCAGCAGTGAACCCAACTCGGTATCTGCGCGGCCAGCTGTTGAGATGACAAGGAGTATAACGGAATGGTAAGGCCTCACGCCTATGAACTTGCACGTTTTCAAACATGTTTGCCAGCTCGTGCCGATCCTTATGCCAGCAGTTCTAAGAATTTGGTCCACGCATTGTCATCTCAACGGCTTTCTTCTGGCTCCCCCAGTCTTCTTATGAATATATTTTGCAGGTTTACCGGAGACGGGATCCTTGCTGAAAAAGAGTACTGGAAGGCAGTTGAACAGCTTTTAGACGAGTACGAGGGTTCTGCCAAGAAAAGGAGATGACAAATTGTGTGTGGTTCAACAACCATCTATTCTTTGCCACCGCAAAAGGAGCAAAAAAGGGGCAACGAAAGTGGCTTTTGATTACATTGGGGTCGGAAGTGTCTGTCATGATGAGCAAATGGCGTACGGTCAGTACTTGACTCATTGATATTTGCCTCCGATGTGCAGCCGCAATGAATTGATCTTGTTTTCGTACACGGCGTAGCCTGGCACATACATAGGCTACAGGCTTAACTCCCCGGATCATCAGATATGTACTAGGTAATACCGGTAGTAATATAAATGACATGTTAAAACCATAAATGACATATGTGGATCTAAGCTGCATGCAAGCTGCGCTGGCAACCGACGTCATGCCAGCGTGTGCAGTGCAGCATGGGCATCCTTAGATGATTGTAATGCTCGACAGCTAGATCGCCGCACGCGCGCACATCCAGACGGTTAAAGTGGAAAAAATCATTGTATATGAAAGGGACTGAGTCCTCTTAACTATTCAGTCAATTTCATTTCTGGATACAACATCTGGAATTCAAGGATCACGTCAGGTGGTCGAAACATACTATAAAGTACAATTGATCAAATCATCTCTACAAATCGGAAAGCTCTTCTCGCTCTTGGTGGAGGAGCACAGCACATATATCAGCTCTTGGCAGAAGATAACCGGAAGAGATATCAAGTATGCTCAAGCGCGCTGTCAGCTAAGAGCTCGGATTGTTACATGGAGTGCACTCTCTCGAAACCAGTCATACATGTCCGGCAACTCCGCATCAACCGCCGCGCGAAATGCTCGCAAAGGTTGAGGAAAATCTTGCAGGAAATGCACAAGAGTCGCTCCTAACTTCGGATTCCTGTAGTGCGAGATGCTGTTGCCTGCAGACATGGCGACGACAGCTGCGCTTAAAGAAACCTGCCAGAAGCAGGGGCTGTTCCTGGAGCTTCAATCAATGGTGCCCCTAATAATGGGTAACTCACATGCAAAAAGGAGCCCCGTTTTCTTCCGTGGTACTTCCGGGACGAGAAGCATACACTTTCCCTAGCATCATAATTTGCCTCGCTCTTGTACATTCTAAAACGCTTACGAATGCTCACCATCTTTTGAAGCGTAAAACCAGTATTGCTCCAGGCGATCCAAGGCAAACTCGTCCATGACCTGCGACGATTTCAAGACTTCAGTTTTTCTCAAGAGAACGGAGGATCACAGCGACCTGGACAGGCCGACTTCGACAAATCACATGGAGTGTACTCATGACTGAGCAAACAGGAAAAGTGCAGTGCTTTGATGGCTAGGGATAGAGATATTAATATCCTGCAGACCACGTCAAGCCGTAGATAGTAAGGCAAGCAGCAAGGCGCCCTCATTGCCAGTGTACCTCCTGAACGAGTGATCATGCTTGACGAGAGGTTTATGCTACTTCAGGTATTGAGCAATTACCTTCTCCACGTTGCGCAGCTCCACGTCAGTGGGGGTAGAATCGGAGGAGGGTAGCAGCAGGGGTACATTCGAGATCGACAGTGTTTCTTCTAAAGAGCAACTCGCAAAAAGCACCTGATGATAGAAGAAGACAAAGCGACTGTGAGTCAACGACTTCCAACGAGTTCGACCCGTTGGCCAGGCAGGACAACAGAGAAAGCCACAGTACTGAAATTATGATGGGGCATCTAGGCAGGGCGTATCTCTGTCTCCCCGTTCAGTTCAGCTCAGGCACTGTCAAACGCGGCTCACCACTGACAACTTGTCCACCAAAAGCTGCCGCTCATTTGCAAGCGCCTTGCTCGAGTCACTGCAAGCAGCGGGTTGTATTGGTCCGTCCACCAGGTTTTAGTGCTTTCTTAGAGAGAATCATGTGTATATCCCGGCGCATACAAATGCACCCATTCTCGCTGCCTTTGAAAACGCACTTCTGCTTCTCAATTGTTAGATGTGGCAGGTCTAAGCTCCAGGTAAGCTCCAAGTAGAGTATGCACGATTAAGTACAGGAGTCGCCTACCGGCAGATCCTCTTCAGTTTCAGGAGCTGCTCAAACGACAGCCGCTTCCCATCCCTGAGCGCTGCTAGGGACACCTTCGGCCACTTGCTCCCAGGGTTTTCCGGCTTGAGAGTTTGAAGGTATGGCAGCTCTTGGTCGATCTGGGCCTTCATCTGCGCTGCGACTCTCAAGAGTAAGGGATTGCAGAATTGGCGGGCAATTGTGAAGAACCATCAGTACAAGGAGGACTACCAGAGGAACAGGCGGTTGAGTGGTATTTCTTTGTTTCAAAGTAAAATCACAATGGTTAGAGCGGGCACGCACCTGCAACAGCTCCGGAGGCAGACCAGTGAAAACCACCGTTAAGACCCCGCTCCAGCTCACAAAGAATTGGGAGAACGTCAGTCGGACTGCTTGAGTGGCTGCGATAATCGGTTGCAGGCGGCCCTTTGGAGATGTGGCACTGGTCTTCGTTTCTTCAGAGGCACAGCCATGTTGGGCTGTCCCTGCAGGGGCATCTCTGGTTGCTATCTGATGCCAAATTCTGGTTGGATACCGGCTTTGTCTATCGGCAGCATTCTTAATCCTTACATTGGGTATTCGCTGTTTTTTAAGACCACTTTATCCAAACACCAAAGAGAGCTTCAAATCGGCGCCTCCGCCACCGCTGAAAAGCCAATCAAGACACAGGGGCAATACACTGTTGGCAGACATGGCCAAAATTGAGCGATTGTTGTCAGCTGCAACCGGACTTGCAAATGAAATCAAGAAGCTGCACTCAAATCACCCTTTCTAGAGACCATACTTTATCATCCTTTCATGCTCACGTAAAAAGCACGCAAAGCTGAGCCCATTCCTTGGCTGAGCATGAAACTTGGATCACCAACATCTATGTCTTAGAAAGGCAGTGTTGGTCCGGATCCTTATAAGAAGACGCTCCTTACCTTTTTAACTCATCACAGAAGAAGGGGAATCACAGATGCAATTTGCCCTCAAGTTCTCGGTCCTATAGTTCTCAACTTCTGAGGGCCCAGATACCGTATGCCCCCCCCATATAGTTTGACGAAGCAGAAACCTGTCACAAATGCTCAATGTATCTCCCTCTCACCTGTCCCATCATGGTTCGGTCCAGCGCCAGCATTTGACTTGTCAGGTGCTACGCCTGTTCCCACAGCATTCTTACAACCCTGTACATCATCCTTCTCAAGCTCTTCCTTCACTTGGCGATACATCGCCTGACTATTCAACTAATCAAAGTGTTTGATACACCTGGTGCGTTGGAGAGCATGCCTCAAGTTCGCTTCTGCTATTGGATTGACAAAGTTGAGGTGGATGTGGTGGGAATGTAGCTGTTTCTTTCAGAACCTTTACTCCTCCAAGCTGGCGCTTTCACTCCCGCGCACAATCTCCGCAATTGTGGCTGCCACCAACTCTCATTTGAAGGGTGGCAGCAACCGCCTTCGTTCAACTTCAAGTGCATCTTGCCAGGCTTGGGAACCATGCTGCTTCCCAAACAGCCGATCGATGCATGTCCAAAGATAATGTAGGCTTTGCTGCCGTCTTCCTGAGGTCCCACTTCAGAATCCTGCCCAACTCTTGCCAATGCGGCGGCAATGCCAGTATTACTATTAGTCCGAGTCTGGGCAATAATACTGTAAAGCGGCAAGCCTGATGATCAGAACTGGAAATCCATCAAACTCCAAATATTGTCAGATCTGATCAGGCCAACTTCCAAGTTCCAAACAAAAGAAGCGCATGCAATGCCGTGAGGGGGCACCAAGCCTGCACTGAGCTTAGCGAAGTACAGCTTAGCTCTGGCTTAGCTTCGCTGGACACTTCCTGGCCCTGCCGTCGGTTGAGTAGACGTGCAATTCCGGAACAAGGGCGCACCTGGCTGCGTTGCAGAGCTCGCAGAAGTTGCCAGAAAGCTTTTCTTCAAGCTGCAGCATGGCTTGGACCGATCCGAGTGGTCGGTGCAGTAGGAGAGACAGCGCAACCTCTGTGCTGCGCTGAGCATAGCAAGTCTTTGGAGATGGCTGCAACATTGCAGCGCACCGCCGCTAAAAAGTTGCATCAGGCTGCCAATTGCCGCCAGGGCACCCTGGAAGGTGGACCACTTCAAAGTGGGTCAACACGATGCCTGGTGGTGGGCAAAAGCTTATCTCCAAAATTGGTCGGGTGGGCGAGCGAGTACCAACAACTGCAATTAGAGATTGTTGACAACCGATGGGGCTCGCGGCACCTTCAATCCACCAAGTGCTTCCAACGGGCAAATGATTGGCACGGCTTGTCCACCAGGGGCTGTCCAAATCAAAGGCGGCGGTCTTCAAAGTCCAATGTGGGGCCACTCAATGCCGTAGCTGTTCAGAAACCTACCTACCCGGTGGAAGAGCTGGGGAAAGCCCAGGACCAGGCGTGCATCTTACAGGCCTTCAACTGGGGGAGCTGCCGCCGGGATGCACGTTCCTGGTACCAGCTGCTTCTCGACAGTGTTGACAGTATTGAGGAGGGGGCCTTCACCGACGTTCTCCTGCCGCCGTGCTGCCAATCTCTGGATCCGCAAGGTCTGTTTCATCTTGGCCACTGTATTGGCTGCTAAATGACTTTTAGACGTGTCAGGTCACTAAAACAAGTGCTGGGATGCCAGTATCGGTGCCGACAGCTGTGCAACTTCCGACTACTGGTCAGTCTTTTCAGCTGAAAGTCGCTTCCTGAGTTGCTTTACTAAAGGCCAAACTTGAATGATGTGTAAGATGGAAAGTGAGTGCGTAAGTTCAGGCTGCCCTCCTCTCCTGATCCAGGATTCATGCCAGTGGATTTCTACGAGCTCGACACCTCATACGGGACAGCAGAGGAGCTGCGGCAACTCATTGCAGCGCTCCACTCTCGTGGAGTGCACGCCATCGCCGACCTGGTGATCAACCGGCTGGCAGGCGTGGCCACCGACAGCACGGTCTCCTGGAAGAAGGCGGGGGGCACCGTCGCAGATGTAAGCCAGCCAGGGCGTGTTTGGTTGTCACCTGGTGTTTTGATCTTCCAACTAAAGGCCCAGAGAGAAGTCTGTGTCCAGCAGAATGGAAGTTTACATTGAAAAATAGAGACTGCACCAAGCAGTGGTGAGGCGTCCTACGAAAGCCTTTGACCTGTCTCCTTTTGGCCTGCACTAAAAGCCGGCTTTTAAGGTCGGAGTGCTTTTTGACTCCTTCCTTGAATTCGCATTCGACATTCTATTGGGGTTGTCTATCCAATCCTGGACCCTCCCTTTTCGATGCACCTCGACCTCTTCCGTGGCTTTGTTCACTTTGTCTTAGTGCGTCTGTTCATTCGGCTGTTCTCTCACACCTGCCCCTCTCACACCTGCCCCTGTCTCGCTCTTCCAGGATATTGATTGGATGGACTGGGTCTCCGGCAGCGGCTCCCCTGCTCTTCTGACAGAGGACGCGAGTGCCGACAGCTACCCCGGTCTGGCCGCTATTGACCACTCCAACCCCGTCGTCCAGAGTGATCTCAAGGGCTGGCTCCTCTGGCTGAAAACGGAAGTCGGGTTTGATGTACGTCCACTTTCCTCTTTACGCAGTTGCCCTCCAGGAATTATGTTGCTTCCTTGCTTGGCCACAAACGTCCCAATTGAAAGGAAGTGGGTTCGAAGTCCTTGATTTCGAAGGCCTCGAAGTTGTCTGCTCTTTAAGGCATCAGCCAGGTCCGAAAGCACAACGCAGCGAGCGGGTTCGCACAGCGGGCTGCCTTTACAGCGTCTCCTGACCAACGCATCTGGGCGTCCCATTACAGGGTTGGTTCTTCGACTATGCTCGAGGATTCGACCCCCAAGCTGTGGCGAAGTGAGCAGCCTTTTTCCCTGTTTTAGCCTCTCTCTCGGGCTATTATGTCAACCCCTCAATTGGCACGAAGTACTGCCTTCGAAGCTGGTACTGTATGTTTAATCGACTTCCTGTGCTTCCGTACTCCTGCATCTGGTGACAGGTTGTCACAAGGTCGTAATGATTGTTCATCTTCATCATGCGTGAGACCGCGTGCCCAACTGAGCGTACGTCGTGGTTGTGCAGTTACGGGGAGGCCAGCGGGCCGTCCCTGGCCATCGCCGACTACTGGAACCCAATGCGCTACAACGGAACATCCCTTGAATACGGCCAAGGTGAGTTGTCTGCAAATGAAACTTACGCATCTACGTGTCATTTGTTGCTGATGCAATGGTTCTGTTCTCTGCTCGCGTGAGTCAAGCAAGTCTTCTGATGCTTTTCGTTGAACGGACTTTTTGGTCAAGGGACAGATACAAGTGTGAGGGCGTGGCTTGCAGATCAGCACCGGGAGGACTTGTGCAACTGGGTCAAGGCTACCGGAGGCTCCGCAAGGGTCCTGGACTACACCACCAAGGTGGGGCCGCAATGCCTGCTCATATTGACACGTTGTCAATTGAATGATCTGTTTCATGTTTGATTAGTGTGGTTGTGCAGCAAATTCCAGGCCTTTTGATCGCGCCAAAAAGACGATTCCTCCGTGTGTGGACGGTTCTTGTACTAACCGTCTACAGCAGCCTCACGCTACTTGGTTGCCAGCTTTTGTTCATAGATGCAAAAGCCGCTCTGTGTCGCCGACCGCAATCCCCTCTCGAGTTGCTGTGCTCTTCTCTTGCAGGGCATCCTCCAAATGGCGGTCGAGCGGTGCGAGTACTGGCGGCTGATCGATCCCAAGGGACGGCCCCCAGGCATGATCGGCTGGTGGCCCGCCAAAGTGCGCAGCGAAACTTCTCAACTTTGAGTGTCATCTCTACCGGCACTTCCTGCGTCCTCCAGCCACCTCGATGATTCCTGTCTTGCCCCGCACCTCCCTTAACCTCGACTTTCAAACCACGAGTTGCAAAGGCTTCCTCCCAAACGACGAAACCTGCTTGAACTAGGCCGTCATTTGATACCTTCACCAAGATTAGAAACCACCACCTCCACGCCACAATCCCGCGCACGTTTTCTGTATAACCGTTGAGTTGCCCCCAGCTCCAGCGCGGGCATCTTTCATCGCAGGCGGTGACGTTCGTGGACAACCACAGCACGGGGTCGGAGCCGCGGCACTGGCCCTTCCCGGACTGGGGCGTTATGCTGGGCTACGCCTACATCCTGACGCACCCCGGCACGCCCTGCGTCTTCTGGGACCACGTGCACGCCTGGAAACACAAGGTGGGCGCGCGCACGCTCGCAGCCGCACCTCTGTCGTTCTGCTCCGAACCGCGGCCGTTTGGAGGCTGTGCTGTCGGGTGCTTTCCCTTGAGCAATCAGCGGGGTGTGTTTGACACGCTTTGCCTCCATTTGGGAAGGCTGGTGGGGCCGCATGAACTCAGATCAAAAGATGAGATTGATGACCGCTAGTGTTTGAATGAGAGGATAAGAGGCGCCGTTCTGTGCCCTGCCAAGCGCTGATTTTCGTGCTGCCTCCAGGATGCCATCTACTCGCTGCTCGCGGTCCGCCGCCGCAACGGCATCCACGCGCAGAGTTCCGTCCGGATCACCGCGTGCCACTCCGACTTGTACGTGGCGCAGGTCGGTTCTTTCGATGGGCCCGATCAGGCCTTTCGGGGGGTGTACGTCAAGCTTGGGCCAAGCATGAACCTCCGGGGGGGCGGCCCGCCAGGTGAGTGGAGACGCAAGCGGCCCTTGGGACAAAGCATCGTAGGTGCATCAACTTTCCGGAGAAAGACGGCTCCGCTCAGCTTGTCGCGGTTTGTCCTGCGGACGAACCAAATGCATGCCTCCTGTTGGAAAGCAACTTCAATTGACGGCTGGATTATGTTTTGACTAGGTCAAGATCAGCTGCACGGTTCATAGCGTTTGTACTCTATCTGCAGGGAGCGATTGGGTTGTGGCTGCCTCAGGTCATGACTACTGTGTTTGGGAACAGCGGTAATCCTCGAATGCGAAAGGCTCTTTCGGCTCAGAGAATGGACTGGCAAGCTAGTCTGACCACAAATAGATTGACAGCACCATGACACTGAAAGAGGTGTTCTCAGAAGGTCAGACAAGCTTGTTGAGGTTGGACATCTTATAGTGGTGCCGGCAATTGAACAACCGGTTGTGCCGGCCTGTGCGGTATGTTGCACGCCCCAGGTAACACTTGATAGGTATGACCAGGTTGGCAACTTGGCATGGAGCGTGAGTGTCGCTTGCAGAGCGGCTCCTCTTGCTGCAGATTTGATTCCTAAAAGTATAAGCAGAACAGCGAGGAATGGTCACTTTTGATTATTTACGCCCTGAGCCACGACGCGAAAGTGGTCGGAGCTATCATCTTTATTTTGAACGTGCAATCTAGGCGCTGATCCGCTTCCATCGGCCTACAGTGCCGGAACATGGACAGTCGTTTGACAAGCTGTTTCGAGACCAGTGTGAACCTCTTATTACACAATGGAGTCATTGGCAGTACGTGCCAACTCCAACGGTTAACCTTCCTGGCACGTACTATAAAGGTACGTACACACCTAAGTTGGCGGCCGGCCTTGTCATTTACGGCCTGCATAATCCACGGGCCGTGCTAGGCTGCCGCTTGACGTGTTGCGCCGATTGAGATCCGAGTCTGCAGGATTCAAGCACACCGACTATATTGCTTGACCGCGGCCGCCCGGATCGTGCCTCCTTTGCGTTGATGTTGCTTGGGGGTTCGACCTTTTCTAAACCATTGTCGTGATCGTGGTACATAGCATGTCTGCATAGAAGCTATGATCGATATACATGCGGCCGCCTAGCTAGTATGTTAGTACGCCACACATATACGTGCGTACGTGACTGAAAAAACACAACATTCGGCTCATGGATCAGTAACTGAACATGGCCCCTATATTAAGTGAGGTTCGCCTCTCGTCAGCTATAAGAACATATGTGCGAGGCACTACACATGCATAAGTTAACCTACTTGGATATTCATGCATGTATATGTTAGAGTATTATCTGCCGCCTCTTTACGGGCACTGAAATGTGCTGCAGGCGCAATACTAAGGGCGCCACATAGGCCATGCAATAAATGACTCACCTGAGGGGCTCAGCGCTGGCTGACAGTGCATTACTGTAAGGTGCATCATTATTGCATCATCGATCGGAATGTGTTTGCAGTCTATTCGTCACAGCCTGCTTTGAGGCAGAAAATCGGTGGAACCATGTCAATCAGGAAGCCTTTCGATGGCGCCACCATATGAACCTGCATAACGATATTAGATAAGCCATCCTATGTTAACAATTTGAAGATGGGGCCAGTACGTTCCGGCTGGTTCTGTAGCCATGTTTACCAGAGTTGAATAGCTATGTAAGAGCGGAATCGGACCTAGGCTTTCCTATCCAAAAAGGTTCTCACACAAATGAGTGCAGGCCTTCTATCTGATACGGTCCTGCAGGTCAGCAACGAAGCTTTGTGCCAGGTTAGAGAACTTTCGGCTGGCAGCTCCGGCCATGTTCTTCAGCTGTCCCATGTCTTGACGAGCCTGCACCGAGAGCAGGAAGTTCGTCAGTATTTCGCGATTTGCGCCAATTGCACCTTGATGCAAGAATACAATTGAGGGCACAGCTGTTGACAACGTTGCCATCGCTACTGATCATAAACATGACCCCAAACTGCTGCGTCCAAGTTCCCTTATCCTCGAACAAAAACCCTGCTGCCCCGCGGTATCGGCACCCACCTGGACAGTCAACTTAGACATGAGCTCGGATGCTGTCATGTCGAGGGATGAGTCCATCCCTTGGTTGCGGCTGCCGCTGCCGCTGCCATTGCCACTTCCCCCGGCTCCCCCAGTCCCATCATCATAGAAGTCCGCACTGGAAATGGAGCTCGAGTTCTGCAGAAGAAGGGGAACAACTGGCTCACTTAACAGAATTTGAAGCTAATGTACCCTAACCGGCACGATCGAGGTTGAAGGCTTCGGAGTGAAAATAAGGGAAGGCCAGCATACTCCCTGCTCCTGCATGTTTCGACTAAGTCCAATTGCAGCTTCGACGACAAGCACCAAAAGACAGGACCCCCTTGACGCCCCTGAGGGGCAGCCACATATACTACTAAGCAGATTGACGGAACATGCTGCCGAACAAGCAAAGATGACTGAGCCTTACCGCAAAGCGTTGGAGCCTGACTTCAGTTTCGCGGCTGTTGGCCTGATTCTCATTCCCAAAGAACTGAGCCGACGAGATGGACTTGGCATTTGCAAAGCGCTTTTGCGCCACCGCGTCTTCTGATGGCACCTGTAACCGCAGGAGACAAGCATTGGGACATGGAACGAATCAAGGCCCTGATTTTCAGAAATTTGTTTGCAGATTGCAGATTTCAAACTTTAACTCACTGCGTCGAGGTCTCTGGGTCATAGGATGAAGAAGAATCGAAGCGCATGGTGCAAGGCAACCTGCAAGACGGCCGGCAAAACATCACTGGAGAATGCACCTTATGAGCAAGTCCCAGTCCAAATTCCCCCTCAGATGCGCACCATCCAGGACAGGAAGAAACAATCTGCGCGCCTTACCTCTGGCTTCTTACTGGTTCCTGAGGACCTCTTTGCTCCAGGGCCAGAGGTGAAGTCAGAGAAGAAGTCTCCACCGGTGGTGGGTGGTGCTATGTGGCTTCCAGAGCCGCTGTCTCCATACCCAAACCTGGAGCTTCCGTTGATGCTAGAAGATGTATCAATAGACGCACTGACAGCAGGAACAGGAATCTCAGTCGGCTTCTGATCGAACAGACTATCGTTGACCTGCGGAATAGTGGAGAATGTAATTAATTTCAAACCTCTACCTTGAAAGTGGACCCATTGCTTGAGGCGGTCTGCGGCACATATTGAAGCCGCAAAGCATGTTCTCAAAGTATTGAAGAGCACAACATGCATCGCAATCGTTCAATTGAAGGACACGCTTCAGTGTTAAGAATCTCCCCTACCTTCGCACTCAGCTTCTTGACTCCTAATCCACCACCAGGCTTCGCACCAGCGAGCCGCCTGGTCACAGCCGGTCCTTTTCTTGTGATGTTGGATACTCGCGGCGAGACAGCCTTGGGCACCTCAGGCGTCTGAGAAGGTGCTTCCTCAGGTGCTGCATCTGCCTTGTTGTCCTGCGAGTCCACAGCCTCCTCCACAGGTGCGGAGGCTTCCGCAGAAGCAGTTGCACCAAGGAATGGGGCTGAGGATGGAGCTACCACGGAGCTGCGCACGACCTCCTTCGCCAGGAGCTGCCGGTAGAGATCAGCTGCCCGCGAGGTGTACTTCTGCTCAATCTTGCCGCCATCTGTCCAACCATGCTGCTTGAAGAAAACCCTAGCCCTTCCATTCCCGCCGAAGGCCATGGTCTTCAACTGATCCTGATTCCACGAGTCCAGTGAGGTAGACCTGCAAAACAATCAACCCCACAATGCTAAGCACAAGCAAGCGAGCAGAAGTAGGTAGACCAGGGAGGCAGCATCAGATAAGAAGACACTAGATAGAAGCTCATTGTAAATCGCACAAACATTTGGATGCTAAAAGCACCCAACCATAGATCTACCATCCAGCAGCAAAGCGAGAGCATTGGCTCAACCAACTCAGAGTAGCCGCCTGTTGGAGACTGCTTGTGCACTCACCGGACAAAGCTGACGTGCACGCCCAGGCTCCGGTGCATTGCGGAGCAATCAAGACAGATGAAGACTCCATATGTCACGGATGCCCAAGTTGGATTCTTGGCATTGCAATCAAAGCACATCTGCAAGCAGAGGCCTACAGATCAGTTGCAAATCCAGATCCAGGAAAACAAACAAGATACCTTACATGTGCATGATGATTGAATGGAAATTGTTTGCAATCAGACAACCCTAGATGGACGCAAGCAGCATCCTGCCCTCTTCTAGTGGTAGGAATCACCCAACACCTACCTTATTTTCAGACTTTGCCCTCAATTTTCGAAAAAGGGAGTCCCGCTCCAGCAACTCTGGCTCTTGCGCTGACGCCGCAGCCATGGCGTACAACAAGATCGCACTCTCAAATCCAATCTCAGATTGTAATAGGAAACAGACGATGGTCAACAGACGGTTGGCCAATAGCGACTGCCACCTGATCGGGCTGTAACAGACTCTATCTGGCGCCCTTCCACATCACGTCTTGTGTGTCTTCCCTTCCTGCGTCTCGACTCTCGTATACTGCAGTTCCTCAATCGAAGTCAATGCCTCATTCCGAAAACAGCCCTTCTCTGCCGGGCTTCCCTCCGGAATTGTCGGCGGTTGCGCGTGAGATGGTCGCCAAAGCGCGAGGCCCCGCTGTGAGGCCAAGTTTTTCCGCTTTGATTCCAAGCTCAGGCCGATTGCAGACTGTATCGTCTTGAAAGTTGCTGTGTTACGAGGCCCCATTGCAAGGCCCTGTTTCGAAAGCCGTTGAACCCTGCCGTTGAACCCCTAAAATTCGTCCTCGAGCTCTGGCTTTTGAAGTTTTGTGTTCGCAGCGGCATTGGAGCCGCAAAGGTGGAAGTCGAGGTATACATGGAGACCAGGCTGCTCTGAAGCTTTGAAGCTGCTCTGAATCCTGATGGATACCTTGACCATACTAGGCAGATGAAGATCGCCGTGGAGCCTTGTCCTTATGTAAGTCTTATGAAGCAACAACCTTTGGTGTAAAGCTCGTGTGCGCCACTTAGAAAACTTCAGTGCCTGAGGTATGTGACGAATGTAGCTGCCATGGCTCAGGATGCTGAGGTGCAATTGAACAACGTTGGCATATACCCACGGCCTGAGTGGCTAAGGGCATGTGTGCAGCACCAGTCACAGCAGAATCCTCGGTTTAGTAACCTCCCAGCTGAAGAACAAGCTCGATTATGCCTCGCTGACTTCCTGGAAAGCGACATGAACATGGCCGCCCTTGGACGACTGCCTCCTGACGTGACAATGCTGCATAAGGAGGAGTTGAGGGGACGATACGTCCTACAGGTGAGCAGTTTCTGTAGCAATGGGAAGCATACAGCCACCAGATCCTACCATACAGCATACTTAAAGTGCGCCACTTGTTGTTTTAGATCGAGTCTGCCTGTAAGGTGATGGTGGTGTGTGGACAATGAAGGTATTGTACACGGCTTTTGCAAATTATGTCTCATCTGATATAATTCGCAGATTGCAGCGTCATCTGGAGTTGGTCATAGTAATTTTGAAGGGCGCTCGCTGGCTTTCGATGGGCATGTTAGAAGGAAGTGGGCTAGGCACCACTTGAGACGAAAGATGGCAACAAATGAGGTACCCCGTGACTCTAGCGTGGGCATCCTCGATGAGCTCTGTGCATATCTTTGTGAAGCAGCACCTGACGATACTTCCCTTGCTCGCAGGTAGATGAGGCGGCAGATGTTGGTTGTGCCCCCCAGAATCGGTACAAGGAGCATCCCAGCAGCTGTTTGAAGCTCAGTCTGACAGATGGCGAGCAGAGGGCCTATGCCATAGAGTACCGCAAAGTTCCCCAGCTTTCCCCCATGATGCCAGCCGGCATTAAGGTGGGGCAATGTTCAACAGGAAGCTTGCAAGTCCATGTTTTGAAGATGCTTCATCTTGCTTGCAGCAAGGGTGCCCATCCTAGTTGAGAGGACTGACGTATCTTGACTGCTCTTTCACTGTCGGTGCTTGCATGATCGAACATTCGCCCCCTGGTGTACTTCTGGCTTGTTTTCTGTGCCAGTGCTTTCAAGTCTTGACATTAGCGCCGTGGTTCAGCACTGGCTCTGATCCGCGATGAACTCTGTCCTTGCCTGGATGGGGAATGGGGCGGTCTTGATGAGCTGCCATCTTTTGCAGATTGCAGTCAGCAACGTGTTTGTCCGGCAAGGCCTCCTGCTCTTGTGTCCAGAGAATGTCGTTGTGCTGGGGGGCAAGGTACAGTGCCTGGAGGAGGCCAGACAGCGGGTGATGGAACGGTGGAACCAGCCTCCGCGAGGCAGGCGGTATGTGAAAAGACCCTAATCTGCTTGCAATCAACATAAGATTGGGAGTCTTAAACCACTAGAACTGACTGGAGCATGTGAATCTCAAAAGCATAAATGCGATTTGATGACGAGAAAGTATTACTGACTCTCATAAGGGAGTCTTCCAAGCAAGGACATCAGTAAATGCGCCCAGCAGAGGATATAGTCCCTTTGCACTCAAAGCACCCTCTCCTTTTTCGTCCTCCAGGACCCCCCTGAACCAGGGTGCAGTCCCCACAAACTACCGCGATGCTGCTGCAGCAGCTGCCTGGCCCCCACAGGCCAACCCACCGCCGAATGAGACAGAAAACGGCCCAGCCCCTGGCAGCCGAGTTCATCCCACCAATGGTTGGGCCCCACCCCAGCCTGCCGCAACCTTTCGAGCGGCTGGTGAATGCTCCCAGCCCGCTCAGCCAAGCCCTCACGTGATTCCACTCCAGGGTAGAGCGCACTCTTCTAAGCCGTTGCCAAACCAGTGGCAGGAGCCGCCATTTGCGAGCGACGCAGCGCCCTGGCCAAGAAGTGGGCAGCAAGAAACCGCTCCCGGGAGTCCCGAGCGAGCACGGCGCCCGAAAAGAACGCAGGCGGACCGACCGCCGGACGTTGGCCTGGATCTCGATACAGACGACGAGGAGGAGCAGCCGCTGCGGGTGGCGCGCCGCACTGCGTCGAGGCCTAGGGCGCGCGCATTGTCGGAGGACGAGGACGAAGAGTTGCCAGCCGCCTCACCGGAGCGACCTTTTCGGTTCTCGGCAGAGCCCGTGCGGCCGCCGTTTGTTGATGAGACTCTGGGCCCATTGGGTACAAAGCGCCAGTCGGTTCCTAAGCAAAGCACACCAAGGGTCGCGGCTGTGAGAATGTCTGGTGAGGCCTTTTGTCACAATCGGTATGTAGGCCGTATTCCCTTCCATTTTTGCCTGTTGGTCCACAACAAAGAGAAGTGTTGAAGGACCAGACTTCGGATCCTTGCAGGATTTTAGCTTCATTGATAGGCTCTGCTGGTGCTGATTCTTCGGCTTGCTCTGGCAATCTTCCAATGCACCTGAAACTCGGAATGCGATGTGTGAGCGCAGTGTTACAAACCTGTTGAGCGGTTTGCTGACACCCGTCTTAACTCAATCAAGTTGCAGACGGCGGCCGGCCCAGCTTCGGTGTGGCCTCTACTCCTCCCCCCGCTCGGTCAGCCGAGGTCATTGATCTGGCGTCTCCCGAAATGGACGTGGAGAATGACGAGGTAGTTGCAGTGGCACCACTTGCTCCTGAGAGCAACTCCTCGCCTTTCTCCTACCTCAAGCACGTCTTGCGACAGAAGGCCGCGCTTCCGCCCGGGGGGTGTTTTGAAGCACGAGTGAAGGTGAGGGCTACGCCTCCAAACCTCTGAGCCAAGCTTGATTCGCCACTGGTCCGGACGCTGCCCTCGGTCTAAGGCTGAACTGAAATTCAGAAAATCTAAAGGTCATTCTCGCTTACCATAGGACTTTAACAGATTGTTATTCCTGTCTGAACATTCCCTTGAGGTGATCAATCAGAGACAATTGCAGTGAGGGCCCCCCTGTATCTTGTTTATGAGTTCGCGCTGTCTCCCAACCTCACTGACGGATCTCGGTCTCGGTTGGCAGTGTATTCTGGTCGGAGTTACTCGCTTCGACTTCAAGAGCGGCAGCTCGTTCGCAACGCGGGTGCACATTGACGACGGCTCCGCCATGTGCGAGTGTATGATCGCTTCCGAGGTGAGCAAGTTTGTTAGCGGCGTCACATGACCCCTAAACATTCCGGGACACTTTGTTTGTCGACAGTGCGTGTCGTCCGCTGGTCCTACAAAACTTTGATTTTGCTTCTTCCCGCCTCCCAGGCTTTCCCTTGCGGCCGTGTTTCTCGTCGGCCCTTTGGCAGTGGACGTTTCTCAGCTTTCGAGTCGGGACGTAGTATTCGATATTACTCTCTTAGATGCCTTTTTTCGCGAAGGCATGAGGGAATTCCTGTTCCGATCCATCTATCTGAGCCTTCGTGTGGATTTTACTTTATTCTTGAAGAAGGCTCCTACATCTCCTACGACCTGCCGGCTTGAGTTCATTGTCTGATCGGTTATGGACCGGACGTCTCGCCTCCCACCTCTTAAGCGGAACAGGACATTTTTTCTTCGTTGAGAACTTGGCCGCGAGAGGTGCATCCGCTTCTCCTTTCAGGCTGTCGAAGAGCTGGTGGGGCACACGGCGCCGGTGGTGAGCGCCGCCCTCTCGAGCAAGGATGCGGAGGAGAAGGAGGCCATGCGGGCCAAGATGAAGCGCGTGCAGCACTTCTTCACCACGTTTGAGGTGGGCAAACATGCCCCGGAGATAGGCTGGCGGCCTCCGTAGGTTTTCTTGCGAAGCAGCAGATACATGTGAAGTATCGGGATAGGGATAGAGAAACATATCCGGGTCCGTAGATGGGACCCTCTCGACGCTCTACACCCTGCAGTCTCTAGTTTAAGTTTTCTTTGTTCCGTCCATTTCGGAAGTGAGCGTCTTTATAAGTACATTCCGCCTTATTCTTCAGCCACCGTTTCGCCACCCTCACTGAGAATCTCGTCAGTTCAGAAACTTAGGACATCCCTCTTTCTTTGTCAGGGTGCATGTCATTGTGATGATTTCCAACTGTTCACCGAGATCCAACCCTTGCAGGGCACCATGGATCTCCAAGTCGACGAAAGATACCAGTTACCAAACGTAGTAAAGCTACAATCCGGCATATCGGATGAAGATGGCTGGAAGCTGCTTCGACGGCTTCAGAATACCGGCTGAGGTTGGTCGTCTAGATGGTCAGTGACCAGCTTCTTTTCGATCCCAGTCAGACTGACAACTTGCTGTAGGCGCTTGATCAGGACCGTATCGAAACGTGTTGAACGTATCATCATATAACCCGCAATGGAGTAGCGAATACGTCCAAACTCGAACATCCCGATGTCGAGACCGTCCGATTGTTCTTCGCTCATGGCCGGGCTGCTCATCCCTCTGGACGTTCGTTCTGCGGTGCCGAGTCTGCAGTCTGGCGGCCTCAAGTGTGCATCCAGCAAAGCTGCACAGCGCGCGCCCAAAGTGCCGGTCACTTCGATATTCGATATCGGCAAGCACGTCTCTGCCGGCGCGTACCGAGTTGCAGCGACTGACTGCACATGTATGCGTCAATAAAGCACTGCAATGATTCAAAAACACGATATAGGGCATGTGAGTCCGAGTCGCTCCGATTAGCATATATACCGACTCAGTCATTTAAACATGTATCCCGCTCATGATATGCCAGGTACGTATAGAGCCCTTGGCGGCTGTCATGGAATGCGACTGGACCAATATGCATCATTCTCGTTCAGCTAGTGAGATATGACGGCCTCAGGACCATGACGGTGCGCAGAATCATTGATTGGTGCATGCCACATGCTCACATGGTGCAAGATCGCGAGTCAGCGTATTATAGCTGACATAAAGATCGGTTAATGACTCATGAGTCATGAGGCACCGACTTCAATTAAGCGCGGTGTATCAGTGCCGTTATGGTTGAAATTCAAGGAATCGAAAGCAACCGGCCACTTATATCACGCAAGGGTGCCAGTGTCGATCCATTTGTTCAGGTGCGTATAAGCTCATGCAAGTTCAGGCTGGCCGCATCCCAAAAACCGATGGAGTCGTCGAACTTACTATAGGACAGGTGCTGTTGCTCTAGCATGACCGTAATGATCTGATTGTTGTCAAGTAAAGGTGCATGATGCAGTCCGACCGACTATGGCGGCAGAAAACCATCCAAGGAGACTTGCGGACAACTTACAATTCTGAAACTTAAGTTGTATTATATTTTCCACCCTGGGTTTGTGCTCGAAATTCTTGTTCGACTCATCTCGAGCAAACAGATCTATACAGCCAAGCGAGAGCAAAGTGGCGCAGCTGTTGGAAGACCTTTTTATAAAGACAGCGATTTAGCTGTAATACCTGAAAGTGAACATATCTCCAAGGAAGTTTCGAGACTAACATCAATGCATGTAGTTGATGATCTCGAAGATGGATGCCAAGTAGGCTGCTATTGAACGCAAGCCAAGCTGCAGACTTTCCTTTATTCAAGACGAGCATTGCGCAATCACCAAACCGATGGGCATACATACCGGTTTTCCCCCCTATGAAATGAAAGCTGTCCAAGAGTGGCCCTTCCAATCAGTTTGCTGCGCGCTCCTGTATCTTCACGTATTGCACCACATCCTCGTCTTCAGTGTCGGTTACTTCTTCGACACCTTGAACCTGTACTCGACAAGTCGACACATAAGCTTCCTACATGAAAAAGCCACAACATAGACATCAAGCAACGCACGTGAGTGACAACAGAACAATCTCAGTGCCACTGATTCTTTGGACACAAGGCAAATGTCTGACAAGGTACAACGTCAAAGCATTATTACCCACCTCTGGAACATAGTGCATCAGCATGTTCTGAATTCCACTCTTCAGGGTCACCGAGGAGCTGGGACAGCCGCTGCAAGCTCCTTGCATCTTCAGTTTCACGATGCCCGAATCCCTGGAAAGAAAGTGAGACACAAATCTCTCAATGTCAAATCAAAAGCCGTACTGTCTATCCCTTGAGGTGTTGCTTGTACTACTTTCCATGATCATCAACCACAGAAACCCAGGAGGGCCCACATCAGAGGAGCGCGACGAGACAGAAAGAGTAGCTGAACTTACGGGTCATAGCTTTTGTACATGATGTCGCCCCCGTCCTCTTGCACTGCTGGTCGAATCCTTGTTTCTAGTAGTTCTTTGATCATGGCTACAACCTCGTCATCATCCTGCAAAAAGAGCGGAAGGCTTCGTGTCACGCAGAATAGAACAGGACAACAAACATGCACCATGCCCTAGCAGTGGAGTCCAGAGCGGCAGAGAAGAGCTGCTGGTGGTCAATAATTCTCTTATCAGAACCTCTGAGAGCATGTCAGAATCTCTAAAAGTTAAAGTTGAAGAATGGCATCCACGGACACTCACCTCGTGAATTGCTGTGTCGGCTGCCATGCCAGCCTTGTCTGTGAACAAAGGTTCCCCCGACGCAAAGAAGTCCATGATGGCCGCAAAGATGTCCGGTTTCAAAGTTGACCAGTTAATGTCATCCCTTTTTGTAACTGTCACAAAGTCCGACCCATAGAAGACGCGAACGACACCTGCACAATGAAGATGGGACATCATTGTCTAACTCAACTGCATAGCGAATTTCCGGCCAGAGGGGCCATGTAAGCTACGGTAGCCAGACAACAGCAGCCAGCCAATGCTTGTGACGGACTTTACCTTGCCATTAAACTGTGGCACAAAGGGCGTAAAGCAGCGTGTATGCAATCAACAAAGCCCTCTTTATGCCTTTGCGCCAATTGCCAAGATGGTGCAGCACTGGGCTTTACATGCGCACCACCCTTCAAACTTTTCAAACACACAACTGAAGTTGCCAGTAAACACCTACCGTCGATTCGAAATAGTGCCTTGGCGAGGGGGGAAGCCATCGCTGCTCGTGCGTTCTCAATATCAGCGCTGCCATCCTCCAGAACCTTCTGACCCGGAAGGAACATGAGACTTGCAGGATTGGGGGTGGACTGGGTTTGGATGAACATGGAGCGCTGTTGTATACCTGCAACAGACAGGAAGGACTCTTTCAAAGGATAGTGCAACTTTTGGCAGCATTGATCACAGAAGGTGACCAGTGACCAATCAAAGAGCTGGCCGCAGCCCATGCTCGGAAACCCAACCTGTAGATAAATGAGAAGCAGTCCTTCTTAAAACGGTATACATCGGGTACAAAAGAACCTCGCAACTCTTTGTACACCAGTCAACTGCAGCATGTCAGCGTGTGCCTACCTGTTGCAAACACTGAGGAGATCAGAGGCGAGCCCCTTGGCCATAGCGTTTGCTGTTCCGTTCTGCCACTGCTGCTTGCAACTTCTCTGCTTCCACAAGCTGGCAAAAGTGTGCTTAAATTCCTTTGAGATACTGAAGCCGTTTCTATCCAATACGACATGGCGGCCGGTGTCTGGGCGAGAAGTCGGCCGAGGGCTCTAGGTCGGAGCGCCAAGGACCCCATCAGACCTAGAAAATCAGTACTTTCTAATCAAGCTCCTGCTCCAAGAAAGTGATTGGACGACGTCCTGTAAACAGCAAACGTAAAGTGCGCTAATCGCCCTTCGGGACTGCTTCAACTTCAACTTTCAAGTTCACAAGGCAAGATGACGGACTTCTTTGCCAGAGACTGGGGCAAAATCTGTCAAACTTGAAGGCTAAGAGAAGCATGAGGCCAGAGAACTCTCAAAGTCATGCACGCGCATGCGCGTGAGCGTTGTGACTTGTGAGGGCTTCTCTCTCGTCAGAACGGCCGGGAGAAAGAACCGGGCCGAGTGTCCAGGGACCGTCAAAGAGACCGACTGCCGAACGGGACAAAAGCAGCCCTTCTTATGACGTAGTTTCAATGGACGTCACGGCGCCATGCCCTCGGGGAAATATTAGGCCGGCCTCGGCGGTCCGGAACACGAAACCTCCTGCCCAAATATCTGAGCACTGCAGTGCTAGCTCTGGAGAGAGACGCGTGCACATGTACAAATTGCCGCTTCTCCGGTCACCCCATAACTTCCTCCATGACGAGACAGGGGCGCCAGGGTGTGCTTGTAGCACGCGGAAATGGTGTTCATCTTGGGCGGCAATTCCATGGCCGCAGGTCTGGCGAGCTTTCTTTTCCATTTTCAGGACGCACTTAGTAGTTCAGTCAGATAGTAGGCTCCGCTCAAGATGAGCTTGCCACGGAGGAGGGGCCCTCCTGAGGAGGACCCCAACATTCCCCAAGAAGAAGACTACCCCCAATACCCTGAATATGGCTTGCCACCTGGGCCGCCCCTTCCAATGGAGCCGGGAATGGGCTATGACCCCAACGCAGCGGCGGCGGGGCTGCAGAGAATCAACCGAGGCTACATGGACACACGGGTGGCCGCCATGCCCTTCTACCCGCGGGGTCCGCCGATGGGGAACCCTTACATGGGGGGTGGGTATGCGCTGGGCCCCCCCGCGATGGAAGGATATCCCCCCATGCGCGGAATGGCTCCCCTGGTCATGGGTCCTGATGAGCTCACCCTCATCTCCCCGCAGGCCGCCATGCTGGCGCGGCAGCAGGCAGCAATGAGGGGGCCGCGTCCAGGTCCTATTGGGTCAGGCAGGCCCTCGCCAATTGAGCAGCTCTCAGGTGCGGTCGAGGATCTGTCCCTTGGGCCCCCGGAGCAGCCCTACCCTCACGCCCTAGCCCTGGCTCCCCCCCCTCTCCCCCTCACGAGAGCCGTCCGCTTCCCTCGGCGGCCCGGCATGGGGACTTTGGGCCGGCCAGTGAAAGTGAAGGCAAACCACTTTCTGCTGGAACTCCTGCCGCGCGTCGATCTCTTCCAGTACGATGTGAGTGCCTGCAACGTCTAACATGCGGGCTGGCATCACAAAGCAGCGTGGAGCAATGCTGTTTGAAATCGGACAACATTAGGTAGCACTTAGTTTTCAAAGCTTGCCTGTTATTACTTGTCTGATATGACATGCAGGGGTCAGGTCAGACAGTGATCCCGGACATAGACAGTGCATTGCCGATAGGAAGCTCTCTATTTCAATTGCGAGGGATGCATGTCTGTGCGACAGTGGTTGAAGGGAGCTTGTGCGGAGTAGCTGTTTCACGCATGGAGGTAGAAGCCTCTGAGGCTCCTAACCCATGTTGCTGGATGACACTCCAGATCTGACTTGGACTGCAATTCAGTTTGGCTTCCATCAACAGACCAGGACAATCTTGTGTGAGTTCCGCCCCCACTGCCTGGTTATTTACGCCCCTGTCGCCCGGCATCGCCCGCACCGTTCCTTGGTTGACCCTCTCTGTGTGCCCTGGCAGTGCGTGATTGCTCCTGACAAGAACAGCCGCGGCATCAACCGCGTGGTGATGAAGCGCCTGGTGGAGATGTACCGCGCGTCCAGCCTGGGCGGCCGCCTGCCCGTGTACGACGGCCGCCACAACATGTACACCGCCGGCGCGCTGCCCTTCCAGCAAAAAGAGTTCACCATCGTGCTGCAGGACGAGGCCGACATGCAGGCGCAGGGCATGACGTGAGCGGCCCCTCTCTAGTTGCCAGGTTGCTCCAGGAGTTGGATGGCGGGCTCTGCATTTGACGGGCGCCAGTCCGTCATCTCCTGGGTAGCTAAGGGAAATTGAACTGATCAAGGTGCCAAGTCGTTGCTGAACCTTGCTGTTCTGAAAGTCAACATCCACACAAAAATATCCAGAAAAAAGATATCCAGGCCAACAGAAGGCAATGCCACCATACCAACAATCTGACCCGCTTGTGCTCCTTGGCTGGCAGCCCTTCGCGCAGCCAGACGTACACAGTGATGCTCAAGCTGGCGTCGCGGCCGGACATGGAGAACCTGCAGCAGTTTCTGCGGGGTCGGCAGGCGGAGGTCCCGCACGAAACGCTGCATGTGCTCGACATTGTGCTGCGGGAACAGGCCACGCAAATGTGAGGACCTCTTCAGCAGGACAATGAAGGCTCGTCTTGTAATGTTGGAACTCTGGTTGCTGGTAGAGATGCCAGCTTGACGCAAAGTAGAAGCAATCTGCCTGCTGTCATCCTTCAGTCACGTACTTGATTGCTTTTTGATGCCAACCTGCTCTTTTGTGCTGCAGGTACACTCCCGTTGGCCGCTCTTTCTACACATCGCAGTTTGGGCGGGACGAGCTGGGGGACGGGGTGGAAAGTTGGCGGGGCTTCTACCAGAGCCTGCGGCCAACGCAGCTGGGCCTGTCGCTCAATCTAGGTGAGCCTGATAGGCTATGCTACACTAACCAGGCTGGCTGCATCTCTGTAGCGAGGGTACGAGATCTTTGGGGTCACTTGTCTCAACACGCAATCTCCAGGGTTTGTGATACAGGCTTTCTCAACGATCTCGTTTTCCATCTGGATGCTCTGAGCAGTGACGGCCTTCTGGTGGTTAGAAAGAGCAAAGATTATGGTTGAGCCTGATAGCAGATCTCTACGGTCCCTTTTCAGCTCGACCAACATCTATGATTCCATGTTGACATATTCCTTCCGAGACTGCGGACTATCGTCCCTGCAGATCAGTCACGATCTGTTACGAGGGCGTACTAATGTATTTTGCTGTCGTGGTGAGTCCTGGTCTTGACACGGCATTGGCTTTGCTTGCAGACATGTCGGCGACCGCGTTCCTGCGGCCCATCATGGTCACGGAGTACATCCAGCAGATCTGTAACATGAGGGATCTCAACCGGGGCCTCACGGATGCGGAGCGCCTGAAAGTGAGGTCCCTGTTACTCGCTTGCACTCCAGCAATCTCTACTGGTAATTATGCGGAGAGCCGCAGTCAGCATGTGTCACGGTTAATGGAGGGTTCTCTGAGTCAAGAGGCTAGATGGCATGTTTCCGCGCCATACCTCTGCCCTGGCCCATTCGCACTCGCTTTTATCTCCAAATCCAAACTGGTTGTCATTCTAGTCGAGCAGTACTTTTGCATAAATGCTGTTCATGGAAAATAGAAGAAAGGGCGTTGCCAATCAAGGACACATTGAAGTGAATAAAGGCGTTAGCTACAGAGATCATGCTTTCCGCTAAAAGTATTTTGTTTATCGAGTCTGACCGTTTGCACAAGCTAGATTATGTGTCCTGGCTGTCATCTTGCAAAGCTTGAACTTTGGGTGTCCTCCACGTTGCAGGCCAAGCGGGCATTGCGAGGGGTTCGAATAGAGGTCACGCATAGGGGGAACATGCGACGGAAGTATCGGATCAACGGCATTACGAACCATCCCGTGGGGCAACTGACGTGAGGCAACCATCTCCCTTTTGTTTGTCGTCCTGGAACAGACAGGACGCGTCTCTTGAGCATGTTTTTTAGGCCCAGAACTTGTCGAGGAGCTGTGGAAACTAGCGAGAGCGGGGAAGAAAGCGGCTGTTGTCTCCGTGCTCCTCCTCTCGTTGGCCCATCCAGTTATGAGTACCCTTGTTCTTGACCCTTGGTTCGCTGTCGGCTCGCAGGTTCAAGGCGGACGCGGAGGGCACGATGCTGACGGTGGCGCAGTACTTTTGGCAGACGTACAACTACGCGCTGCAGTTCCCATCGCTGCCAGCTCTCGAGGTGGGCAACCCGGAGCGCAACAACTACCTGCCCATGGAGGTGTGCCGCATCGTGGAGGGGCAGCGCTACGTGCGCAAGCTCAACGAGCGCCAGATCACGCGCATGCTGCAGATCACCTGCCAGCGGCCGCACGTGCGCGCGCAGCAGACGGAAGCGGTGAGGCCCGTCCCCTCAAGCTCGATAGTGTGCTGCCCGTCCTTTGGAATGGTAGTAATGGTAGAAAGTTGGTTGCAGATAGTCCAGCAAGCAGCAGCGTCGTGTATTCTGAGTCACGGAGAGTCTGTCAAACTTGTAAGCAGATAGCTCTTTTTACTGGATCGACGAAAGGTTCGGAACAAGGGGCTCATGAGGTGCTGTCACTAACCATGCACTTCCGGCGGCTGTGCAGATCATTCATCAGAATAGGTACAACACGGACGAGTACTGCTGCGAGTTCGACATCAACATCGAGCCCAATATGATGCAAGTCCAGGGCCGCATCCTCCCTCCACCCAAGGTAAACCCCACTTAAAATGCATCCCATTTAAGGACAGCATCGATTCTGGTTGAGTGCATCATCTTCGAGTCGTTTTGATGGGAGCGGCATACCTCAGGCAGGCAATAGCGACCTCTGTCATGTATGTCCACCGTTCGTCTTATGCTTAAAACTCCCAGAATTAGATATTGGTTTCTGTTTGAGAAGCTGGAGCGCTGACCCCGGTCCCGGTTGGTGCAGCTGATGTACAGCGACTCTGGCAAGGAGCGCGAGGTGACCCCCTCCATGGGCGCGTGGAACATGATGGGCAAGAAGGTGCGCGACGGCGGCCGCATCGCCACATGGGGCATCATCAACTTCGCAGTGCGCTGGGTCAACGAGCAGACGGTCAACCAGTTTGCGCGCGAGCTCGTGCAGATGTGCACCACCACCGGCATGGTGAGCAGCGCCGGAACAAAAAGCTGTCCAGTCTTTTGTGGCGGTTTATGCAACCTCTTCTCATGCATATGAGCTCCACTGCAGTGGTTTATGCGCCTTGCTTCCGGTTCGTGTGCAGTGCGTAGGGAATCTTGTGAGCAGGCGTTTCCACGTTTGATGCTTCTGTCTGCACGTGAAGCTGCTCGATTTGGTGACAGAGCAGTTTTACGTGAAGACAAGGGAATTTTTGCTCACATGTTTCCCTCGGCAATCAGGTCCCCGTCGTTCTGACACTCTTCTCCTCGCCCTGCAGCAAATGAACTCGCGCCCCGCCATTGAGCCCGTGGCCGGGCGGCCCGAGCTGGTGGCACGCGTGCTGGCCACGACGGTGGAGCGCATCCGGTCGATCTCGGGGCGCAACCCTGACATTCTGATGTGCATCCTGCCCGAGAACAACGGGTCGCTGTACGGCGACCTGAAGCGCATCTGCGAGGTGGACCTGGGCGTCGTCACACAGTGCTGCCTCTCCAAGCACCTCCAGCGCAACTCCAAGCAGTACCTCGCCAACGTTGCGCTCAAGATCAACGTCAAGGTCAGCTACACCTCGCATATGATGCTTGTTTTGGTCTCATTCTTGTCGATAGCGTCTGAGGCGTCCGCCGGCCTCAAATGCGCCAGTCTTGGTGATATTAATTCACAAATTCTGCACGCTTGTGTTTGCATGGACGTTTGCAGCTTTTCCACGTACATCGTCTGAAAAGGCTCCAAATCCTTTGAAGCTTGTCTGTTCCGGTGTCTGTCTTTGTTGCGAAACCTATTCAGTAACCTTGCACACTGTTCCCCCGAAGATTGTCGATTGGTTCTGCTACCTCAGCATGCTTGTTGGTCCGCTTCTTGCCTTTTGCTGAGCCGTTTCCCTTCGGCAGATCGGCGGGCGCAACGCGCTGCTGTCGGAGGAGGTGGGCAAGCGGCTGCCGCTGATCAGCGACGTGCCGACGATTGTGTTTGGCGCGGACGTGACGCACCCGCACCCGGGCGAGGAGAGCAGCAGCAGCATCGCTGCGGTGGTGGCCAGCAAGGACTGGCCGTTCGTGAGCAAGTACGCGTGCCTGGTGCGCGCGCAGGAGCACCGGCAAGAGATCATCCAGGACCTTTTCAACCCGGCGGACGGCGGCATGGTCGTGGACCTGCTGCGCACCTTCTACATCAACACCGGCGTCAAGCCCATGCGCATTATCTTCTATCGCGACGGCGTCTCCGAGGGCCAGTTCCACCAGGTGGGCTCCGCTGGTTTGATGTACGATGTGTTTGGAGGAAGTCGGAATGTTGCAGAGTGGCCCAAGAAAGGAAGACAGGCGCCAGGGCTGTCTCTATCTCACAGAGAGGAGCAAGGTTTTCCGATTGATGCTCTCAGCACCAGCCCTTAAGAGGCTGTCGCGCACACACCTGACGGCTCCAATACAGAAGGTCAATCGTTACTTCGGCCGTTTCGCTTGCTCTTTCTGCTCCAGATTTTGTCACGTGGCCCGACCCCACTCCCACATGCCTAGCACTGACCGCAGTCGGCGCTGCACGCGCGCAGGTGCTGCTGCACGAGCTGGACGCGGTGCGCAAGGCGTGCGCGTACATTGAGGCGGACTACCAGCCGCCGGTGACGTTCATCGTGGTGCAGAAGCGGCACCACACGCGGCTGTACCCCACGGACAGCATGACCGACCGCAGCGGCAACATCGTCCCGGGGACCGTCGTCGACAGCTCCATCTGCCACCCCACCGACTTCGACTTCTTCCTGTGCAGCCACGCGGGCATCCAGGTGAGGCGAAAGGGGGGCCGCACGTGAGATACGCGGAAAAGGGAGAAAAGCGAGGGGGCGCCGGCGGCCGGTTCCTTTGAAGGCTTCCAGATATTCGTGGAATTCTGCAAAGAGAAGCTCTCAAAGAAGGGGGTTGGTCTTTTCTGGTCCATGCTTACACACCTCGTGCATGTTTGGGTGCACTTGGGTTAAAGGCTGCTTCGCTTCCTTGCGCAACTCCCGTCTAGCCGAGCAGGCCTGGACGTGATCGTGAGCCCATCTCAGTCATCGCTGAGGGTGCTTCTTCTTCTAGAGAAACGTTTTGTCAAAGCATATCCACGCCCGTGACCGCCGGTCGTTGTGTGCAGGGCACGTCGCGTCCGGCGCACTACTACGTGCTGTGGGACGAGAACCAGTTCACCGCCAACGCGCTCCAGCAGCTCACGTACAACCTGTGCTACACCTACGCCCGCTGCACCCGCTCTGTCTCCATCGTGCCACCCGCATGTGAGCCGCATGCGGATCCTAATAACACCGACAAGACTTTAGATCCTCTTTTCGGCATGCTGTGTCAAGTCATTGATTGAAGAGGAGATTCTGAGTATTATCATTGCAATTGTCATGCATATGATAGCCTTTGACTCAAAGGACGAGGGTCTATGCAGTGATCTTGACGTTCGAATCTTGACCCGTTCGCTTCATACGATGGCGTCAAACCTGCATCCCTTTTCCTTGATGGCGTGGACGTGCCACAGAATCGATTGCAATTGGATCACCACGTCCTTGGCGCAGGTCTTGGCGCAGGTCAGATTCTGGTATTGGGCACGGCAGTCATTGGATGCAGGCGTTGGCCTCTTTTGAGTAGCAGAACTCATCACTTGACATCGTCGAGCAGCTTTGCGAAGCGTTTGTGCATCCTTTGCAGATTACGCGCACCTGGCCGCGTTCCGCGCGCGCTTCTATGCCGAGGCGGACGGCGGGTCGGACAGCGGGTCCCGGCGCAGTGGCGCGGGGGCCAGCGCGGCTAGCCTGGGGGGTGGGCCCACCCGCCGGGGGAGCACTCCGGTGAAGCAGCTGCCCGAGCTCAAGGAGCCGGTGAAGCGCGTCATGTTCTACTGCTGACGGGGGCAAGCCCCGGATGGCACGCATGCTTTGCCCGCGCAGGGGTCCGTCGAGACAGGGAGTCCGGTGGTTCGTATGCAGTGTTAGGCCTGCGAGTTCTTCCAGTTTGTATAGCGCCGCTTCGTGAAGGCTAGATACAGGTCGACATGGCAGCTGCTTCCTCGCGGGCACCATCTGGTGCTTAAGTCTGCTAGCCGCCTAATCGTACAAGTTCGATTGTGTGGGAAATTCCCCCTCCAGTAAGTGGCTCGAGCAACAGGAGCATAGGCTGTTCGCTGCGTTAGGGTTTGGCGACATGTTTTGCCATTTCTGGTTCTTCTTTGGCAGACATTATCATATGGAAGTGAAGACTTCACACAGAAGTAGGGTTTCGATGATCAGGATCAAAACTGCCTAGGTGTGAGAGTAGGTTGGGGTTAGCAGTGTCCACGCCCACAATTGTGATGCAGCAACTACTGAAAAAGCGTGCAAGATAAACTTGCGGTTATGTCTAATTGCCATTTTATGTCAGTACAACTATTTTCTCCACATAATCAAAAGGTTGACAGGATCTTCATGTTTAACCAGAAGTCGGCATTTGAAAGTCGTCACCCGGCCTGCATTCGATATGTGTATATGTGTAGATTAAAATACTGAGTGCATGGGCTGGTGCGAGCGGACACCGTGTACGAAATGCCGGCGGAGTCGATTCAAGCATGCACTGAGAGCTAATTATTATCAATTGTGTAAATATGAACGCTATCATATAGCGCATGTGCTATCCTCTTATAGCCTCGAGGTACGGTCAAGCCTCAGCAGTGGCGGAGCTGCGCATGGCAGGCTCGTGTGATACCGAACATGATCAGCTCGTATCATGCGTGCACTTATCTTCATGCAAGCCTGAGCCCATAGACTCAGCCTCGGAGAACTTTTCACTTCAATCAAGGCGACGGCCGAATTGCATGAATCCTCGAGCATCCGTTCGAACGTGCAGCTCACCACGTGCATGCCTTGCGTACTGGCACTGTACTCTGGCAATCTGAGCCTCGCCGGCCGTCTCATAAGCTAACGCTTATTCCATAGGTCACTATGGCTTTCTGTTTTGATCATTCGATTGACGGTCCCGACCTAAGCGCTATCCAGCATGTCTGTATGCACCGAGGCACACTGGCCTGACCAATTCAATGCAGACATCTGATGATCCAGCATGAGTTGATACCTTGTACTATCCGCAGTTGGGTCAGCTGTGCCGAACTTATCCCAACCCCCTATCATGCCCAGGCTATGCCTCGTGCAGGGGCATCATGTTAGGCAGTAACGTCCGTGACAATTCGGTGATCCGACTGCAGCAGAGCAGATGGACCGTCACATCGGATCCAAGATGCTACACGAGCTTTAAAACGTACCTTAGTCGTTGAAGAAGTTGATCAGCGTTGAGTGCCCCTTCCTGCAAGTAGAACGCACGGGGTTTGCCCGTCATTAGTTGCGAAGCTTTGAATGTATGCCAGCGATCGAGTGTGCAGAATCTGACGAAAGCATGGGCTGAGTGTATTAAAAGGCTCGCTTCAGGTCTGAAGTTGAGCATTCAAAAGAGCGCTTACCACTCTGTCGATTACTTTTCCGTCTTTGAAGAGGACGAGGGTTGGCAAAGCCCTTATGCCGTACTTGGACGCCAAGACTGGGTACTTCTGGGTATCGATTTTCACCTGTAATCAATGCCCTCCGTCTTAGTTCCTGACCTTCTACACAAACCTTGCAAGACTGAAGTGTCCGCTCTCTCAATGAAGCGACTAGAATAAACTGGGTTACTCAAATGGAGTCGGAGCTTCAAAGGTGCCAACAGACAGCTGAGACATTGAGCGGGCAGGGACGACAAGCATGTCCTCATTGTATGTGACAAACACAAAATCGAGAAGGCTTACCACTTTGAGGTGTGGTTTCAGCTGTGTCCCTACTTCATTGAGCACCGGTGTCATCATGTGGCATGGTCCGCAGAAGTCAGCATACCAGTCGACCTGTTGTGTGACAAGAAGCGGATCCCCTGATGATTGTCCAAACAAGAAAACGAGGTGATAAGAACTGCGCCAGACCAGAAGTCTCTCAGCAGTTGAGTTGATTATCGAGGAGAAGGCGAAAATAGTGGTTTGCAGAGTTCACTACTCCTGACGGTCAAAAGTTGGAAAGAGATACAGAGAGTCTTATGTATATTGTGCCCATGTTTGGCTGCTTCTGCAGGACACGCCCTTGGCCAAGAAAGTCACTCACCAGTACAGGCTGCTCGCTGCCCTCTATAAGTTCCTCAAAAGTTCTGAATGTTTTCTTTGCAGCACCCGTAATCTGGAACAAACACAAAAAGAATTACTGTCAGGCGTGTCAAGATGAAGATCCGTAACTACAGTAGCTTGACGGAAGAAAGCAAACCCAACACTACAAGTTGGATCCTATGCTGGCTGATGGTGGTGTGAGTGTTTGAACCTTGCTGATAGCGTCACTGAGATCTTTTGCTTGAGATCAGTGACAAGCGCATCACAATCCAGCATCTGAGAAAAGCCAGTAGGATGCTTCACACTTTCAGTCGCAGGAGCAGAAAGAGCGGAGTTGTTCGCACCACCGTGCATCGCCGTATTGGCTTTTGCCCACTTCTCTGGTGCCCAATTCGTGGAGAAGTCAATGATTCCAACCCGCCACTACTTCTCAATCGAGTTTTTGGTCCAATTGCAGCTCTTTGACCCGGCCACGCAGGTGGGCGTGTGCAATCGAGGCAGATGGGCAAAGGCGGACTGGTATATCCAGATATGCACAAGCGACGGGAATTGCTGTGGCAATGCTGTGAAGTGGAAACACAGTGCTCTCTTCTCCGGTGTGCTTCTTGCGGCCTGACGCCGTTCTGAAAGGTGGCTTGCGGCTGCAATTGCCGCATGAGCGGACGCCATTCGAAAGGACTGAACTTGGAAGTTGAAGTGCGAGCTAGGTAGTATCTTGCGCCACTCACAGAGTCGGAGCTTGCGCACTTTTCGCCGCCTGCATGTACCGGTACTCAGAGTTCAACCGCCAACCTAAAATCCATGATTATTTCCTTGCTATACGAGCATGGTTGGTTTGCTCGGCACAACTCCAACCACGAGCACCGCCGGACGCGCAGTTGCCCGGGGATTGAACTTCGATTCAATAGCTTATTTGACTACTTCACTGATTTCACTTTGCGGCCTCGCTAGCTGCTTCGCAGCCTTGTTTCTGCCATGCTCTGCCAAGTCACAAGTGCCCTGCGGCGGCCCCTGCCACACCAGCTCAGCTGAGGTCCACCCAGGAGGTTTGCTGCAGCACCAGAAGAGCCAGTGGAGGAGGGCCCGTTCGAGCTGGAAAAGCGGGAGGTTCCGAGGTTTCGATTCTGGAAGCAGGATTATCAGATGCACGGATTGGAGGATGCAAGGAATTAGGAGGTGCTGCACTTGAGGCCAGCAATTTTCGTAGGCGGTCTTTGTCTACCTGCTCATACTCTGCCACTTGCTCAAAGCAGTGCCAATTGTCGAGGCAAGCCAGTGATGTGGCTTGATCCATGATCAGAAAGACTTGAATTATCTCTCCAAGTAGTTCCTGTGGTTGTAAAAATGTTCGGCTCACGGGGTTTGGCTGGTCTGATTAAACATGCTGTGCGAGGAATAGAAGCTTCTCGGACATATGCCAGCAGCACAGGAAAGCCGGCTGTTTTTGTGGATAAAAGCACAAGGGTGATTTGCCAGGGGATCACCGGCAAGAATGGAACTTTCCACACGGAGCAGGCAATTGACTACGGAACGAAGATGGTAAGTTGGCCCGTTGCAATGTCGTGTCTGTATGGGCTGACAGTCGTTTTCCTGATGGCTTTGATTCTCAAAATACGCTGATTGTGCATGAAGTGATCCCCAAATGTACGTTCATGAATTCAGCTTACGTCTTCTTTAGCCAGGTGGAGAGATAGTGGACAATATTGAGCACACTACAAAGAAATTTGACAAGATTGCTGCATGCTCCTGATGTCTTGCAATCAGAATTGAGTGCTCAAGGCCTCTGGGGGTGAGATCCAGACTCGGCTTTCCAGACTCCAGTTTCCACCTTTCAAATTCTTGTTGCTTACGAAGCTTGCAGCATGCGACCTTCCTTTTTACGAGCTTTATCTGACCGTCCATCTGCAGTCGCTCCCATCGGTCTAGTATCATGTATACCTTGAAGCGTTGCTTCAGTCAGTCAAATCACAAAAGCGTCAACGTACGGATTGGGCATATCCGTTGCTAGCTTGTAAGGGGTTCTCCAGCAATTGTGGACCAATGACAGATTGCCAATTCAAAGGTTTCCGATAGATACCATTGCGTGGTCAATCTTTTCTTCCAGCACCATTTACTTGCGCACATGCAGCCGCTCAATGCACCTTCAAGCGCTGCAAGTTCTTTTCAGGAGAAACTTCTCAGCACTCGTCTGCGGAAGTGCTTTTTTCTAGCAACTATTCAAGGCACGGTAGATTCTGGCAGGTACTTCCTACAGCATTTTGACTCTCACCTTTGTTTTGCAACAGTCTCGTAGAAGCCTGCTTCTTGCATTATATCTAAGCCGCCGTTTCTCATGGTCAATTCACCGCGGTTGCTTCACCATGGCTTGAGTGCACCACCATCAGACATTCTGCTGCCAACATGAACCATGATTTGTATCAGGTGGGTGGCGTCAACCCCAAGAAGGGCGGCACTGAGCACCTCGGCCTGCCCATCTTCAAGAGTGTCCAAGAAGCCAAGGCGGAGACGCAGTGTGATGCCAGCGTGATCTACGTCCCTCCCCCCTTTGCTGCTGCTGCGATCATGGAGGCCATTGAAGCGGAGTTGGATCTGGTGGTCTGCATCACGGAGGGCATCCCGCAGCACGACATGGTATTGTCCTGCGCGCGCCATTCCTTTTGTGTGGCGGTGGCCGCAGTCAGATTGCTCGTAGGGACAGAAAGAGCAGTTGTATCCAATGGATCTCAACCAAGGGAGCAAGTGGCTTTGACCTTTCCTAGTGCATTTTGATTCACTTGTATCCCAGAATAAGACTGGAAGCGCACAATTATAGAGACTCTTTAACCTTTCAACCACTCGGGGCGTGCCTGAGAAACTTTTCGTCTCGTGTGGCACAGGTGCGGGTGAAAGCGGCGCTCCTGAAGCAGAACAAGACCCGGTTGATTGGCCCCAATTGCCCCGGGATCATCAAGCCAGGGGAGTGCAAGATCGGAATCATGCCAGGGTACATCCACAAACCAGGGCGTGTCGGCATTGTCTCGAGATCAGGAACGCTCACCTACGAAGCAGTAAGGAACCCCTTTGTTTGATGCAGCAGGTGGTGGAGCCCCCACCGTCGGTTTTGTATCTTGCGTGGGACTTTTTTGGTGATCAACCTGTGCAACGGAAGTGTGATTTCATCCTGAAGTGTGATGTAGGTGCTATCGGGTTGCTGATATAAGCTGCATTATTGAGCAGGAAATGGTTGTTCTCTTCGCAGGTGTTTCAAACAACTCAGGTCGGGCTAGGCCAGTCTACGTGCGTTGGGATCGGAGGAGACCCGTTCAATGGGACCAACTTCGTTGACTGCTTGGAAAAGTTTGTGAAGGACCCCCAGACCGAAGGTATGTCTTGCAATTCAGACTTGGCCGAGTCTCCTGAACACAGAACAAAGCTCGCAGGGGCTCTAGACTAAGTTTTAGAGTGACGTCCAATACAGCATGCATTGTACCTTCCTGTCTTGTCGCTGTCCATAGGCCTGCCATTTTAACCTCTTCTTGCGACCAACGTTTAGACCACTGAGCATGCGAGGTCGCCGGCGCCTTAACTCACGGATCTGAATGGTTGACTAAGTTTTTCAGGCGTTTCACGAAGCACTTGCAGAGTTCTGACGAATGAGATGTCCCGCTTATCACCGATGTTTCCACCGCCGCCCTCGAGAATCCGCACTCAAAATATGATCTGGAATTTTCTTGTTGCACTTGCCAGCCCACTTCGAAGTGTGTAGGTGGCAAACTCTAGAAAGGTGCATCGCTTTTATCAGGCTTCTCTTTCACAGGATGGGGTGGGGCAGGTTTAAAACATTTGAGAAACGATGTGAAACAGGTACGCGGTTGCACGGAGTTGCGCAACTTCGACGATTTCTAAGACTAGACGTTTTGGCACCTTCTGCGGTGGGAAAAGCCCTCACTGCTGCTCACTGTCCAATGCAGGGATCATCTTGATTGGTGAGATTGGAGGGCAGGCAGAGGAGGACGCTGCAGATTTCATCAAGGTACGCAGTGGCAGGCTTTGGACCCTACGTTCAGCATCTTTTTGCATCTGCAGAGTGCTTTTCCAAGTCCCGTCTGGGAGTTGTGCAATACTAGTATTCTGACGGTGCAAGACCATAAAATCGTCAACGGTGGTGGAACTATGGTGGGCTGGAATTTTAAGTCAACGGGTTCAAACGATGTTTGGCTGCATCAGCCGGTTGCATAAGCAACGTGGTCAAGTGGTGCTAATGGATATTTGTGTATCTTTCAGGAAAGTGGCACCACGAAGCCCATTGTCTCCTTCATTGCGGGGCTTACCGCACCTCCAGGGCGCAGGATGGGACATGCGGGAGGTGAGCAGTATGCGGTTGGCTTTGCGGATTCAGGTTTGGGAGACTGCCACTTGAATCTGGCGCCATTTCTGAGAACTGCTCACTCTCGTCACAATGCTTCATGACGCGTCCAAGCTGTTCCCCGGTTTCTTGTCGGGTTTGCTTCGCTGTGCATGCTCTGATGAGGTTTGAATTCTTCCTGACTGCAGCAATCATTGCTGGTGGCAAGGGTACAGCTACTGATAAGATTAAGGCTTTGGAGAGCGCTGGAGTCACAGTCAGCAGGTCGCCCGCAAAGCTTGGTACCACCATGCTGCAATTGTTCAAAGATCGTGGGTTGCTCAATGAGTAGGTGGCTGGATAGCTTCCATCGATACGTTTGTCGGAACGCCTTTAGCACGTATGTTTGTACATGTTTTTAGTGCAACGAATCTTCTAACTCTTGCACGTTCTCGGTAGTCTTGATAGTCCAAGTTGGAGCGTGATTCTTCTTATAAGCAATCCAATTATGTGCCATATGAGCTCGAATCATTGCCATCTTAATTGCAAAGAACCGTATATGCCATTTCGACTCGGTTCCCCAAGCTTGCAGCTGCCTTCGAATGCGCCTTGACGCATGAAAATCGTCCAAGTTCAACCATGATAGAGGATCTTGATATGCATCAACAGGCAGAATATGTTTTGAATGCCGGCTGGTATGTGAACCCAAGGCCTCCGCAACTAAGCATCATATATGATGCGCCGCTTTGGTTTCAACAAAATTGGTCAAAGACCGACGTGTCGTCACTTCATCTGAGCATGGCTTCGAGTAGGGTAGCTTATACTGCTCAGGCTCATTGCTTGCTGAGGCTAGTAGTGGTATCATGGTGCATACCTATGGATAACTTACTCTATATACTTATCTAAGTTATAGTGACGGTTTGCTCAAATTACAGAGTGACAAAGTTAGAAACAGTTTTGTGAGATTTCTTAGTAGTAGGATAGACTTTTAGTGGAAGTTCCTATTATGACCTTGGACGCAAAGCGGAAATAAGCGACTACTGTGGGGGCTTGCTGCACGCGCGAACACACCGAGTCTGCAGGCTTCACATCAGCCAGCCGCCACCCAGCTCCCTGGGCCTTTGATGTTCTTGATTAGACGATCGAAGGTCCCTGCGGCTTGTCCGAAAAGGTTGCTTTACACCGTTCAATAGCGGCTGCAAAGATGGTATCTACGGCTAGATGCTTGCAGTCTCATGCACGTGGTTTGTCGACGTATTGTATGGGTCATCCGGCACGGAATCCTGGTCAGAATCCGTCACAGCACACTTGTCAGCCTCATCTGGGGTTTGAAAGCGACGGATCGAAAGAAAACGGAAGTGT